AATTATAGTAATAGTAATAATAATAACTATAATAATAATAATACTAGTAATAATAATAGATATAATAATAATAACAATAATAATAATAGAAATAGTTTGGGTATGACCAAATGAGTAGGGGCAAGCAATGTATACTAATCCGTTGGTCTAAGCCGGAAGTCAGGGTTTTTGTGGTGGGGCCGCAATATGGTTGACCGGCTAGTATATAAAAAGTTTACCTTCCAAAGTTTTTTGTCGATGGGCATTGCGCATTTGACAAAGGTATGGAGTGTCAAGGGGTTGACCCGAGTTTGTTTAATGACAAGTACACTAGAATTTAACTATATTAAGCATAGAGTCGCTGCAAGCAGAGGCGGACCCACCTTGAGTCCTATGAGATACCGGGACCCCACAGACCCCGGTGTAGGTTCATATAGGTATTAGGTATGTATTAATAGTAATATATAAACAACTCTTGTAAATTGGTAACCAAAAGCGTGTTTGGTTCTGCGGGGTGCGCCTTGCCAGTGCTCCCTTGGGACGGAGGTTCGACTCCCTTTTTGCTCTCCCCTTTTCTCTGTAAATTTCTCCTCTCTTCCCCAATTCTTTAGTTTACACTTTTGAATGTGGAACCCTAAAGCTTCTGCCTGTCTCCGGATTCCGTCACTCACTAACTCCCGTCAGCGACTCAGCGGTAAGGTAAAATTTTTCTTTATTTTACTAAAAATTAAGCGTGGTATATTTTGGAGTCAATTTCTTAGTTATTTTTTTTCTTTAAAAGCATCAAAACTACGTCGTTTTGCTCTCCCCCTTTTCTCTGTAAATTTCTCCTCTGTTCCCCAATTCTTTAGTTTACTCTTTTGAATGTGGAACCCTAAAGCTTCTGCCTGTCTCCGGACTCCGTCACTCACTCACTCCCGTCAGCGACTCAGCGGTAAGGTAAAATTTTTCTTTATTTTACTAAAAATTAATTTTTATGGTAGTTTGAATTTTGATTTTTGAAGTTTGATATATGAATATATGATTAGTATTTAGTAATATATATTAATTTATACATTTATTTTTTATTCATTAAAGAGTATTGTTGAGATTTGACCATAGATTCAATGATTTAAAGAGTATTGTTGAGCTCTCAGTGAAAATGGTTTCTACTAAAAAGTCTCTTACGTACGGTTTCGTATATACTCTCATAAAGTTGGCATTGATACTTCATATGGCAACATCAAGTGTTGAACGGTCTTTTTCGGGAATGAAGTTCGTGTAGAATGAGTTGCAGAATAAAATTTGTGATCAATGGTTGAATGACTGCTTAGTAACTTATGTTGAGAGAGATGTTTTTTCCACCATTAGTGATGATATAATTATAGATCACTTCCAAAGTATGAAAACTAGACGAGTACAATTGTAAACGTATGACTTTATTTATATGTCTTAATTATGGATTTATGGTACTCTTAAAATATTAGTTTTAATTTATTATTAAATGTTAAGACTTATGAAGTAGTTTGACATGAGAATGGAAGGTAGTTAGGTAGGGGACCCCATGGCCTTAAAATCTTGGATCTGCCTCTGTATGCAAGTACAAGTTTACAGACTCCACTCACTACCACCAATCTAGGATCAAATTCTAATTTATCTTCTCTCAGTCACCATTTAAACGAGTTTGAAAGGACCATCAGGATGAGGCTCATCCGTTTATAATCGTTTTAAAGATGGTCATCATAATACGAGGATGGTACGTCGTGTGTTGCAAAGTGACGACCAAAACATGAAAAAACTTTTGGAGTTATTCGTGTTGATACTTTTACACCATAGTAACATACCCGGTAGGTTTATCTCCCACGTTCTGAAGGGGCATAACACCATCAGTTCGAAGTCACGTACTCTAATGAGTGAGTCCAAAGACTATATATACCAGTATACTTTTTCGAACTCAATCGGTGATCTATTTTAGCTCAAATTTCGCATTTTGATATGCTTGCAACTTGACCGATTACTTTATGTGGACCAGGTTTGGACTAGTCCTGGGTGGAATACACTCATCAATAGTAATATTAATATTAATATTAATAATAATAATAATAGTAATAATAATAATAATGATGATGATGATGATGATGATGATGATGATGATGATGATGATGATGATGATGATGATGATGATGATGATGATGATGATGATGATGATGATGATAATAATAATAATAATAATAATAATAATAATAGAAATAATAATAATAATGGTCCAATGACAACCACTTCACACTTAAGATTTTCTCTTTGTGGGAGTTCTTGAGTTTAAGTCACTCTACCAACAAAAAGGGCTTACTTTCACCTATTTATAGGTTTGAGGGTTAGATCCTATTTTTGCATGTATCAATAGTACCAACACTCTAAAAGAATCACAACCTTAGTTCGGGTATGACCAAACGAGTGGGGGCAAGCAGTGTATACTTATCAGTTGGTCCAAGTCGGAAGTTAGGGATTTTGTGGTGGGGCCGCAATGTGTTGGACCGGCTAGTATAAAAAGTTTACCTTCCAAAGTTTTTTGTTGATGGACATTGCGCATTTGACAAAGGTAGGGAGTGTTAAGGGGCAAACCCGAGTTTGATTAATGACAAGGGAAAAATACTAAAGTAGGAGTAAAACATTGAAAATATGTCAAAATAAGACTTCCCTGTTTTTATTTCCGAAATTAGTAAAAATGCGTTTACATTACCGAAAATGATCATGTATAGTACCAAAAAGTATAGTAATGTACGTGTGCATGTACAGTGTCACATTATAGCTACAGTAATACAATGCGATGTCGTCCTATTTCAAAAATAAAAACATGGAACTCCTATTTTGGTACTTCTTTCTATGTTTTAGTTCTATTTAGGGTGATTTCTATAATGACAACTATGCTAGAAAGTAACTATGTTAAGCATAGAGTCTATGCAAATACCAACTTTTAGATTCCACTCATTGCCACTAATTTACGATCAAAGGACTTTTGGGGATGAGGCTCCTCCTTTGTCATCATGATATGAAGATGGTAGGTCGCGTGGTGCAAAGTGACGACCAAAACACGAAAAATGGCCTTCACATTATTAGCCTTTTTTTTCCTTAAAAAGCGTGCTCTTCTTTGTCTTATGCCCTAAATTCGTAGAACAAGAGCATATCATCCATCCAACTAACTATTGACGACACCAAACATTATCCACTGGGAAAATAAAATAAGTAAATATAGAAGCGGATCGGATAAGGTAACGGGCAATATATGGTGCGTGATGGAGAACATATATAGGGCCTGTTTGGGAATAGCTTTAGAGATTAACGTTAGCGTTTTCAAAAGGCTACCTAAGGGCAGCTTTTAGCGTTTTCAAATTAATCTGCACCGTTAAAATTTTATCCAAAACGCTAACGCTAATCTCTAACGCTATTCCCAAACAGGCCCATATTCATTCTTAGCAATTCATGCATGATTGGCTAAATTATATCATGGGGGGATGACCCAAAGGCAAGGCATAACGTGGGGATGGATGGGTCGACGTGAGTAGGCAGTGACAAAGAGCTGACTGATATATTTAAACATTTATGCCAAAAAAATCATATAATAAAAAAAGCTTTTGTTATACTATCAAAAATAACAATATCAAAAATAGTACCAAAGGAGGACTTTAATATGAAAAAGGGGGAAGTATTAAATATGTAACAAAAGAAAATATAACTTGACTTTTCATTACTGAAGAACTTTAATATAAAAAGGAGGAGGTATGATTTATTCAATGCATATTACTCCGTATTAAATTATTTATTTACTTATGACTGTGAGGAAACTAATTACTCAATATAGGACAGAGGTCAATTGATAGAAGTGTGTCTCTATAGAGACAAATAGAGAAGAAGTTGTTGAGGCTTTGACTAATAACTCTATTGCAAGTTAGTGTTATTTTCGCTCCATCATTGATTATTTTAAGACTCTCCAATCACTTTGTAGTGGATAGTTTAGTTCTTATTTTAGTTTTGGTTCTACAAATTAGGGGCACACTTGTTAGCACATCCTCTGCTTTGTATTAGAATATAAAAACTTCCAAATGTCTTGGGAATCCTTAACACAACTCGTCATTAATAGATAACTCCGAGGAAGTATTTTCAACTCCACGAGGACTCTAATTCCAAATATCACAATTTGCAAGTTTAATTTTTGTACATCGACTTCTGATTGATCCCATTTGTCACCGTGTGTTGTAACATCTTCTATGTCTCCTTAAAAAACAACGATTCTAAAAAAACCAAAATAAAAAACCTCTTCTAAGTAGATGTTTCTACGTAGTAAAACTTCTTGGAACTAACACTGATTTTTACTCAACCCATTACATCATATATATTAACTATTAATCTATTCATCACATCCAAAGATAAAATTAGAAAATTAACTATAAAATACACTTTTCATAAATTTGCCAAAAGATAAAAATGAGAATTATTTTTCATAAACGAGGGGGTAGTTTTTAATAGTTAAAATATCACATGTGTCTTTCAATTATTTCTGGCTGGTTTAATTTCATGGATTATAAAAATAACTGCATTATTGAAACATAAAAAGATTGGGATTAAAATTTATTTTGAGTTTTGAAAGGTACGAAGTTAAATATTATGAGTTCGTATATTATTGAAGTATAAATATAGTTTATTTTAGGATAATAGAAAACATAAAGCATGAATTTAATTTAATGTATGCCAAAATATCTATAATGACAATAATGGAAATATGAACACTAAATTGAAGTACCCAAAAAAAGAAAATACCAAACAATAATAATAATAATGGTGAATATTAATACTTGCAGGAATTATATGAAGCATATATATTTTAGCTAAGCTGAAAATAAAAACATGTAATTACCCTTAATCAAACCACCACCATCATAATCTAAAGTTTTTTTTAAAATTGGGACAATATATATATATATATATATATATATATATATATATATATATATATATATATATATATATTACATTAGCAATATATGAAAATTTAAAAGAGCTTATTATACAACATATATGTATATGATCAACTTTGAGTGGAGTGAAAATAGAGAAAGGGAATCCCCACAGACACACACAAACAAACAGAAGAGATTACTCAATTATGACTCATATGCAGATTTAACAGACTTGGGAGAAACAGATGTCTTCGCACCCATGGAACTCGATCTCTTGAAGACGTTCGGCGGAGAGCGGTGAATCCGGCACCGGAACGACCCTTTGTGGGTCGTCGGCGAGCAGAGGCACTGCCCCTTGGGGGAGCTGTTGGCCGGAGCGGTATCATCGGATTCTCCGCCGCCGGCGACACCTTTTGGGGAGGTGGTGGAGACACTCATCGCACAACTGTTTGGGGTTGCCATATTTTTTTATTCCCTTTCTATTCTTCAGATAAGATACACTACTCCATGAATGAATTATTAAAAACCTTATCGGTATACTTTGTGTATTTATAGGAAAATATTCCGTAATATATTCCTTTATATATATATATATATATTTTTTTTTCATTTATTCCAAAAAACTCTTCCACTTCAATTAAAATATCATTTCTACTTCTACTAATTATTAACTTACCTACATATCACATCATATATATTTATTAATATTTCATATTAATGTAACATTAATTATATCAAACATTAATGTTTGATTGTTCTGGTTTGGAAAGAACTCCTAATCTTAATAGTTGAAGTCTTGAGCAAGGAGTCTTAGAGACTCCTTAGAGCTGAGGTGTCAATTCTTGTGGAGTATACATCTACGAGCGATTGTAATGGTTTGCAAAACATTAATAATAACAATATTAGTAATAATAATAGTACTACATAATGAAATTAATAATAGCGAAAATACTTGAGATAAATCATTAATATATAAATAAATTATAACAATGAAAAGTACTTGGGATAAATAATAAAATATAAATAAATTATAACAATGAAAAATAAAAATTATAACCTCCATCCATGAGTATTTGTCCAGTTTTGACTTTTTTCGGTCAACTGTTTTCAACCTTTGACTTATAATTAAATAAAATATACATTGTATTTTAATTAAATAAAATAATTTTTTAAAAATATTTGATATAATAAATCTAGTATAACTCCTTTTGTATCAATATTTAATATTATTTTTATTTAATTTAAGGTCAAAGTTTACCAATTTTGTCTGAAAGAAGTCAAAAGTGAAGAAATATTCAGAAATGGAGGGAGTATAAAATAGGACTTGACATAAAACCCCCAAGATAATATGACATTCAAAACACTTTTGAGTTTATATTTAGAGGAGTGCTAGGGGATCCCAAGATTTTGACTTTAAGTGCACACCAAGGCAATACAAACACACCAAGACATTTAATATCTGTGTGCGCACAGACATTAAATGTTCAAGTTTATCTATATTTTCCTTGGTATGTATTTAGTGTCAAAATCTTGAAGTCCCCCTAGTATTTTTGTTAAATTTATGTGTAATTTTGAGCTCCAAAATTTACAAATAAAAATTCATCCCAACTACTTTTTTAGAATCATTGGAAAAATATTAATAATTCAAAAAATAAAAATTCATTTCGGATATTCCATTGATCCGATTCGAAATTTTGGATATCCGAGAATCGGATATCCCGAGTTGCAAAATCAGACATGAAATTGTTCTTGCCGATCCAAAATTTTGGATATTCAAAAAACTGGATTGAGTTGGATCAAATATATCCGAATGAACAGCCGGTTGCCCCCCTCCTATCTCTTCCCATTCCCTCTCATACTTTCCTTCCCCTCCCCTCCCCTCCCTCCCTCCCAACCAAACATGCCCTTAGGCCTTAGTTATAAAAATCAGATTTTTATGAGCAAAAGCCTTCAACACACAACCTTGAACAAGTACAGCACCAATCGATTCTGAGAATGAGAATCCGTTGAAAGATTATAGTTAAAAAATGCACCATTAAGCTTTTGTCCCTCATATATTCGGAGTATCAATGAAAAATCAATGTTTTAGATTAAAATCAAAAATCAATATTGAATCTGCTTGACTATCGTATTTAAGAAATCAAAGAGTTTGTGGAGTCCAGTAGAAAGAGCCTAGACCAAAGGCAATAATAAATACTACCGTACGATAATAGGCATCATATCCTGTGCATAAAATGTCCAAACGGCAACCAGACCTGCTCCTTTCCTTAAACTGGATAAGAATCATGAGTAACAGGGGATAAGTAAACGATAAGTTAGTTCAATAAGATCATCATACAAAAGTGCTGTTCCTTTTATAAGCTTGCTGTCAAAATGTTTTGTGCAGCAAGTTATATGAGAAAAAAGTAAGCCATACCCTTAACTATCCACCAGACAGGAAGTTCTATGCTTTAACTTTTTGCTTTGTTGGCAAACGTTTTCGTACAAGTGACAGTTTAGACCTTGAAGACAATCTCCTTTCATCTCCACTATCCTCGCTGTCCAATACAATCACTGGATCATCAGATGTTGGTTGTGCTATTTTGTTTTCTTTGATGTTTGTGTGCAGTTTTTCCTCTCTGTCATGTTCATGCTGTTTCTGGAGCAGTTGGAGATTAGTTTCATCACTTTCTTGCAGATGTACATTAGATTGCAAAGGTTGCCTTCGCAGATTCCCGCCCAGCTTATTGCCACCTATGGCAGAAGACTTCGCCGCATGACCGTAAAAATCACTGCCTTCTGACATTGCACACAAGTCCAATGGTTCAGAATGCAAATTGGCCTTTGAATCAGCAAAGCTGCTGGAAGAGATTAGATTCTCTTTGTTATTTTGCAGGCTCTGAGATGATCGCGATGACCCCAAAGTCATTTTCCTACCAGATAAACCAAGCCTTTTGTGCTTCATTGAGGTGAACATGTTTAAGTTTCTATCGGCAGTGTCCATGCGGGGATGACTAGCGGTTTCAGGCAGTGGAATATCTGATGGATGAGATATGGTGCGCAATTCCTTGCCACTTTGTGGTTTCGAATCGTTGTGTTTTAGTGACTGTTTCAGCTTCAAGCTTATATCCACACTCCCCATTCCATATACGGACTCTATCTGATTGTCAGATGGATACTGAACAGGGTTCCCATTCACTCCCTCCACAGTGATTGTCTTCCGTTTTAACCCTTCGGATTCAATGTGATTGTCAAAGTCATCATTAGCAGAGATTTCATTCACTTTCTTATTAGTTGAGTCTTTATAGTGATTCAACTCAGCCACTTCAACTACCACAGTACCAGCATTATGCAGCTTTGATCCTGAAGAATCCAGAGACAACTTTCTGCTAACACCACTTAATCTATTTTGGCTTTGAATTGAGTAAGAGCTTGGCACATCTGATCTCCTATCGTCAACCTGCAGCTGGTAGAGACTTAAATATAAAAACTCAAAGCAGACACTATAGGAACCACCCAAGAAGCAAATTTTACCTTTTCTGTGCGAGGACTTGTTCGAGTTTGAATTTCTATGTGAGAAACATAAGCACCATCTTCACTTGCTCGGGGCATAGCAAACCTTTCTGTCATGGATCTTGCTTTCTGATAAAAAGCTTGCATATTGTATTTGTATTCCTTACTCTGCATATCACCCACATATCAAAGTTCAAAGGAAACATAAAATGAAGCAAGTAGTCATCATCTTTTTACCATTACCCAACTACCGAAGAGTTGTTACTTACAGCATCATGCATCAAGCCATCATCAGGGTTTGGTTCACTTAACAACAACCCAATGCTAGTCAAAACAGATGAAATATTCAAAGATGGTTGCCACGCACCCTGCTTGGATTGAAACAGTCTGTTAAAATGCAAGAAAGCAACAAAGAAAAAGATCTCCAAAAACAACCCTAAACTGATGACTTTAAATCAAGTTAAAATCCTCAAAGATAGCTGCAACACACCCTGCTTGAGTTGAAATGATCCATTAAAATGCAGGAAAGGCAAAGCAAGGAAATAAATCTCCAAAACAATCCTAATCCAATGCATTCGAATTTACTGAAAGATGCATACTCTTATACTCCCTCGGTCCCTCTACGTTTGGGACAAAGGGAGTACATGATTGTGAAAGGGCTAACCTTTGGAGGAAGATTGAGTATATCCAAGCAAATGCGACCTCCATTGTCGATATTCGGATGATATATAGGAGTAACGAAGGTCACAACAGGAGGATGAAACGGGTACCTACAATGAACACAATCAAATCCCAACCTATCAAGATCCTGTAAGAAAATGGCCAAATTGAAAACGAGAAAATTGATAAATAGATATGAACACATAAACCGATTAAACCTAATTCAGTTGCTTGCCGTCCCGAATTGCATATTTAAAAAATCATAAAATTACCTTTCGGGAATTTGGATTTTAAGCTTAAAAACACCATTCGCGTACACGGAACCCTCGGGGCCTTCAATTTCTGCAAAATCAGGAAACGAAGAGTGAAACACTGTTGACAGTCGGAGGACTAAGCATGAGAAGACTTGCCGGCGTCTATGGAGGAGAGGGAGGGAGCGGCGGACGAGGAGGGGGAGGAGCAGAGAGAGGGAAAGGCGGCGCCGGGAGGTGGATCTGAGAGGAGGAGCTTAAGCTCCCTTTGCATCCGGAGGCTCAGCCGCGCAGCTTGCGCCATTCGCTCCGACGAGCAGAAAACGCTCTCGAAATTTTTGATTTTTCGGGAAGAAAAACGCGGGCTAATGTGACCCAAACGTAGGGGTGAGAAATAGAAATTGTGGTAAATTGTGTGGGGAAAATAGTAATATCATCCTGGTGTAAAAATTTTTTTAAAAAAAGACAAAAAGGTAATGTTGAGAGTGGGATTTGAACCCACGCCCTTTCGGACCAGAACCTTAATCTGGCGCCTTAGACCAACTCGGCCATCTCAACGTTGTTGACTGTAGTTTTGATTTCTTAAATATAACACTTAGATTTTGTTATAGTGCATGGCAGGCATATTTGTAGCTTTCGTACCGGAACAAGAATTTGAATCGGTCCAAACAAGTACCGATTTAGTTTTTTGTTTTCTTATGTTTATAATGCTTATTAGTTATTTTCAACTAGTTTGAGGTTAATTTATTAAGTGGTACTCCTATTTTTGAACCAGAACCTAACACGGCTCTTCCACCATCCGAGATCCCTCTCCCTCTTCGATTGAGTTGAACATAGTTCAACGAATTCACTAGGACTTCGTTTTTCTTTCAAATGAGTTGAACATAGTGAAACGAATTTTCTAAAGACTATCGACTTCATTTCCTCAAAAAATGGGTATCAAAATTGGCGGTTTCGAAATCATAGTCGAATTGACCGGTAAAGTCCCCACACATAATTTGGAAGTTTTACCTCCAAATTTGAGTAAAACGTGGGGGGAGGGGTATTTTTTTATCATTAAAGATACTCTAACTTTTAGCGTTCTAACAAAAAGTTATCCCAACAACAATTTCTAACAAAAAGATACTCCTATTATACATTTTGTCAAGTTCTAAAAAAATATAAATTTTGTAACAAAAAGGTACTCCAAACCGGTTTACGGGTCACCAACAAGTCACAAAGACTAAAATTGCAGTTTCTCGTTTTTATGTCATAGAGCTTTTGACTGTATTGGTTTCTTACTTGTTCAATTAAGCTAAACACAATTACATGTTCATCCCATTTTTCTTCTTTTTCTATTAGAACTTTCAAAGTTAGTTTATACAATATTTTATTTTTAATTAACCCTTTTATTATTTTATATATTATATGGAGAAAAAGTTTCAAAAGTTATCTCTAATAGTCTACGAAATTTATATTTATATCCTTCTATGTTTTGGTTTATTTTTATTGAGCTTGGTTTGTACATCAAAAAAGCGGCAAGAAACTACAAAATATCGTTGGGGAAAGTCGGGAACTTACCGGGGGAGTGGGGCAATGTTCCCGATCCTGCTACCTCGACTCCCCAGTTGGCCCCTGACCCCACACTTCATCGGTTGTGTTAGAGGATACCATTTTGACCTCAAAATTACACACACACTCATAGACGTAAAGTTTTGTATCATACTCTTCCGTTTTAATTTTTTGCATAGCCCATAAAATACTTCTATCCCACCTAAAATGTCTAAAATACCTCTAAAACAACTTCTACCCGCAATAAACTACATAGTGGGATATATTTTAGATATTTTAGGTGGGAGTAAAATCGTTTAATGAGGTGCGCAAAAATTTAGGGTAAAAGGATTTTAAGGAAAGGAGAGAGTACATCTTTATTGTCTGTGTCTGTCAGAATATCTATATAAAACTTGAGGTAAAAAAGATGTCACCATTTTAATACTCCCTCCGTCCCAAATTATTTGCCACATTTGTATTCTCAAGGTAAAATATCAAATTTTTTAAATTCATTTTATTTACATATTGGTAAAGAAATAAAAAATAAAATTTACATATAAAAAAACTACATGAAAAAGTCTTCGAAATAAGAGGTGTCAGGAATATTTTATTTTATCAAATAATCAATGAAAACGTCGAAATAAACAAAAGTTCCCGACACTGCTGAAAAAACAAATGTTGTGAATATTTAGGGACGGAGGGAGTATGTCCCTAGCATTCCATTGCCCATAGCCTTAAAATGGAGTACTCCAAAATTAATGCAAAGCACACAGCCCACCAATAGAAAAGAACAGCAAGCTGCAATTCTGCAGAGATGTGTCAATTTGACATTACCCATTTTAGGATACGCAGCTTTTAAAATCCCAAGCATTAACTCCACCAAATTCATTAGCTCAAAAGGAATGTTATGGATGGAATGTTTACCAAAGAAGCCCTAGCCTAGCAAGAATCACCAAAGCCAGTACACCTAACCCATAGCCTAGCTATCTTTACACATAGCAAACCTAACCCAACCCAACCCCAAATAATTTTTAGCATGATTCTTTCCCTCTGCAGAGTTTGGGCACTTTTGCCCACTCTTTCTAATTCCATTGTTCACTCTTTTTCAATTTAAAAAACGAGCCTCATACCCGAGGGTTTTCTCAAATCCAGTCGGAGAGTCATTGATAGAAATAAAATTAGACTTTGATCGCGGACTAGTGACAAAGATTAGGACAAAGACCTTGTACTTGCAGATGTCGGTTGTTCAGGGCTAGCCCCGAAAAATGAAAAAATAAATTTGGCCCGGTCCAAAACTTAGATTTTGGGTCTTATTTTATTTTTTAGAATACTTTTGCTTTAAAATTATTAACAAATTTAAAAATATGGGGCCCTAAAATTTTAGGATCCCTATGCGGTTGGCTATTTTGCACACCTCCGGATCACCCATGCGTCTGTTTAGCATATTTACCCCTCAACGCATTTACTCAGAATCGAACTCGAATCTTACTCTTTTTCAATAGGAAGCTAAACAAATGCCCTTTGTGTCATTTTCTTGGTTTAAATGGTTAAAATGGAGCCATCCCTTTCACAAACAATGCTATCCTTTTTCATTTGTACATACTGTGGAAATTAAACATGGGAGAGAATAAGAAGAAGTCAGAAGCCACTTCAATTCAAAATCTCCTATTCAATTAATGAGTCTTGCAGTACGTGCCCCTTTTCTTCCCCTTTTTATTCCCTTGTGTGTGGGGATTATCAATCCGAATTAATCACTCCTAACTAACCTTGTTTGGCATTTTATGTTTGGATTTTAAACATGAGGAATGTTAGTTAATGAGCAATAGATTCACAAATAGGATACTCATAAATTTCACAAACTTATTATTTATGGTTTAAATTTTTATATTTAGACTATTTAATTTTACTTATTGAAGTTCACAATTAGTAAGTTTATGAAGTTTGTGATCATTTTTGTTTGTGAACCAAGCATTTTCCTTAGTTAATACTCCCTCCCTTGTTTCAATACCATTGGAAGAATAATTATGTGTAGAAGAATATAAAGATACACACCCAATAGTGTTTGAAAGCATGAAAAATCACTTATCATTTTATTTATTTTCTTTTCTTTTTTGATACTAAAAATAAAATAAACTCTAATACAATTAATATTTGATAGTTCTAAGATTTCATAACAAACTCTTCACTCAATTAAATTTATTGTGTACATGAACTCACCCGGCGAACTAATCCTCACGTTAGAACTCAGTACGGTACGGCCCTTTTCTATTACAGTTTTGGAGTTTAGCGTTAGGGTTTTTGAAAAGATCATCTAACGTTAGCCTTTTGCGTTAACAATTTCAAAATTTATTTACACAATTATAATTTATCTAAAACACTAACAGTATTCGAAAACGTTGTTCCCAAACAAAGCATATCTTGTCTGCATCATCTTGGATAGTACACTCTTTGAATATCTAAGAAAGAGGCATACATTTTCTTACAAAAACTGAAGTCATTTTATCATGATACAGTCATGCAACCCAACCATAATAAGAAGAAGAGGCATACAAATTAAAAACAAAACAGAATTGACACTAAAAACCAGCTTCATTCTCTGGGCATTTTAGGTTTTTTCCCATGGAAGACGGATTTGTTGTGTGTCTTGCTCCACAGGCCCTGCAATGTGGATACCCATGAGCACGGCCTGCGGAGCAAGACGACACGTAGATCAAATCCGCTTCAGTATTTTCAGGGGCAGAAATTGGAAAAGAGTGCTTCACAAATCTCCTTGAACACCTGAATGATGACCCCATGAAGATGGAGAGAGTTCAGGTAAAGAAAACACTGCAAAAGCTTCTCCAAATCTTTGGCTCCAAATATCTGTTTCTCCATTATCATCTCCAGCATGGATGCTCTGAAATCCCCGTGCGGATCTCTCGACTGCTTCACCACCGCCCTCGTGACCTTCACTCTGTCCTCCGCCGCCCTCCTCCGCCGCCACCTCCTCCTCCTGCTCTCCGCCCTGCGCCCGCCGGAAAACTCGGAGGAGAACAGAGTGTCTTTGTCGTCTCCGGGGAACTCTTCGTCTTCCTCTGTTTCCTCATCGCTGCTGAACAACCCGTTGTACCGGACCTCCGGGAAGTCTTGGAAATCCAAACCCAGCTTCCTTGTGCTGCGGCGGCGCGGGAATTTGGTATTTCTCCGGCGGGGGGGCAGAGGCGCCGGGGGAAATTCAGGGGAGTTTTTGTTCCTCGAGAGCAAATTGAGATGGTCGGAGAATAAGCGGGGAGGAGAGGCGGGCTTAAGAATGTCGATGTTTTCGATGTCGTCCGGGATGTTCTTGGTCTTGCATGACCGGAAAGATGATCGGAAAATGCTGGCAATCTTGTGTTTGAATTGGTTCTCCATGGAATTTGTGAAATAGTCCCGAAATGCCCTCTGCCCGAGCTTATATATATACGGAGTAATAAGGATGTAGTAAAAGGTGTGACACTTTAGATTTTGTTTGGAGAATATGAAATTGTACATATCCAAAGGAGAGTAGTTAGAATGTACTTCATCTGCTTTTTTGGAATTTATTTAGTACTCTCCCCATCCCTTCCTATTTTGATTTTTGAATTGTTATCAAATCCTATTCATTTTTTTTTCCAAACAATATTATGTGTTACTAAAAAAAATGAATCTCTCTTCTTGTTTGGTTAAAAAAAGTGGAGGAGAAGAACTTGAAATTCAAACTTTAAACCTTTCCCCTCTCCTCCAATTAAATAAAAATAATATTAGATATTGATACAAAAATAATTTAATTAGATTTATTATATTAAATAAATTCAAAACATTATTTTATAAAATTAATATACAATATATATTTTATTTAATTACGAGTCAAAGATTGAAAACAGTTATCTAGAAAAAGTCAAAACTGGACAAATACTCATGGACAAAGGTAGTATGACATTCTTGGAGGGGTGAGTTATGCCCTCCTTCTTTATTTTCCCTCTTGGCTCTGCTTTTGGATTTTTATTGGTTCAATAAAAGAGGAATAAAAGGGAGATTGGTGATAAGAATGAATGATTTGAGAGAGAAAAAATGGGTTAAGAATTGATGATGGAGAAAAAGTTTGGGTTGGACTGTTTGAGATTCTGATATGGTAAATTGAATATAAACGACTATAGATAAGAAGATGAGTTGAGAGAGTATTTGAGAAATTGCCGATCTGAAAAATTGAAGGAAGAATATTGGCCCGACAGGTGGCTAATGGCTGCGCCGCCGGCCTGGAGCGAGCTTAGAGAATTTTAAGTCACAAAGAGCGATGATCTGATACCATATTGAAATACTAGAATAATAATAATAATGCTCATTGAATTATGGAGTACAAAAAACACAATTCTTGTTCGGTACCCTACAGGTCCGAGAATAGAACCAGGGGGGTTATCTACAATTATGTGCTAGAACCGCCTGTCTAGTGTCTAGTATCAGTTTTATTTTCTTTTTTACTTGGACCATTGTTACTTGCTCCGAATTGTTCCTTGTTTGGTTCTTGAGAATGGGTTCCATGTCTTTCAACAACATGTTCCTTGTTTGGTCGCTCACAAGGCTGACTACTGGCCGTTGACACGACCTCGTTCACCTCCGATCCTCGTTTACCACCCGCTCCCGATACACCTCTGATCTCACGTTCTTGCTGTGATACTCGTCGGCCCCCAGGGCCGGCCTCGAAAAATTAAAAAAATAAAATTGACCCGGTCTGAAATTTACATTTTGGGTCCTATATTATTATTTTAGAATACTTCTGCTTCACAATTAATAATGAATTTAAAAATATAGGACCCTGAAATTTTAGAGATCATGTGCAATTGGCCACTTTGCACACTCTCTGAGCCACCCAAGCTTCGTCCCCCAGCGTTAGACGGGCCATCGTGCAACGGATTATTCACAAGGCATGGGGAACCCTGATCTAGAGAAAGAATGTAAAACGAGAGAGATGAAGGAATAATTTAAGGGGGGACAATGAGCTATGAAATACATTCAGCTAATGTTTTGTCAAGCGTAGCCTAGGGTTACATTCAGCAATGAAACCATAACCAGTCTTAGTTATACACTAAACCAAATAACCATATCAAACTCATACATAAATACCAACGAAATAGTTTAGCCCCTATCTTTCAAATTCTCGGCCTTTGTCGTCTTTTTTGTCTCCAAACAGGGCCCCCATTTCCTCCAGGCTCTTGCCTTTGGTCTCAGGCAAGAGGAAGTAAAAGAAAAGGGTGGCCAAAACCATTATCCCTGAGAGCACAAGAAACATTCCTCCAAAAGAAATCTTTTTAGAGATGGTTAGGAATGTGGCCGAGACCACCCCGCTCACCAGCCTGTTCACCGACACCGCTAGGGCCGATCCTTGGGCCCTCAGCCGGAGCGGGAAGACTTCGGCTGAGTACACCCAAGTGATCGGCCCAAGCCCAATTGAGAAGAAGGACACGTCGGCGCAGACCGCGAAGACGCACAATGCGATGGCCCATATGGGCTTGTGGTGCGCGTGCGCGAGAAAGGTCGAGCCCAGACCAAGCCCAACGAGGGAAACGGCCTGGCCCATCGTGCCCAGAAGCAACATGGGCCGCCTCCCGAAGTTGTCCAGGAAAAGTGCGGAGACCAGAACGAAGGAGGTTTTAGCCAGGCCCATGGCTATGGTCACCCCGATTTGGCCCTTCCGGTTGGTGATTCCGGCGGACTGGAACACCAACGGGGTGTAGTAGACCACCGCGTCGTTGCCGGAGGCTTGCATGAAGAAGTTGATTCCAATGGCTGTGACTAGCATCCGCCTCACCGGCGGAGTTGGCCGGAAAAGCTCCCTCCATGCCCCTTTGCCGCCAACGGAAGCCGCCTTACTTATTTCCTCCAGCCTCTCCTCTGCCTCCTCCTCACTCTCTGAAGTCCTGATCAGAACCATCCTGGCCTCACTGAGCCTCCCTTTCATGACCAGCCACCGGGGAGACTCCGGCATCCTAATAACCCCAAGGGCGATCCCAATTGCCGGAACCCCAGAGAGGCCCAGCATGAGCCTCCAGCTGATATTCGCCGGAAGCCCAGACAAGGCAATGTTAGAAACAAACCCAATCAGAATCCCAACATTGATGAACACTTCCGGCAGAGAAGAGAGGAACCCCCGGGTCAAGGCCGGAGACAGCTCACTGGTGTACACCGGAGCAATCATGAGGGAATAGCCGACCCCGATTCCGGCGACCACCCTGCCGGCTAAAAGGTAGGGATACGAAGGGGCAATCCCCATCAGGAGTGCTCCGATCACGAAAGTCACCGCCGCTAAGACTATGGTGTAACGCCGGCCAATCAAATCGGAAGTTTTGCCGGAAGCCAGGGACCCAATCAGGGAGGAAACGTTCAACAAGCTGACCAGCAACTCGTGCTGAACCGGCGAAATCTTGAACGTCTCCTTGATGAAAAGGACGGCGCCACTCATCACCCCCAGATCTACACATTTTCAACAAAATTTAACGGAAATTTTGAGCTCTTAGAACGGCGGCCTAAGTTGCAAATTTCAACAGAGACGGAGAGAGCTTACCGTAACCTAAGAGGATAGAATTGGTGGAAGCCAGAAGCGCACTGAGAAAAGCATATTTGTTGAGACGATGAGGGGAACCGGGTCCGGGTCGAGATTCAACCCGACTGATTTCCATGGCAGCAGCAGGCTTATTGGTGGGCTCAGGATCCATACCCTACCGGAAAAAGGGTTCGGAACAACTAGCAACAAACACCGACGGGTGGTGGCGCCGCCGCTCCTTCTTCCACAACGCAGATTTGCATGTCAGCCCCGGCGTGGAGGTGACAAACCAGCTTCCTTATTTTACTCACACATCCAACACTTTCTTGTGCATCTATGTCATATGCTCAAGCAAACTCACTCCTAGGAAAAATTAATGAAATTCTACTACTATTAGCAAACTTCCAATCAAAACGTTAAATTATAAATTTAGGAAATTAATTAATGAATATAATTCATTGCACTATAATCCAAGGATAATGCTACGGTCACAGATATATTGGTCACAAACTACATAAACTTGTGATTTGTGTATTTTTATTTTTATTTTTTTAATTATTTAAAATATTTAAAACTTCATCTACATGATATTCCATCTCTTACAAAATCAGGATGTCCTTTATTTTTTATACTATATTTAGAATTAATAAGATTGTATAATCAAAATTTATACACACCGAGTATAATAGAAATAATGTGATTCATGATTGTACCCAAAAAAAATAAATTAAACATTCCGAATAAATAGAGGAGTATAATGTGATTTTTGATTGAAGGGTGTTATTACGAAATATAGTAATTGAGTAATCAAAGTAAAAAGAAAATGTAAAGACACACAAATTTAACATGGTTTACCAACGTTGTGCTGGCTACATCCATAGGCAAGAACGGAGGCGGATTGCATTATGACAGCGATTCCTGAGTACAAAGCTCTTGTGCCCTACCTCTATATAAATTGGCAAACAAGACGGGCTAGGCCCAATACAATAATTAGAGCCCAATATAACAACATAGACATAGCATACCGTCGAGTTGGGGGAACTCCCCCACCCCNTTTACTTATATGCCCAGCGGCAACACAATACAGATTCAAGACATATTAACAAAGACATATTTCAAGATGTAATTTGATCTTTTGAAAAGTAGTTAGAAAAGTATATAGTGATTTTTATCCAACATCAAACTCTATCATACTTATTATGTCTCAAATTAATCATTCAAGTTATAATTACGGTATTTCAATTACTTATGTTTGTATATATGTTTTTATTGTTCATTTGATAACATAAAATACTTTCATCAACCTTTTATTTTATAAAATTTTGATGTAGTTCTGAATATTGTGATTTGTATTTTATATTTTATACCAATTTGTAAATAAAATAATTTCAAAAGAGTACAGTTTGACATGTTTTTTCAAATGAGAAGAAGACAATGAGACCGATGAAGATTTTCCTATGAATTAAACACTTTTTAAGATAATTTTATTTATTCCTATGTTCTCATTAACTAGTATCACACTCGTGCATTGCACGGATCATATTTACGTTATGAAATTATATTAGTGTCATTATTAAGTAATAGAAATAGACGTCATAATGAAATACAAAGTTGTAAAACATGAATATCAAATGAATTACAAATTTTAGAAAGCATCTTTATAAACTACATTAGTACTCATGAATCATTTATTGCAATCCCATGTTTTTTGTCAAATGCAACATAGTGCAATGTATCCAAATGTAGGAAGAATTAGTTGCTGAATTAACAAAATGGGTCATTCATCGAATTCGAAGTCAACAATCAACAATAATCATCATAATATTTCATCTCAACTAGCGGCCTAATATCGGGTGTTAACACTCTATCTTACCATCATGCACTAAATAAGTTATTAGAATTAATCAAAATTGAATATTATCAAAAATATGATTTAATAGTTCAAAAAAAGATTTCTAGAAAAATTTCGAGATTTGAACGATACTCGTTACAGTACCTCAGTACCTATTCACAGTACCCCATTACCGTTCGTAGCCAGGCCAGAAAAGCAACAACAAGACGGTAAAGGATCTATCGTTTTAATGGTATAGCCTACCGTTCCAGCGGTACCTAGGTCATGTCTGGGCGGTAGTATGATACCATTCTGCGCGTAGTAAACAATGTCATCTACAACCTCAAACCAATTTTCAAAAATTTCATTTATATTCATCAAACTTCAATTAAACTATGTAGAAATATTCTCTAAGGTTCATAGATCATTTAGGTACAATTAATTCAAAGTTTTAACAACAATTTCAAGGTTTATAATTTTTAGTTCTTCAAGCATGTCAAACACAAAACTCAACCAAATGACTTCTATGAACGTAGAAACAATCTATACGAATATTTTAATCACAAGATATATTTAAGGGCTTATCTCGGGCTAAAATGAAGATTTTGAAAAAATCCCGACAAGGATTATGGCTTACTCCGGCGATCTCTCACCAAATTGACAGCACCACTGCATTCTCCACACTCATAGCTCTCTCTCAGAACTTATTTTTAGTAAAATGGTGAATAAATAGAAAGTCGAGGGTACTCCTTATATAGCCTAAAGGTAGGGGATGATTCTAGAAAAGTCTTCTTCAAGGATCGTACGATTGGCGTAGTGCGCATGACGATGACTTATAAGATTTTACATGCCACTCCTTGATTGGGACTAATTTGGTCCCAGACGGGATACACTTTTTGATCCAACTTTTTTCAAATTAAATTTCAGTTGCACCGTTGCGAGCAGACAATCAAAGTCTATTGCGAGCACACAATCAAAGTCTATACAACGATATAATTTTTATATTTATTTGGAATACTTTTTCTAACATCATATTTTTGGGCGTTTGACTTTAACAGAGTCAAAATTGATATAATTGACTTTTATTAAAAAAGGTTCTCACATTTAATTCATATTATTTATTTTCGTAATTTATTTCAATAAATCATTTAAAAAGTTCACATCATAAACCAAATTTTTTATTTATTCTTGATTTGGGTCTGTACTATCGTTTCCAATCAAGATGACACATATAGTCAACATATTAGATTTATCACGATGAAATTTATCCAGATTGTGATATTAAATATCAAAACATATTTTATTTTGGTCTAACGTCCAACAATAATTTATTTAAATAAAAACAAATTTATTTAATTGAATAATAATTCAATAACAATTTTAGTCTGTGCTTTGGGGCATTACATTTTCATCCGAACATTTAATTTTCACTCATTGATGTGTCATTAGAGCTTCGTCCAAATTAATTAACTTTGCCTTCACTAAAAGCTACGCTAGTGGAATTCTTGGCTTTATGTTGCAAGTTAAATTTTCATCTAGGTTCAAAAAGATTTTAAAACGTGAATGAGTTTTTTCCACTTGGCAAAAATAATGATGCTATTCCACTTGATGTGTCATTAATTACTATTTTGCCTTTATACCGTATTGCAGCACATAAAGTTCTCCAGACATATCTTTCTAGTTCCTCCGTACCCGTAAAGGAAGAAAACTTTATATTACCTACATTTGTATCAACCAGAATGCAATAGAGTGTAACTTGTCAAGGCCACATAATCATTAGCTGAAGATCTAAAGGTTAGCTGAAGAAGCACAGAAGAAGAGCTCAAGAATGGAAGAAATTGATCTTGTGAAGAAAGTAGTTTCGATCGTGGCAGAAGAAGAGCCTTCTGGTTTCGTTCGTCGTTTGGATCGTGGCACTGTGGCAGCCGAATAAGATGGATGGAATTAAAGTACTCCGTACTTTTTTTTTTGGCAATTGGGCTTCGTAGAGTGTTGGGCTAATGGGCTGGGTCAAAGCCCAAAGGAATTTTTTTAAACCCTTTACGAAACGACGTCGTACAGTTTTTTTTCTTCTGAGACGACTGCTTCATCTTCTTCGAGTGCTTGATTGCTTCATCTTCTTCGAGTGGCTGCCGGAAAGACGACTGGAAGTGGAAGCTGGGACAAATCTGGGGGGCAAATCCGGCCTCCCATCGCCGATAGGTACCCTAATCCTATTTCGCCGGAAATTCTTCGGGGGCACTTGCCCAGGCATGCCCCCACCCCTCCTCCGCCCCTGAGTACCCATCCCTATCTGTACAACTCAGCAACCAGTTTTTTCCCACAAACATGGCTATTGTGTAGTATGTCTATTTATGCAATTGATCTTACTTTAGAAGTCTAATTTGTCTAGTAATTCTTATTCTCAAGTTTCAAAATTTACTAACTTTATCAATTTTTAGCTCTCTTGTTTTTATATTCCCATCTAACCCTAAATGTTTAAAAGAACTTTAAAAAAAATATGGCTTAATGCCTGGTCTTTTAAAATCATCAAATTAGTATAGATATATTCACATCTCACGTTGTTTTGGTGGTGATTGGTGTGCAATCTGGTGGTGGTGGTGCTGTGGTATTAAGGGAGGGGAGAACAATGGGGGATTTCATCACCTCAACTCACCGCGCCAAGTGGATTTTCTCTCCACAAGATCTTGTATGTATATATCTCACCCCTGTCATCATATTGACTGCTCAATATTCTCGCCAAGTTACAGTATTTGTTCTTTCCTTTTTTTTTCTGTATCTGTTAATAATCGATAAATACACCAGGATTTTCATTTTTGCCTTACTGTTTTAGAAGGAAAAACACAAGGCCGCCAATCAGAGGGCTAAACAGGCATTGGAGAAGGTATACAAGTACTTTACCTCTTCCCCCATCATCTTGTTAAAAATACGGTTCATTGTAAGGTATTTATTGTACATGTGTTTGTGTAAAGGTACAGTTTTTTTTATGTTTTTTCCTTCGTATAAATTGTGTTCTAGTAGAGTCAATAGTACTAAAAAAATTGTGTTCATGAGATTGCATTTATTTCATATTGGCTACTAGCTGGATAGAACAACAAGTGCATTTTGTGTGATGCTGTGATATATGCCTTTTTCTTCTCTTTTGTCATGCGCATGCCCTTTCATTGGCTCTCCGAGCTAAAAATTTGAGTGCTATGGATTTTGTAATTAATACTTAAGAGTTAAGACACCTTCCCGGAATGGTGTCAACATATTTGGGCTTTTGCCTTTACCTGCAAATTCACCCTTAGACCTAGGTGGAGGAGCATCGTACATAGTAGAGACTCCTAATGACTAATTGCATGAGAATATGAGATTTTGTTTTTGATTAATGAAATAAAATGGTCTAAGTAGAAATTAAAAATATCATATTTGTAATATGAATGAGATTTTTCGGCGTAAGATGTGAATGAGTTTCTAGAAAGAGAGCTTTCAAAGTGTAAAGCTGTTGGGACTACTTTAGGTGTCGATATATATGAGCTAAGATAATCAATTATGTTTGATAGACTGCGAGAAATAATTAACACGTTTATGTCATCTATCTGGTGATAGCCGTGCAATGCTCACTATGTTGAGTTAAACTTAAGAGATACAGTAATGCTTTTCAAAATTGTGTGCACGTGTTTTTTTGGGGGGAGGGGGGAAGTTTGCAGCCTGAGTGCAGTACCAAATTTACACTTATTTGTTCGTTGGAAGTTTGGAGCACCTTTATCAGTATATCATGTACTGACTTAGTGACATTCAGACAATTCAGTGTTTGAACATTGATGACATTGTAACTTGTTAGTTGCATTAATCACTTTACATGAATCATTGAACATTTTATGTAGATGTGGGAATGAAAAAGATAAAATCTGTATTATTAACAATTATCTGCTAGATAAAAAATTAAGTAGAGTGAAATTTTTTTTATAGTAGGGTTTATGTTTGTGCTGAGCATTTTGTTCATAGAAGAAACTTTTATAAAAGCTGTGCATGCTACAATGCATGTACTTTGGAGTTATCTTGTGTTTGTTGCTTTAAAAACCCACATCTAGCCCCAATCATTCCATTCCTAGGTTCTATGATATTAAGTTTTCTTAGACACCTAGGTTTTCATCCTGCTTAGGTCCTGCATAATATGGCTTAGATCTCGCCTAACTTCGATTAATCCCCTATGAAACACTAGGCCCTACTCTATCACCTAGCAGGTGCTTAACGCATTTTACAATGTTGGTTATGTTATATTCAGCTTACATCTTATCAACATTTACATTACAATAGTGACATTAGTAAAACTGATTATCTTTTTGAAGTATGGAACAACCCGAATGGAAGTAGATGTTGATGGATCTTTTTCATACGCGGAACCTCTGACCGATGCTAAATTTACTGGTAAGGTTATATGCTACAAAGACTATATCTATGTAATATATTCATATAGTACCTACTTGTTTACTAACCTAAGTTAATCCATTATTTTTATTGCTATTTTGGAACCTCTTTTTTGTTGGCATACTAGGTGAGAAGCGTCCAAAAGCTCTAAAAGTTGAGGAAGAGCAACTTCTGAGAGCCTTTTATGAGTCTAAAATTCAAGACGTATGTGATGCCTTTAAATTCCCATGCAAAATTCAGGTATGATTTTTTGGCTCTCAATTTATAAGCTTTTCTATGTTAATAGTAAATGCATAAAAATTGTCTTACTTTCAAGTGTTTTGCAGGCTACAGCTCTCATTTACTTTAAAAGATTTTATCTGCAATGGTCTGTCATGGAACATCACCCAAAAAACATCATGTAAGATTGTTTTGTGCTGTATGTACCATCTCCCCCCACCCCCCTAAATTCTTTCTTTGTATACTTTTTAAGTTTTAGAATGTATCAGAAGAATTAAGCTATCAATTTTAGAATCAATTTAAAGTGGAAATGATAATATCATTGAAATGCCGTTATCTAAAGACTTCAACTGTTAATCAATACTTCGCATAAAATAAGCTCCTTCTGAAAATGTCTTGTTTTTGTAAATTTACAGGTTAACCTGCATATACACTGCATGCAAAGCTGAAGAGAATCATGTTTCAGCGGAGGAGCTCGGTAAGGGGATTGAACAGGATCATCATGTTATCCTCAATAATGAAATGCTTGTTCTTCAGGCACGGATTCAATATATTTCCATTCTTTCAATATATATTTTCTTACATTTTGGGTTAATGTTGATGTAATATTCACCTGATTTTGCAGAGCTTAGATTTTGATCTCATTGTTTTTGCTCCATATCGGGCAGTTGAAGGTTTTTTGAATGATATAGAGGTTGTATGCCGACGCATTCTCCTTAAATTGATTGTTTCTTTATTCTAAATGTGCAAACCTGCTAATGCATTGTCACATCGATATGTTTGCTGCTGGCTTTTTAGGAGTTTTGTGGAACTAAAGATCAACATATCAATTCATTAAAGGTACCTACTCTTAGCACACTAATATTCTCATTGTAAGTTTCTAATATTATCAGATATTTATTCTTTGACTGCTACTTTCTCATCCTTGGACAATATTGTTGATACCTATTAATATGTCCCGTTTAGCAATTCTCAGGTTTTGCGGTTTGAATTAACCTGCATAGTGCATGTTTCTTTCTATACTTCTGGCCACTCGTGATGCTTTCACTTTTCATGAATAGAAGTTGAGGTCGAGAAGTTTGAATTCAATTTCGCCTTTTGTGTTTTTACTGTTTGTTTCACTTATGGAAAGCTTTTTTCAGGTAAAATGAACTTTCTTGCAAGTTTGTTTGTTTTCAAGTTGAATAGGTGCCCATACATTTTGCATTAAAGTTCTACTTAAAACGTACCACTTGCGTGACCGGTGATGATGAATTTGTGTGTTCTTTGTAAAGAATACCCTGTTCATATTACAGAATTTGGTATTCGTTGTTATGTTTATGGAGTTTTCATCGTGATAGTTTTGCATTTCATTTCCTTTTATGCCGCAGAATTTATTTGAAAGCGCAAAAAAGGAAGCTGACAAGATTATGCTTACGGATGCAACCCTTTTATTTCCACCAGGGCAGGTATTCCTTCATGATTTAAATCCTGTGTTTATTACGAGTAAGATTTTTTTTGGTGAGAACCACCCAACCCGATAAAATTCCACAAAGTGTGTGTGTGTGTGTGTGGGGGGGGGGGGGTGCAGACCTTATCTCTACCTCGAAAAAGGCAGTGAACTTGTTTTCAAGACACCCACAGAAGGATGAGACTTTAGGACATAATTGTATATAATGCAACCAAGTGTGTGTCTATGTAAATTTTCAATGAATTATTATTTCGTTCAATCACATTACTCATTATTATGGCATACCAACATCTCACTGTTGGTCTTGTAACATTTACATTTCTACGACAGTTGGCACTGGCAGCTCTGCGTAGAGCCAACGGAATTCCTGGGGTTCTTGATTTTGACAGGTCTGTCTGAAACATGTGCTGCTCATTTATGACTCCTGTTTGTTAGCTCTAATTTCCATTTCTTGATCTGTCGTCGTAAATGGCCACCTTATGTAGATACCTGGAAAGAATTCTAGCACACCAACAAGCCAGTAATGCCATCTTGGACCTAAGTGGCCCTTTAAATGCGATTGATTCTATGGTACATGATCGTAATCTATTAGCCTCCAACTTTCTTCTGCAATATCTTCAAAATTCTTCATGTTTACTGAATGTAATAAATGTAACAGATAAATAAACTTGTGTTCCCATCTCCCAAAGACGTGAAGCACATTGACCGGAAATTAAAAGCATGCCTGGATCCTGGTTTGCACGACAAGTAAACTAACCCAAACTTTGCACACAAACTCCCTTGACAAAACATTTCATATTCCATTGGACATAACCAATACCGGTTTTGAAAATGCAGAAGTAAGAAGAGGAAGCACAGATCCAATGAAAGTTCAAACGATGTGCCCAACTTGGCTTGAGTTCTAACAAATGCAGTACTCTCAGGTGGAACTATTCAGTTTTTGCCACTTTGTCCCAAGATTCATGCTGGCTGTACAGGACTTGCAAAATTGGATGCTGTTTTCTGTTTTCTTTCGTTTATACGGAGTAATTTTCATTAAGGGTGGAGAGAAAAAGAACAGATATTTTTGTTTGTTTCAATCTCAATTTGGTGCAATCCATAACACTTTTACTTGTTGTAGAGCTTAATTAAGTGTTGAATCACTTGTATCCAACCAAGATTGGTTATGAGCAACATAGTTGTAGTTGAACTGCATTTCATGGAAGTAACTTTTTTAGTTTAAGGATATATGACTCAAATAGTGGGTCCATCTATGAATATTTGTCTAGTTTGATTTTTTTAATTAAATTGAATACATTTTAGTTATTAATTATATTAAATTTGCATTACATATTAATATCATAAAATAGTTTTTTGAAAATTTTCAATGAGATAACTCTAATTTACACCTTGTGGGCACAATTAAGTGTGTGATATACTCCGTAGTTTATAAACATGTATACTCCGTATTTGATAAGATTATTTTGTAGAGGGTACATCAAATTCTCTATACCACCCTGCTCTTCTGTAGAATGATTCTTGTTCTTCAACCATACTTTGTAAGAGGTCGAGAATAGCCATATAAAATTGTTAATTTTTAACAGTAAAAGATATATATGAAGTCTTTGGATATGGTTCAAAGAGCGCCTTTCAAACACTTGAGAAAAATGGTTGAAGATAACCATAAAAATTTTCATCATACAATGTTTTGGTATGGTGTTGTAAAATCCTGGGAGAATACTATTGGCAAGGATTGTTTGTGAAACTAAAACATTAGTGAATCAAAAGTTTTTTGGGAAGTCTTAAAATAGTGGAATAGAATTTTAACAAAATACTCCGTAACATAAAATTCAGTGAACCTTATTCTTTTATTTACATTCGATCATTCATGCTGCATTCTTATAAATTGCACATTAGGCAACAGGCACAAACAAAACTAAAATCGGGAAAACAATTGTGACACATTATTTACCCCTCTTAAATCCATACTATGATATACCCCCTCCGTCCCTGAGTGTTTGTCCACTTTCATTTTTGCACAACATCCAATGCACTTCTTTAATCCATTTTATCTTGTAATTTGTATATTAAAAAATTATAAAAATTATATATTAATAATCTATATGTTAAGACGAATCAAACAAGATCACACATGACTATTTTTAGGCTTACACATTGAGAGAATTTGATGAGTCAAAGTGCTTAGATGAACAATTCCAAAAGTCAAAAAGTGGACAAACACTCAGGGACGGACCAAGTATGAAATTTTTTGAAGGAGGAACTCCAAAAATGTGGTCATGAAAATATAAAAGTAAAAAAATAAGGATGAGAGAAAAAAATCGTCGCCTGAGAGATTCGAACTCTCGCGGGGAAACCCCATGTACTTAGCAGGCACACGCCTTAACCACTCGGCCAAAGCGACGCTTTTATTTTTTCCTTCGTTAAGTTTTGTATATATTACTACGTACTAAGTTGCATCTAAGAATTCATATGCTGCCAAAAAAGAGTGTTGAGGCTCTCAATTATAACCAGAGGTAATAAATGTTCGAATAATTGCATACTTCATCATACTTCGTCCGTCTAAAATTAACTTTCCAATTTCAACTTTCATGGTTAAATCTTTTGAATTTTGATCGCATATTACAAAAAAAATACATTAAATTTTCATATAAGTTTAATATCAATAGATTCATTTTGAAACATAGATTTGAATTATTAAATTTTTCATAATATATATTTATATATAAATAGATATATTAATGATCAAAGTATTACATTGTAGATTATGAAAAGTCAATTGAAAAGTTAATTTTACGGCGTAGTATTATTTGGATTTAATTTCGTTCAATGCACTTTTTACCTCAATGTTTGCATTTAACCCAAATGTTATTAGTAACAATGTTAAATGCTGTTAATTACATCGGAGTATTGGACAAAGATATTTTATTCGTATCAAAATGATCTTTACACTAGTGATGTTAGTTTTTGGTAAACAATAACTTGAATAAATTGTGGAATGTTTAGGTGCTATTGTATTTGATGTATACTTTATACCAAGAAGTATCCAAGATTGAAGACGACTCGAAGGCCAAATATCGTAGCCCGAGTAAGAAGGCTTTAGGGGTGGACCTCGACACACATCCGATCTAGTGCTCGTGGTCAACCCCAATCTATAAAGGCCGATCGACCTAGCAAATTGTTCTTAGTCTTTTAGACTTTGTGTCTGTTCGTGGGCAGCCTCAGTTCAAAAGACAATTCAACATGTCTGGCCGGGACCAAGGGGTTCGTTTGACTCACAAAAGGCCCTTAGGGTTAGTAACTAAGTGGGTTGACCCAGCTTGTCTTGGCCTAGCAACTTGTTCTTAGTACGTCTTTTAGACTGTGTGCATGTGCACGCTCTTTGTCTCTATTTAAAGAGTGTTTCTCTGTACTTTTTGTTATTGGTTTATTTATGATAAACAATATCTGTAAGTTAAAGTTTTTCTTTCGTGAAAGTAAAATGACTTAAATGATAGATCAGTCATTTAGTGATATTCATAAAGGGTGAGTGATAATTTTGTAAATAATTTGATTAAAACAAAAATATAAAAAAACTAGCTTAAAAATAACTATGTAACGCCTATGTTTTTTTATACTTCTAAGCAGCTTATAAGTACAGAGAAACACTTCATTAACTAACTTATAAGTTAAAAATAATTAATAAGCAGTTTTGACTAGCTTATAAAAATCAAGAATCACCCACTTATTGTCCTCCCCAATGTGTGGGATGGGGGATAGAACTTGTTGGGTAGTGCAATGCAACAATTCTCCTATAGAGGAGACATGGATAAAGCATTGCTCATAGAGGTGTCAAGCTAGAGTTAAATGACGATGACTGCTAGCACATAGATTTAAGGGATTATATGACATTACTCTTACCACCAATCGAGTACTATCTTTTTAGACAGTGGGAGGCAAGCCTCGATCCAACAATTGATATTAAAGGCAGGTTCACATGTTATCACCATTATAAGCCAAGCACATGAGTTTCATCCCAAGGCGTACACAGGAGCGAGGAGGCTAAATAGGTTGTGTCAAGTAAATTATCATTTGGAGACACAATTTAGTTATGCCAAGTCAGCCTTAAGGCATAGACCGAGGAAGGTCAAGTCATAGAGTTGGCAGAGACAAGATAACAAGCCAGGGATATGACCCAAGCTAGCTAAGCTAAGTCAAAAGGATCAAGTGAAGACTAGGTAAGGTTGAGTCACGAACGTAGGCGAGGTAAGGCCAAGTCGAGAGGATATGACAGAGATCAGGTAAGGTCAAGTCACATGAGAGCAATTGCTATGTGCGATATTGTTGGGTAGTGCAATTGTGAGCTCATTTCGCGTGAAACTTTAAAATTAAGCTTTTCTTTTTACTTGGAACACTTTCAAGATGGGTGACCTTTTGAAAAGTCTCCCGACGAGCATACAAATGCTAACGAAGTACTTCGTATGTTAGAAAGACTTTAGTTGGTGGTTTGTAAAGGCTATCTATGGATCCTTACGTTTGTGAGGCTAGCTACCGGGGCTTGCTACCACCACTTAATGATTGATAGTTCACTTGACAGCGGTTCCGTTATTGAGAGCTAATATATATTTTACAAGCCATAGAGTTGCAGATATCCCTTGAGAGCTGCCTGAATACATATATAAAATAGACACAGGTTCCATTATTGTTCCAGCCAAAGAATACAAGAATACTTTCCACCATCGTAGTCTCCTATACATAGCTATACATCTACAAACATCGCCCGCAAAGAATTCCGCTGTTAGAATAACATACGAATGTAACGGGGCATTTCAGAATACAACATGATGAACAATTATGATGACCACAGAGGTATAAAGAATAATGACAGAAAATCAAAATTATGCCATGCATTGCCAAACTGCCAGGACATAACAGAACTTACCCAAAACTTGTATTTGGATACAACTTTTTTTTCTTCTCCTACAGCATTGCTTCTGGGTTCCTTTCTGGACACTTGCTTTTATTGAAATAACAGGCGAAGGCCGGCTTCTAAATCCTCCAATGTGATGGTGAGTAATTCCTCTGTGTCCACACAGTCAAAGCTGAGTCTGAAGTCCAAATTTTCTCTTGCGCTGACCAACATTGGGTCCAGTAAGCCTCCGTTCATCTCCTTGCGCTGCTTTTCTGTGGTCTCCCTCTCTATCAGATCTGCAACAGCTTCAACACTGCATGAAGGATGCAGCTTGAACCCAAACAATGAACTCCCTCCTTTGGCTTCTAGGTTAGTAGTGCTCATTTTCAGATGAAGAATTTTTGCAAGATCTTCTGTGGTGAAGTCATCAAAGTGGAAGTACTTGGTCACTCTTCTACAAAAGCCTTCGTTAGAAGATATCACGCGCTTCATTGGTTCACTGTAGCCTGCAAATATTACTACAACTTTCCCACTATCCATGACGGACATTATCTCTTCTAGTGCTTCTAAACCGTAGTCTTTATCATCGGCTTTCTGCATAGGTATTAGTCTATAGGCTTCATCAACAAACAGAACTCCCCCCTCAGCTTCTTGGATCTACAGATATGCCAATGGACTTTCGTCAAAGAATGTCTACATTGTTTGATGAATGCCAAAAGGTGTAAAATTTCCAGAACAAAAAAAACTCACCTTTCTCCTTGTCTTTGGTCCCGTATGACCAACAAATTCCCCAACCAGATCTGTCCTCTGTACTTCAGTTACCTTGTCCGTCGGAAGAATCCCCACCATATAAAGTAGTTTTCCAAGCACTCGAGCTATCATTGTTTTTCCTGAATAGTAGTAAAGAAAAACTAAGCGATCCATTTGCAACCTCTGAGCTCATGAATAACATAAAAAGAATGGAATTCAATCAACCAGAAGAATACTTTTGCAGTTCCAGAATTCATAGTTAGATGGAATATTGAGAGCATTTTTGGATCCTGAAAAAATCTCAGGGACAGGGAGGAAATTGCCAAGTGTTGTTTCTTTGGGTTTGGTTTTACAACAGAAAATGCAAAGGAAATGAAACATTATTAGTTCTTATACATGTTTAGATTTGTTAGCCTTTGAATAATAGAAATAGATTAATAAAATAAGTTACTGAAATGAGTTTAAAGTATATACGGAGTAAAAAACAAAAGATTTTGACTTTGATCAAGTGTTTTATTTCCTCCAACACTTTCTCTCCTTCCAAATTTCCCCTATTGTTTCCTCCCTGTTTTCTTCTCCTCCCGTCTTCCAAGTTCCAAAAAGACCCTTAGAGCCTGAAAGGCCAAAATACCTGTTCCAGGGTTCCCAAGAAAAGCCATATGAGGTGGTCTTCTGGCACCAACTCTCAGTCCAAGGGCCCGACGCCTCTCATCCAGTAGCATCCCCTTTGCCCATTTTCGGAGTTGCACTTTTAGCTCATGTAACCCAACTATTCTAGATAATTCCTTTTCGAGCTCGTCCATTTTCACCTTGGTCTCGCTGCATGCTTCAATGGCCTTGCGTTTTCGCTGCTCCTCAAGATGCCAATGAAGCAACTTTCGTAATTTTTCATTTCCGGGGCCTTGAGAGAGATGATGTATGGGAGTCATGCCCTCCTGCGCCACGTCATAGGTTTCCAAATCAATATTGACCATAAAAAGGAACAATTTTTTTATTATTTGAACAAACTACAGCATTTAATACATTGTCTTCTGCACTGCAATCAGCATTATATTCTAACAATGTCGTCACTGTTGAATAGTCTGCAGCTCGAATTGAGTGCCACACAGCAAGGTGCAATGGAGTCATCCCGTTCTGCAAATTACTTTTTTGTTGCTAGAGAGTCACAACGTTAAGAAGAGAAGGTAATTAAAGAAGCAACAGGGAAAAGAAACACACATTTGCTCTGGCTTCAACATGAGCACCATGGGAGAGAAGCATCTTTGCAGTTTCATTACATCCATTCTTAGCAGCCATGTGCAATGGTGTCTCCCCATACTACAGACCGAAATCAATTAACAAGAAAGAATAAGGCTGCAATATATGATGAGCTTGAAGTGAAAATACATACTATTCAAATCACTTAGTGCATGCTTACCATGTTCTTTGCTTCCAACTCCACCTTTTCGGGGCCTTGGAAAGCAAGCAAATGCTTAACAATATCAGTGTTATTGTAGCCAGCTGAAACATGAAGTGGCGTTTGGGCCATCTGCAGCCAAATAAAGCGAAATATCAAGGAACAACACATTTGAGAAAAACCCTCCAGGATAGCATCATGTTATATGCAATGGCACAAAATAGTGTTTTTTAGTGAAATCAACAAGCCTCTAAAAGGGATTTTGATTTTAGGGGCCTGTTTAAGATTATAAGAAAGCCCGACATAAGATCAATCATAGGTGGCACAAAATTAATTAATTAATTAATTAATTAATTGATAAATACGGAGTAAATAAATAGATGAGATTTCCTCCATTCTACTAGGTGTACATACAACTTGTTGGGCTTCACATTGTTGTGGTAGAGAGCACATTAGAGAGTAAAAATGAATTAAATAAAACAACCAAAGTTGGAAATAAAGCTTGTTGATTAAGGAATCACTAATAGTGTCTCTGAATCCTGAAAACTGCCTCAAATATCTGTTTAAAGTGTTGTGCTTAGATTCAAATATAGGGATGTGATGGATTCAAGAGAACCCAGTATCGGGAGAGTTTAGAGAAAAAGTAATTCTCTTATTGATGATGAAGTGAAATGATCTGAATCCCCCCTTCCCCACAATCTGTGGATTGTTATTTATAGAGAGAGCTAAGGTTAGGTATGCAGTCCCAAATGTACATCTAAATAACTCATGGGCCGACCAAACAGACTGGGCAGGTAGTCTGTTTAGGCATGCAGTCCCAAATCTAAATAAGGTTAGGCATGCAGTCCCAAATGTGCATCTGAATCCCCCCTTCCCCACTATTAAAAGATGCCTACTTTCAGGTAACTATCCTAGAAACTGCTGAAGGCGCTTATAAGCTTCCTACTAGGCAGTAATGAAAGTGGGGATTTTGAAGGAAGAATTGAAGAAACTTGTACATATCCTATCAAGAATAACAGTGTTATGTAAACAGACATTGAGGTCAGGATGCTATTTCTGTTTCAGTACTTTACTTCCCCAACTCAAGATTGATCTCTATGAAAGTAGATGAAGTTTTATGGACTCCACAAAAGAAAACTGAATACATCATGAGAGAAACACCTTGAAAGTACATCATGCATTTACATCATGAGAGCAACACCTTGTGAGACAATTATCAAGTAACTCATCCTAATGTGAATATAAAAAGTGAAATCTTGCATAAAGATTACCAATTAATTATTCCAAATGTGAAAATAAAAAAGGGAATTCTTGCAAGACAATTAACAACTAACCCAAGATTTCCCAAGAAAGAATCTATCAAAAAAGTGAAAACGTCATAAAAGCATACATTGCATTTTACACTCTAAGCATATTGGGTACAACTAAATTATAGAGTTAATCATAAACACACAGATCTTACAATGGGGTTGCGTTCATTGAGGAGAGAAGGGTTGTCATTGAGCATCTTCCGGAACGCATTGAGATCTCCAGATTGAGCCAACCCATGAATCGTTGAGGGTTTGACAGATTTCGTCCTTTGATCCCTAACCCTCTCCATTTTCTTGTTCTTCTATTACCGTCTTCTCCCCCAATGAAAGATCTTTTTTTTAAATAATCCCCAAATGAAAGAATTAAAAAACGGAAATGGTGGATGCTTCGCCGAACGAGGTTTAAGCAGCGTTTCCGGTGGCCGTGCGGCGGGGTTGGGGGTTGTCAGAGGAATTTCGTCGAACAAGTCATTGGTGGTCACCGGTCAGGATTCAGGCGAAGATGGAAAAGAAAAGAAAAGAAAAGAAAGGAAATGGAGTAAATTCGGGGAAATTTATTCGGCTGCCCAGCTCGCGCCTTGTTGGCTTTGAGCTGTTGGACATTTCCATATTTCCATGCCAACTTGGCTCTGAACTTTAAATATTTTTAAACTTAAACATGTTTAAAAAAGGGTAATGCTATGAGTACACTAAAATAAGATACGAAGTACTTTATTTAAACATCAAGCTTTCACTAACATATATGGACACATAATGTCTGTACATATATAGATATTGAGTGATGAGTGTATTTCACCCATGACCGGTCAAAGGTCAGAACCAGATTGTTGACCGGTCAAAGAGGTCAAACTTGGAAGAAAGATGAATCGTCAATGGAAGGATAGAGGGTTGACCCAAAAAGTTGACCGGTATATTTCAGATAGTATACCGGTCAAACCATGTCGGCGTCTAATTCATCCTTTGGAGTTAGCAAATCCAACCTTCAAGAACCAACCGGTGCAGTTTTTAGAGATTGGAGAGTGTCGGCAGGAAGAGTCCAAAAGGATTTGGACTGTAGTGGTTGGCATTGCGGGGGACTCAGTGGAGATGCTGAAGGAATGTTTCCAAGCCAGAACGCGACAAGGGAAATAATTCCCCTCACAAGGCGACAGGGCAGCTCAAGGACGAAACCAGTCACCTCGCACCACACCAGCAACGTGCACCCACGTGGGCGCACGTGGTCCTGTCCCCCCAAACCTAGTATATATACTGTTGTAAACCTCAGAAAGAGGGATCCGAATTCACTCTCTCTAAACTCCCTTGTAAAACTGACCGTGTATTCTCTGTTATAATATAACTTGGGCTACAGGTGTTCCACCTAAAGTCCTACCGATCATTCTGCGTATTTTTACCTTTCTTACTTTATCAAATCAAGCAAACTATTCTAGACCCGGTCTAGTATAGTTTGACCGGTCAAGTAATTTACACCATCATTGAGTATTTGTGCATGTCTGTAAAGGCTTAGTGTACAAATATAGAATCACATTTTGTTGTACTCTATGTTAATTTTTAGAAAAATACTACCAAAAAAGGATGAATCTCATCTTAGGGGACTCCTAAGCCAGACGGAATAATACTTCTAAAAAAAATCATAATTATTATTCGAGACAGAATTTAGGTATACGAGTAGATTGAAAAAAAAAAGCAAATTCTAAAGAGATTATATAATGTATTCAACTTAAAAAAGTGAGCGCCTCTACTACCCATAGACCAGAGATAAATATTTATATAAGCAAAGAGTACAAAACACAGGCGAAGGCTCCAAACTTATCAAACAGATATCTAAATATGGGTCGACTCAACGGGTTGTGTTGGTTCCTAATAAACGACCCTGTAAGATATCGCTAACTATTGTTAATGGATTAACTAAGGTCCCATGGCTGGCAGCCATTAGCCAAACGAGGCCAACTACGAACCTTCTTGAAGTTCTTTGCTTTCACACCATGCTTGGGAGGTGATGGGTATATCCCCAAAATATGATCGGTCATTTTCATCAATCACCAAATAAGGTTAACTCTTCGGTTGGGACGGGTCAAAAGTTGTCCGGTCACTTTCCTCAAAAAAGTGAACGGTCATATTTTGGGCGATAGCCAAAATGTCACCTTATGTTACGAAGGATACCCCGGAAGACGAAAGAGACGGGTTGAGCGCAAGAAATGACCGGGTAACCATTGAGAAAAGGCGACCGATCATGTCACAGTACTTGGCTAACATTGGTTCAGTATCTTGAGGATAGCAACCAACATCAGAGGCCAGGGGACTACCCCGCTACTCATCCATCACGAGGCAAACAGTGAAAGGGATGTTTGTCATTTTGCAAGGCTGATTGGATTGGAAATATCCATGTTATAGTCATTGATTGAACAGTGCTTCTTGGTTGTATTAGTAGCAAGTCTATGATTGTACAGTGATTAAATCAGGCACAGTGACCTTCCTCCGGGTTTCCTATTTTGTCCATGGGTGAACAGGGGAAGGCCACAAATCCTCCTCTATAAATATGATGATATTGCATAGAGGAGGGGATCTATTCTTTATCTCACTAAAAAAGTACACTCTTGAGCCAGAGTAACAAATATAATTCGGACTGAGGAGATTTATCCGGTCTAGGTCATACTTTGTGTTCTCGTTGTGTGTTTTATATTACGGATCGAGTGTGTCCAGGTCAAACCCGGTTAACCCACCCAGCTATATTTACACCATCAGGAGGAAATGAGGACGAATACTTTAGGTCAACTACACCTATTCAACTAAAACATTCCAAACTTCCATGACTAATTAAGGCTTCAATCATGGCCTGTGATGATTCTTTCACGGGTTGGATATCCTTATATATGAGGCATTCATCATAAGTCTCCCACTTTCTGAGCATAATGTGACGATGCTTGTCTTGCTTGGTGGAAATAGCCAAAGTCTCCTGTAGAGAATTATGCGGAGGTCAAGATCTTCTGAAAATTTGAAACTTTCACCAAGTTTGATCGTGGCCGAGTACACGCTGGATATGGGAATCTCCCACTTCTCGACCCGGTGACATGGTCCAATGAATAAGGAAAACAATCCATCACAAAATGCCTCAAATCCTTTTAAGCAATGAAGACGAGGATGAGGCCTCTGTCTAAGCTTAGGCCTTTATCTATGAGAGTGTTTCTTGTTGGAAAATCCTTTGGGTAAAATTAGAACTAGGATTCCTTCCCAAGGATAAGGGCATTGCAAACTCCGATGAGTGTGTTTAGCTGATCGTTGTATTCATCAATTGTTGTGTTAGTGTCTTGGAACTTGTGCCCAACATGAAAGTTGTGAACCCTTTGTTCTTAACTTTCTGATCATAATAGCTTTTGACGTTGCGTCTATAGTTGTAACACCGCGAAACTTGGCCTATTACAATTAATTGAATAGAAATAATTAATTAGTTATTGAGACAGACCCGAAGTTAATTATTAATATACGTCTATTAATTATAAAATTATACCAATGTGTATAGATGAATGAACTGAATCTAATTGTGCAATCTAATTAAGAGCAAGTTGGCTCAAAAAGTATATTTTTATCGAGATACGTTAATTAATTACGGAGCACGTAATCTTATAACTATATATGAACTGTGCATTCGTTAAACCCATGTACGTTGCACATGAGTCTCATTCTCTCACATAATCTCATGTCCCTCTCTCGTTCTCTTCGGCAATCTGCAGAACATCCATGGAAGAAGGAAGAACAAGAAGATGAAGGGGGACGCACCAGCTCATCGTCGTCACCGCCGTTCGTTAGGTCTTGATTCATTGTTGTTAATCATTCGTCGTATTCAAGGTGAGTATGTGGATATTTAGCGCTAGATTATTCATATAAGTTTGAAACTTATGTTCATGATCTCGTTATGATTGATATACGTGAAAGCTCGTATGTTTGAAGAATTGGGTGTTATTGATGAACTGAAGTGGAAGAATGCTTGTTTTTAGGCGTTAAATTATTGTTGAACGTGTATGCACTATCTGTGAATTTTGTGAAATCTATTGTGCATCTATAACACCCTGAAAACTAGTTTAGTAGTTAGCTGTTATTTTGAGAAAAATAAATATAATATTTTTTTACTCAAAAATTTAAACTATTTATAAAGTCAACCCTTTTACTCAAAGTTTGACTCATTGGTTAGATCTCGTAAAAAAAGGGGACCAAGAGTATATAATTTGTTAAGTTTAAAATTATGTATAAAAAGTTATGAGCAAAATGGACGTTACAGTTCAATAAATTAATGAATTGCCAATACTCAAAAGAATTCATGATTTTACATCGTTACTCCCAAATTTAACAAATTACACAGTTACTCTAACAATTAATCTATTTCCACATCATTTCTCTACTCGCCACCTTAACTTCTAAATACTCCCTCCGTCCATGTATTATCTTCCCATTACGCGTTACGAGGCTTGACCGACTTTATTTACAATTCAATTTAATTGATTATAGGAGTAAAATTTTAAAATAAAATTTATATAGTAATAAACTACATGAAAAGTTCTACAAAACTAGAGGTGAAAATATTATATTATTTTATGAAATGACTAGTAAAATTGAGCAAACAAAGTAAGTAAAGTTTGACCCTGTGAATAGTGTCTGGGAAGATCTATGGTGGACAGAGGGAGTACTACGTATATGTCTACATAAATTAATAAGCATTGAGATTGAAAATGAAATTCTTTTTCTTCCTCGTTCGTTCACTCCCTCTCTCCAATCTGAAATTTCATGACCCATTCGAGAAGTTGCATACCGTGCACACTCAGGTTTGCCGTATCTCCAGTCTTCATTCAGATCATGAGAACGTCCAATAAAATGAAAAATGGATAAAAGGTCCTCCAAAGTGAATTTTCAAATATTTTAAGCCACTCTATAATATACTCCCTACTCCCTATTAATTTTTAAAAACGATAAAATTATTTGTACCCCAAAGATATGTACTTCATTTGTACACCGCAGGTGTGCACCAACATTTTGTATTGGTGTAATGCTAATTTTTATTAACGTACCAACACTTTGTGCCAGTGTAAATTTTTGTTAAAATATTACTCCGTAGAATTTTTGTGTCAGTGTGAACTATCAAAACATTGATGTATATTTTTAATATAAGTTTAAAGTATAAATTTTAATGTAAGTGTAGCATGGTATTCCCTCCGTTCTAAAACTTTCTTCACACTTCCCCTTTTTCTCCGTCCTAAAACTACCTTTCCATTAGAAAAAAAGATGACAAATGACATTAATACCCTCATGTATTTATACCAATTATCTTCTAACTCTATATTTTGAATGATTTTAAAAAAAAATTCAAAAAATCTTTTTTAGGGAGGGTAAAATTTGAAGTCAAAGCCAAAAATTAAAAATGGGAAAAATCAAACTGGAAAGAAAGAATTAGGACATTGGGAGTAAAAAGGAGCATGTTAGGTGTACCCAAAAATTGTACAATAGCCTCAATAGCAATTTTTGCCGGAGACACGTAACCTCATAACCAACTCGCCACGCAGCTCCCCAAAACGTGGGGAGGACACAAAGATCAGGGCAACCTTAACGTGAGGTCTTCTGCACACTTCTTTCTCGTCTCTCCTTCCACACAATCCCCAGAAGCAACAAAAACCCACCCAGTAATCTAATTGTTCGAGAGAGATTGTAGCTTTCTAATGCAGCGATGGCCACGGTAAACTCCAAGTTAAATTTGCCGTCTCTGGAGTGCCTCCAGTTCTATCGCCACCGCCCGCCGCCGTGTGAGACTTGCTTCCGGCAGGCTATAGTTGTCCGGGATCCACTTGGCGTGAAGGGTATTAGAGGATTTGGGCTGAAACCGTGCAGGGCGTTTAGGCCAGAGAAGGGAGGTGAATCTGAGAAGACGAAGAAGCAGAAGTATTGGTGGGAATCACAAAAAGGTGTCGATAATGTGGTCAAGCTTTTCAGGTCTGCTGTTTGGAGCTGCTCTAAGCCCAGTTTAAGGTCAGATTATAAATTTAGGGAAGCTTTGGAGAAATTGGAGGATAACTTATTCTTGGTATGTAGTAATAATAATTTATTAATTGATTTTATTATTTTCTCCCTTTATACTCCATCTGTCTGAATTGTTATGGAAGTTCACATTAGTCTTATTGGGCAGATCCTTAAGGTCTCAAATGGAATTATCTGAGCACTTATTGTTGGTCCATCTTCTCCTCACTCTCTGGTGTGGGATTAGCTTGTTTCCCAACAGTGGATTCATAGTTGTGGGTTTTTGGTTTTTAGGACATCTGGAATTAGTTGTCCACTCACTATATTGTGACTTATCAAAAACACTTTTAGAGAGAAAATATTAGCATGGTTTCCATTTATGAAGGTCAAGTTAATTTCAAGGGGTTTTTTTTTCCTTTTGTTAGTTTACACTCATTGGTTAAATTTGAGATATTTTGGAAAGCAGACAACAAAAGCCGGACAAGGGGAGTGTATTTTTGTCTCAAATGTTTAAGATTGTGAATGCAAACTGACACATAGATGGTCTCAAATCAACCCTTTTATGCGGCTGTGATTGGGGGGGTTGTTAGGGTCCGTTCTTGAGGGTGAGTATGTGTAGGCTGGGAAAGTTTGAGGTTTTATTAGAACTACTAGGGGAGAAGGGAGGAAAATGAAGGCGGTTAAAAGAAGAGTGTTTGGTTCAATGAATGAGTGGGGAGGAATTAGTATTTTCTCAAAATATTACGGAGTATAATGCTTGATCTCAGCCAAGCAGTAGATTTACCATTGGACCATAGTAGCGCATGGCGGAACTATTTTTCGAATTTTTATGTTCATATATACCTGTTTATAAATACTAGTTGTATACACTATACATCGTCACTCTACCTATGGCTCAACTACTCATCTGGACAGTTGGCTTTATATGTTGGGAGATTTATTATAACCATGATGAGCACCGGAGCTATATTGTTGATTGGGTTTCAATTGTCAGGTTAGCTAGTTCTCTAAGCCTTCTTAGTTTCTTAATAATGCACCATGTCTTAAATGACAAACACTTGACTAATTCTATTCACCTATGGTGTAATTATAAATTATGCATCATGCTCTAAATGACAATTGTCTTAGTTTTAATTGGATGCAACGATTCTTCTTTAGGCGGGGATGAACAGATGAACAATGTGATATGGTATAGTTGGCTTGGAGGAATCATCATTGGGACAATGGTTGGGTCCAATATGGTTTTGGAGGAAGCGAGTCGAGCTGGCCCACGAAATGTTGTAATAACGGGAAGGTACTGCTCTAGACTCCCTCCATCCCAAAATCGAGCCCTGACATGTAGGCACAATTTTTAAATTTTGGTAAGGTACAAATCTTGTAAGTTATCAGTCCTACTTATATTTCCTTTTCTGCTTTTCTCTTGTTTCTAGAAATGAAATTCAACATACATAACTGCTTTGGAACACATTATTTGTTGAAAGATTACGTTAAGTTTAATGAAAATTAACCTTCTTTTCCAAAATATGACTATTCAAGTTTTGGAAAAGAAAAAGGTCTTGGAAAAGACTCTTTTTTTGGGACGAATGTAGTATGAAATAAGCAAAAACTGATTCGATACTTGGGATTGGAAATGCCACTTTTCTAGAAAATGGGGTATTTGTTTTCATCATCCAATATTTGCAGATGAGCTTAACAACATTCTTATATCATATAAGAGCCATTTATTTGGAACTGGTTTCAAGTTGACCTAAAAGCATTCTCCTGTGTGTTTGTGTTTGCTCAATAGTCTATTGTACTCTCTCCGTCCCACTTTTTTTGGGACAAGGGGAAGTGACCCACAAATTAAGAAAAGTGAGAATGTCTGGTTGATTTTGAACTGAAGAAGTAAGAATAAATGCAACTATGCAAGCCATGAATGTTACGGAGTACTACGTACTAAAATGGTATCAGACAAAAAACATTAAATGGACAAACATAGTGAGGCAGATGGAGTATTACTTTAGCAAGAGATTCATGCTCCAGCAATCTGTACATGGATTATTCAGCATTGCTAACTGTCCTTGTTGGTGCAGTACAAGGGGATTGGGGAAAGCTCTAGCTCGAGAGTTTTTACTCTCCGGAGACCGTGTTGTCATTACCTCTCGCAGGTCTATAAAGATATTGAATTACACTGTTCATTTGCATATTCTTTGGGGGGTCTTATGCTAACTTGGGCTTCCTTTATGGCAGCCCGGAATCGGTGAATATGACTATCAAAGAGCTAAAAGATAATCTAAATCAAATTGTGAGAAGTACACCTGGCTCACCTAAGAATAAATGGGCACATGCAAAAGTGGTTGGAATCGCATGTGATGTCTCTCAACCTGAAGATGTTCAGAAACTTGGAAAGTTTGCAGTTGATGAACTTGGTTCCATTGACATTTGGGTAAGTCCTTTTCTGGGGTTAGTTATACTTTATTCAAACTTGGTTCCATTGGCATTTGTGTTTCTTTCTTTCCATGTTTTAGAAGTTAGATGTATGGTCGGAAAAATTAATTACTCCGCTCCGTCTAACATAAAGAAACTGCAATGAAGAAAGAATAATAGAAAAATTCCTCCGTAGTTATTTGCTTTTTAAACTGGATTCCCATTTTACCACAGGTAAATAATGCCGGGACAAACAAAGGTTTCAGGCCCTTGCTTGATTTCACTGACAATGACATTCAAGAAGTATGCATCAATTGAAGTATTGAACAAATTTATGGATCTTCTCTAGATGACTTGCTACTAGAGGTCTATCCTAAATGGTTTCTTTGTGTATAGATAGTGTCGACAAACCTTATAGGATCTATTCTTTGCACTCAAGAAGCCATGCGGATCATAGCATCTCAGGATAAAGTGGGTCATATATTCAATATGGATGGTGCTGGTTCTGGAGGGTCTAGCACTCCTCTCACAGCTGTGTAAGTGACATTTATGGGCTCTTGTCAAACATCAGTGCAAATTTATCTGTCACAGTATTTGTTACGAAAGATTGAATTAATGTGATTTTCCGGCCGCCCAGGTATGGGTCAACAAAATGTGGTCTAAGGCAACTTCAAGCATCACTCTTCAAGGAGTGCAAGCGAACGAATGTTGGAGTTCATACTGCCTCCCCTGGGATGGTTTTGACTGATTTGTTGTTAAGGTACAAAAACTCCTCTGGTTTTGTTTCCAGGGCTCGAACCGGACCTCATGGTCACACGGTTGAGTTGTTGCAGTGTTTTCTTGAGGTCACAGGTTCGAGTCCTCAAAACAGCCTCTGGGAAACCTTACCAAAATCACACCCTTATTGTGAGACCCCCTCTTTCGGACTGAAACCATTTGCAAAGTATGGCACTTGTCCTACACCGGCTGTATGAGTAACAGACAAGGGGTTTATAGACCAAATGGGCTCCCTCACCTAAGAGACTAGTCTTTTAGGATGAGTTCTCCTTTTTACAGCTAACACTTGGAAATCGAATCTTTGGCAGTGGATCAAGTGTTAAAAACAAACAGATGTTTAACATAATATGTGAGCTACCCGAGACTGTTGCTCGAACTCTAGTGCCACGGATGCGGACTGTGAAAGGAAAGGGAAAGGCTATTAACTATCTGACCCCACCAAAGATACTGTTTGCTTTGGTCAGTGCATGGCTGAGAAGAGGCCGCTGGTTCGATGACCAGGTAAAATGCCTTTCACTCCATTGATGTTTGGTTTCTAACAACACAAACAAGCAAGTAAGATACTTTTGTACAACTGTAGGGAAGAGCTGTGTATGCTGCTGAGGCAGATAGACTGCGAAACTGGGCTGAAAACCGCGCTCGTTTGTCATTCACGGATGCCATGGAAATGTACTCAGAAGACACTTGGATTTCTGTCTTCTCTCTTTCTGCCCTTTGTGCCTTCATCATTCTATCAACCACAGGTATCTATCCTCATTCATTATATGCAGTTCTGTGTTGCAAAATCAAATCTTTTTTGCGCTACAAGAAAATGCGAAAACACCCTAAATGCAGGTTAGAAGAAGGTTTGGGTGCCCAATCCAGGCCAGGAGGATCATGCCAACTAGAAGACAACTTGAGATTATCAATGTAAGTTCATGATCTTCGAGAGAAGAGCAGAAGGGGATCTGTTGAACATTTATTTTGGGATTCGGAAAATGTATTTCATCCGTCCCAAAATAAGAGTGACAGTTTGTCTACACAAAGTTTAAGAAACTTGTAAAAAAGTAAGTGTGTAAAAAGTGTGGTTTGATTTTTTTAAAAGGACAATCTGAAAGAGAAAAGTGTTACGGAGTACTATTCTTTCATGCCATTTTTGAAGGCGTTAAACCAAAATACTACGCGGTAACATTTTAAAGCAGCATTTCTAATAATTTTCCTACAGAAGCATGAATTATGCGCTCCATACAATTTTTTTGGATGAACCCTTAGGTTCACTTAATAAATCATGGACTTTCTTAATAGTTTTTTTTAAAGGCGGACTTTGTTAATAGTTAAATAAGTATTTTCATAATATTACGTACATGCTGAGAAAAATGGGTATGAATAAGACTAAAGGTAGCCACAAAATGGGTTTGAAAATGTCTAATCTTAAAGTACTTGCCACAAAATTAAAGGTAGCCAAAGGTACTTTTCTGATCTCCGCCAGTAAAAAAAATTAAAATTGAACCACCGAGTGGAAGTAATTAAAAAAAAGAGCAAATTCTTAAAAAAGTTCTTTGTAATAAGGTGTTTTCTCAAATCAGTCTTCAATAAGTTTTAATTACCTATGTGGTCCTCTATAATTGAGATTTATTCCTAAGATGGTCCTTGGTAAAGAATGTTACTCAAATGAGGATTAGTTGAGAGTATTTTGATATTTTTTATCAGCTAAATTTAGAATTAATTCATAAAATGATCATTTATAATGGAGGACTTTCCCAAAATGATTTTTTCTAATTAAAAATGTGTATTTGATTTGAAATTTAAAATATTTTTTATAAATTTTAAATAATTCATGAATTATTTATAATCAATATATTTTTTCAATTTTACATTTAGTTATACAGAAATACTTGGTCCGTCCATGAGTGTTTGTCCACTTTTGACTTTTGGAACTGTTCATTTAAGCACTTTGACTCATCAAATTTTTTCAATGTGTAAGCCTAAAAATAGTCATGTGTGATCTTGTTTGATTCGTCTTAACATATTGATTATTAATATATAATTTTTATAATTTTTTAATATACAAATTACAAGATAAAATGGATTAAAGAAGTGCATTGGATGATGTGTAAAAATGAAAGTGGACAAACACTCAGGGACGGAGGGAGTAACTGCTTTGAGAATATATATTTTAAATTTGGATGATCAAAATACTAAAATATTTCTCAATTAATTGAGTAACATTATTTACGAAAGACTATCTTAGGAATAAATCACAATTATAGAGAATTGTGTGGATAATTAAAAATTATTGAGGACTGAATTGGAAAAACACCTTATTACAATTACAAAGGATCATTTTGAAAATTTATTCTTAAAAAAATTATTGTAAAAGTTAACAAATTGTGGTCGGGTGTGTTTTACACTGATCGGGAATTGTTTTTCCTTAAACGGCGCCGTAATCTTGGCGGTCAAAATCTCTTTCGGATCTTCCGAGGTTCAGTTATTAGGCAGCCACCTCACATCAAAACAAAACAAATTTGAGTTTTTACACACCAAAACGCGAATGGCATTGTCTGCCAGATTTATATACGTCCGTACAAATCAAAGAGTATTTTCTCTGGATCACAAAAACTAAAATGATGATGATGATGAAGAAGTACGACTCCTCCGACAGCGGGAGCGCCACCGCCTCCCCGAAGCGGCCGCCGCTGCAGCAGTACTACGTGCAGAGCCCGTCGTCCCGGCATGACTCGGCGCAGGTGACGCCGGCGTGCCCGAGCCCGCTGCAGTCGCCGTCGTACTCCTCCAGCTACGTCGACTCCTCCGCCGCCTCCACCCGGGCGTGCAAGGTGATTGAAGAGGGAGTTGGTGACGAAGAAGAAGAGGGGGAGAGGGGTTGTTGTTCGAAAGGGCTGATTGTGGTGATGGTTTTGGGGTTGGTTTTCGCTCTCTTTTGCCTCCTCATTTGGGGGGCTTCCCAGCCTTACAAACCATCCATCATTGTTAATTTTACCTATGATTAATAGGGATTGAGGGTTCACAGTTTGTATAAGGGAGAAGGTTCGGACCACACGGGTGTAAGAAGAAGAAGAAGAAGAAGTCAGTCCTCCACTTAAAAAACCAGGAGAAACTTAACGAATATGGAAAGGAGAGTAATCCTAGATTGTTTGCTTCACAAGACGACTAACGGGAAACTTCAGCACGGCACGATTAAACAAATCATGAACAACTTCAGCGTATGCCGTAGAAGTGTTAGTTCACTTTGGCGTACATGTCGTAACCAACTTATGGATGAGTCTGTTTTGGCTGCAAGTAACAACAGGATTGGCATCGTTGGTAGAAAAAGAGTGCAGTTAAATTTGGAACAGATAGAGACCATTCCATTCCACAGAAGAACAAACATACGCTCACTGTGTGCAGCCATACAAGTACCAAAATCCACACTACATAGGTGCATACAACAAGGGCAACTGCAAAGCCACACAAATGCTATCAAACCTTTCCTCACAAAAGAGAACAAATTGAAAAGGTTAGCTTTCGTGTTAAACCAGTTTGTTCCAGAATCCCTTCCACACTCTCCCATTTTTAAAGATTTCTCCTGTACTATTCATGTGGATGAAAAATGGTTTGAAATGTTCAAACAATCATTGAGTGTATAAAACTGAAAGGGAGAGAGAGCCCCATAGGACAGCTAAAAGTAAAGATCACATTCCCAAACTAATGCACTTATGTGCAGTAGGGAGGCCTATCTTTGGTCCTGAAGGGGAAGTAATTTGGGATGGGAAAGTAGGCATTTGGCCTCTAACAATTCAAGTTCCAGCACAAAGGAGGAGTAAAAATAGGGCTGCAGGAACTTTAGAGACCAAACTCATACCTAAAATCACAAAAGAGGTGTACAGAACACTCATGATTCAGCAAGTACTGCCAGCAATAAAGGAGAAGGTACCAGAAGCCATCACTAAACACATCATCATACAGCAGGATAATGCCAAGCCACATATTGATGTTAATGACCCAGAGTTTGTGCAAGCAGCCAATGCTGATGGTTACAGCATTGAGCTAACTTGTCAACCACCAAACTCACCAGACCTAAACATTTTAGACCTAGGGTTCTTTGCATCAATTCAGTCATTACAACATCAGACATCAACTAGAAATGTGGATGAGTTGGTTCAACATGTGGCTCAGGCATATGCCAATTTAGAAGCTAAGAAACTAAACTATGTTTGGATCGGATTAGTTACCAGTTAGCAATGACAGAGATCATGAAGGTACAAGGAGGAAATAATTACAAGTTGGCACACATTGGAAAGGCAAGACTAGAAAGGGAAGGTGCACTGCCAAACCAACTTTAGGTAAGCACAGAACTGTATCAGGCCAGTGTGTGTGCTTTACAGGGTGTTCTAGCTACTCATGGGGAAGGGGAAGGGAGTGCATCAGAAGCAGTGTAATTCTGTTCATCATTTTGTTTTTTGGTTTTGAAATATGCTCATCATATGCACTTAATTGGTTTTTTTGTCAAAAGTGTGTATGGGCAGTATTGTGTAAGCAAACATTTTTTTGGGATGAATGTATGTTTGTTCATATTCTTAAAACCTACAAACACATTACATATAGTGGGAGGCCACTCACAGTTACCTCTTACACTAATCTGAAGTGGGTGGCTTTAGGAATACAGATTAGGGTTCCATAAGACAGACAGAAACATCACAAAACTCACCATAAGCAAATTACAAACACCACTCAGGCATATAGTCATATGGCAAAATTCAGTGCAAATTGTCATCATTAGTTTCCCAGTTAGTGTCTGGAAGTAGACTAAAGCACATAAGGAGACACATAATTGAAATATTACACCCACATAAGAAGAGAGGAATACTCCCCTAGAAGTCTTTGTAGCGTCGCTTTGGATCTGAGATAAAATATTCCCACAGAACATCATCCCCTCTTCATATTTGTAGGACTCAGATTGGGTGTCATCATCGTCCTCATCCTCTTTCTTCTTTACCTCTTTAGGCTCATCCTCTTTTGGCTTGTAATAGGCAGCAAGCCTTTCCTTCACCATTTCCATCTGCTTTTCAATACGAATCTCGTCAAAAACATATTCGAGCTCTGATTCGTATGAATCTGGAGTACTAGGGGCAGATGAGAAACCCATTTCATCATCTGTTCCATCCATCTCTGCGATCTACACAAAAAAAACAAATGAAAACAGTAATTAGATTGTTGAAATAAGATTAATATACAAAAATGTGAGAAAAAACTAACCTTGGATCTCGAACGGGTCAGGTATCCCCTAGATCTGAATCGCAGATCAAAAAAGAAAAACCCTAGATTCAAATTCCAGAAAAACAAGAATAGATGAAAAGACAGAGGAGAAAGATGAAAGGATAGAAGACGAGAAGGATGAAAGAGCAGATCTGAGAGAGGAAAGTGATGAAAGAGGAGAGACGCAGGGAAGATGAAAAAGGAACGATGAGGATTATGTCTGCCAGAGAAAGGAGAGAGACGCAGAAGATAAGATCGAGAATGAATGAGGGAGATGAGTCGTTGGGTAGGAGTAATTAGATGGAGGGTATTTTTGGAAGTACACAACATTTATCATACCAAATAAGGAAACATGCATATCATTTTGGGACGGACGAAAAAGGAAAACAGGCGTTATAAATTGGGACGGATGGAGTATTAGGTTATGCAAGAAATAATAAAATAGCATGTAAAAAAATTGGCAAAATTATACTGTTAGTACGTCCTTCAAGTTACTGCATTAAGCAGAGTTAGCCCTTCAAATTAACATTACAAATTTTACAAGTTTCCTTTTAGGTCACGTTATCATTTAAAAGTTGGTCCTTCTGTTAGATTTCCTTAGCTTTTAGGTCACGGCCTCAGCTCAACCTACTGAGCTCAGCCACCGAGCTCGGCCTCGAACTCTTATCAGCCCAAAACCTTGGCCCTTCCCCGTGATCTTTTGTGTAGTTGGTCCTTACCTTTATTTGCTTTGTATGCATCGAACACAAATCATCCATACACAAAACCTTGGAAGTTTGTTTCCCTGCAGCTTTTAACTTGCCTGCGATTCTAAAACAAAAACTTGTGGAATGAATGAATTTCCTCAAAGGATTTATGTTACAATAAATTCATCAGTAATAGAAATGCGCTTCTCATGGCCATTCCCAAAAGGCAATTGCAGAGACTCTGCTCCTCAGGGAGGATGGGAATGAGATTGCCCCCCACACCCAATCTTAACCACAAGGAAAAGATGTAATGAAGGGCTTTTTCTGTGATGAATTTTACACATTCTGAGATGTGCAAGCACCCAACAGCTTGCCTCATTTTTAATGTCTCATCACATCTTTCAAACCCCAAAAAAAATCAACAAAAAAATATGTATTAAAGAACAGTAATAAGAGCATCAGATCTCCAAGGTGATTTTGTTCATCAAAGTTTGTTCGGGCGCAAATTACCCATATAACATGAGATTCCTCACACTCTTTAAGATTCTTAAAAAAAATACAGTAAATATTTGTAAATTAAATGATTTAACAAACAGAGTAGATGAAACAGATTAGGGTGTGCTCAGAACTTCTTAGAGGGATTGTGATACCATCAAAGACAATAGATTGTCTCCAGCACAAAGATTTTCTTCATCAAAGCACAATGAAAAATCTGTCTTTTAATAAAAGAAAAATTGATAACTCAAACCAAAGAAATTGGAGATTAACAATGGCCTCAGAGAAGATTAGATTGATCGACACAGAAGATTCTGACATATGCTTGTCATTCAAATTATATATAATCATCGGCCAAGAACTGGAAAAAAGATTGAAGAACGCCTACAAATTAATAGTAATATGGAGTACTAATTAGTAAAATTTGTGATTATATTCAGAGACCAGGATGAATCCTCTACAAATTCCCAACAATGACATAATCTATTTTGCTTTAATCTAATCACGTCTGAAATTTAGAACAATAAACTAATATCACCTTCAGTGCATTTTATAAGAGAATAGGAACAAAAATCAAAATTCCAAAATTTCTTAATAGGCACCAAACGCGAATATGTTATGATTAACAAAAGCGTTCATGGGAATGGTAACAGGAATCATATGTACATTCTACTTGCTTTATATTGAAAACACTTCTTAGTTCGCATCAACCTGGCCTTACTTCTACACCTTCGAAGCATGGTCTACCAGCAGCATATGGATTCCTGAAAATAATAAGAGTAGGAGACGACTTTGGTATGATGAACCATTTTAAACAATTCAACAAATTAAAAAATTGAAAACATTTGAATGAAAATCCATAAAAACAAAAATTCTGAATCCTCATCATGCTATTCATGAGCAAAACAAGGAGAAAGGTATGAACTTGTTGTAGTTTCCAAACAATTGTTTATGTGAAAAAAGAAAGACAAAAAGAGAGTGCTCTCAGACAAATGCCTCGTTTCGTCTTCATGATTTTGTAGAATGGATTTCAATCAGACTCGTCATCTGTTTGATCATCATAGAGGACCTCATGAAACAAAAACGTTTGCTAGAAAATTTTTAAATAAAACATTGAAACAACCAAAGTAAATCCTCAGAATTGCAGAATATCAGCAAAGTCTTTCGACAACTCAGTCCCGAAAGATGGTGTATAACTGAACAGATTTCTTCACAGGAAACAAAATCACATTAAATACATTTGTAATAGAAATGAGCTTCTCATGGCCATTCCCAAAAGGCAATTGCAGAGACTCTGCTCCTCAGGGCGATAGGAAATGAGATTGCCCCCCACACCCAATCTTAACCACGAGGCAAAGATGTAATGAAGGCTTTTTCTGTGATGAATTTTACACATTCTGAGATGTACAAGCACCCAACAGCTTGCCCCATTTTTAATGTCTCATCACATCTTTCAAAACCCAAAAAAATCAACAAGAAAAAAATGCAGTAAAGAACAATAATAAGAGCATCAGATCTCCAAGGTGATTTTGTTCATCAATGTGTAATCAGGCGCAAATTACCCATTTAACATGAGATTCCTCACACACTCTTTGATCTACAAGGATATGTTTGGATATATAATATAAAAATTATGGTACTCAGAACTTCTTAGAGGGATTGTGATACCATCACAGACAAATACATGTCTCCAGCACAAGATTTTCTTCATCAACGCACACAAAAACTTGAAAAAAATAAAAATTGAAAAAATAAACTATTAAAAAGGGAACTCAGATTATGGGTGGTGATATAACAGGGTGGTCGGCAAGGTTGTGAAACCATTACGACGAACGAGACCAATACAATGAGTCATCACTGTCCCCCCAATGAAGATCTATGAACAGAAATCAACCTTGAAAAGATCAAATCTGGCGAAAAAAGATGAGATTAGAGAGCCTCAGTATGAAATAAAGCGCAATGGAGTTCTAATCACGTGTGATCATAATTACCCAGTAAAAATCATCGGCATCTTACACAAAACTTAAAAACAGAATCGAAAAAACCAAAAGCGTATCGAGATCGATATACGCTGATGATAATTTTCAGATTCATAACTCAAACCAGAAGATGAAAACGAATGGCCTCATAGAGAAGATTAGATTGATCATCACAGAAGATTCAGACATATGCTTGTCATTAAAATTACTTATAATCATAGGCCGGGAAAGGGAAAGAGATTGAAAAACACCGATTAACGAAGACTGCGAATCCAAATTGAAAATTGATATTTTTTATAATAAAAAATATCAATCCCAAGAGTATAGATTAAAGAGGAATGAAGAACAAGGAATTGAAGAGGTTATAATTGAAGAGGTGATAAAGCTGTTAACTAGAAGGGCGATACTTATAGCAATGGCTGCTAGGGTTTCGCCGTTTCGGCGACCTCAGCCATTGGAACACACCCGCTTTCTGAGTTCTGGGTTCAGTGTGGGTTGGGCCTTCAGCACAAATTTGTACTTCAGTAAAAATTTTAGAATCAAATTTGTGATGATATTTCATTTTTTTTCTTCTTCTACAACTACGTAATAATATTTCATTTTTCTTTTTCGTCCATACTAAAAAAATTATTTTCAACTTAAAAAATTTTTTGTGACTATTACTTCCACGTTCAATTTATATCGTCTATTTCGATTTATGATTTTTGACTGAAATTATTTTCAAATAATTTTATATGAAAAATGGTGTAGAATTAAATATATATTTAAAAAACTTTATCAAATGATTTTCGAAACTAGTGGTGATATGATTATATTATTTTATCAAGTGACTAACGAAAAAAGAGAAAAATAGTAGATGAAATTTTGATCATCTGAATAATAAACAGACAATTTAATTTGGCATGGAGAATATTATTTCTCTTTTCTTTGTACCACTTTCAATGATACAATTTCATTTTCATGTTTTTTCCATCATGGAACACTATAGCGGAAGGGAAGAAGTATCAATTTAATAAAAATTATGTTTCTTGTTGTTACCGAAATAATTTAATTAGCTTTTACTTGTAATATAGTATTCCGTAGTATTTTTAACGAATTTATTTTATTTTATTAATGTACAATTACTAAAATGTAATTTTGATTTAATTGATTACGGAGTATGAAAGTTGTCAAGTGTGACTACAAAAAGTGAAATTCGACAAACCCATTGAGATAGAGAGAATAATAAGTTTTAGACCATCTCACTCAGCACTATGTCAACTTTTCTCATTTTCGTCACAGTCCATCACACCACAAAGGTGTGGATCACGCTCAATTTTTCTTTTCTTTTATTCATTTATTAAATTCAAATTCAAATGCAAATATAGTAACCGATAACATCCACTCTCCCTCTCACGTTGGTTGTACTTGTTGGTCGAGGGGCTTCGTTTTTTGGAGGAATCTTCGAACAACTTTGTACCTATCCTCTCTCCCTTACGGTCGAGTGACTTCGTACGTTAGTCGAGTCACTTCGTACCTTTCGCATGTAGTGAATGTATCGGCACCATAGCTTTGGACCTAACGGACGGCCATGAAGCTTTCGGAATGGAGGATCCCCGTTGGCAACAACCACGATAGTAGTTGCGGAACTACTAGGCAGGGAGAGGTACCAAGTTGCTCTGAATGAGTTTCACAAATATTATATAAATTTTTCATTAACATTAAAATTATAGATTACATTGACATAATACCAGAAAAAGAGCTATAAATGATGGAAAAAAATAAAAGTACTCGATTAAAAAAATACCCCCATCCTTTTTCTTTCTTTTATATCTGTCGTTGCATAAATTTTTATTAAAATTATTTAAACGTAAAAAATATATACTTTATTGTTATTAAATTTAAAAGTACATATAAAAATATTAAAGTTTTATTTTAAAAAAATATGCAAAAAATAAATATTTAATTTAATTAACCAAAAAAACCAAAATTCAAAACAAAAAAAGAGTAAAAAACTAAAAGTGAAAAGACGAAAGAGTTGAAGAGAAAGAGAAAAAGCAAACCGCAAAAAAAAAGAAGAGGAAAGCAATGCAAGAAAGAAAAAGGAAGAAAAAAGAAGAAATTTGTCATGGTGGATGTGATGACCATCACGCGTATCACGAACACCCCAGAGAGGCGGTGTTCTACAATCATCACGAGCTAAGGTGGCACCAGGTGGCATCACGATGCACCATCACGCCACCGACATTGTTTTATCTGAGTGTTTGTTGAGTTGAAGAAGTTACACACTTCTAATAGTTTTAAATTTTTTTAGTATCTTCCAACTTCTCTTAAATTACTTTTAGTTTTGCCAAAACTTTTCAATTTGTAACTCTTTTTCAATTCTTCCAACAGTGACTAAAAAATATTATTTGGATATATTTTCCATATTTTTTTATTACAACTATTATTATTATCATCATCATTAATGTCAACAACACAAAAAATGGAGGGTTCCCATGACACGGGAATTCCATGTCATGGGATGACTCGCGGTAGCTACGGTGTCCCGTTCGTAAAATTATCAGTTTCTATCCCCTCCCCTGGTAAACCCTCGCCCTAACCCAAACACAGATTCCTACCCCTTCAATTGCATCCCCCAAGTTAATTGACTCCAAAATTAAAATTAACGTGGGGTGTAATTGAAGAGGGTGGGGTGGGGGTTTTACCGGGGGATTAGGGGGTAGGAACCGACGATTTTACGAACGGGGCACTGTAATAGCGGTTCCCACTAGATGGGGTTAAAAATTATTGTAATTTTTTTTAGACAAATTGCTACTGGCACATTGTTGTTTATTTTTCTATTCATGACTCAATTGAATATATAGTTCCTGGACTGTGTTTAAATCATACCATGTTGAAATGTTGAATTCTAGTTATGAACTAGGCTTCTTCTATAGTTTTATACTCTCTCCCTTTCTAAATAAATTACACTCTTTGATCAATGTGTGAAATTTCATGACCTTTTTATAATTTCATGTACGACTCTTAAAAAAAATGAAAAAAATATATATTAAAAATATATATCAAAAGTTTGACAAACAAACTAGAGTTTATTTCACCAATACCACCGTAGATTAATAAATGAACACCTTTACTCTCATGGTTTCAAGGTTTACGTCCTTTCAACTCGTGGTTCTAATATTTCCACGTTTATGCCCCTCTAAACTAAAATATATTTCAAATATTTAATCAATAGTTCCGTTGTCCATATGGTTTTGAAATGGGTACCAACGCCCCATCTCTATTTCTCTTTATTCTTTTTCTTCTTTCTTTTGTTTTTTTCATAACTATTTTTTTTATCTATTTTTAAAACCATTATTATACTCCGTTATCTTTTAATAATCAAATTTTTCTATGTTTGAAATAAAAAATCAATTCAATAAAAAATTAACATACACTCATATCTCTCAATTTAAATATTTTCATTTTATCCAAAAGCGGTTATTATTATTTTCATGATACAAAAGTCAATGAAACATCTTTTCTTTTTTCACACGGAAGATCATTTCACATTTTCAGTTCTTTTTCTGATTTGTTTTTTTATTTGTTCTCTTTTTGATTTTTCAAAAACATTAATTTTATAACATTTATTTTATTTTAATCAAAAACTAAAATAAAATAAGAAAGACTAGAAAAGGAAATGAAGAAAAAGAAAAATATATGCAAAAGAAAAATATATGCAAAAATAAAAATATTTAATTTGAGACAAATGAAGTACTCCCTCCATCCCATTTTATAACGCCTGTTTCGGTTTACGATGTTCGACTGAAATTATTTTCAAATCATTTTATATGACAAATGGTATATAGTTAAAAAATAAAAATTACATATTAAAATACTACATCAAAAGATCTACAAAACTAATAGTGACAATAGTACTTTATTTTATCAAATTATTCACGAAAATAGAGAAAAAAAGTGAATAAAATTTAATCCTATGAATAGTGAACAAGCTTTATAATTTGAGACGGAGGAAGTATATTTTAAATCTTTTATTTCATTTGTTATTTCAAACACAAACAATTTATATTTTTAAAACTCTTAAAAAAATAGTTTTGAAAAACAACTTTTCATTATTTCAAACACAAACATTTTTCTTTTCTTTATACAAAAAGAAAAGAAAAAAATAATAAAGGAAAAAAAGAGAGGACATCGCTGCCCAATTCCAAAACTATAGGGGACTACAGAGTTATATGTTACTCCGTATATATTTGAAGAGAATTTTAGTCTAGAAGGGCATCGGCGTGGGAATTTTAGAACCCCTAGGGCAACTACAAGTTTTGAAATGGTGAGATGTAAGAGTGCACATTTACCAAACAACGAGAGATTGGTACAATAAACTCAAAAAAAACTATATCAAAAGTTTAACATACCAAGGTTTGAAAGATTGAAGTCAAATGGGCAAGACTTCAGTCATGAACTACTCTCTTAATTAACAACCATACTAACAATGCCAAGAAACTTGAAACTGAAAATAGTAACGAGAGGTTACACACATCACTAATCTAGAGTCTAATTGTGCTTACAACTTAGAAGAAAACAAATAACCACTAACTTAAATGAAATTGCCAGAGAACAGTCCCACCCTTCCATTTACAGAGTAAAAAAGTTGACAGAAGAAGAAATCCCCAAGCAACCAAGAGGGGGGGTGACTTTAGAAGTTATCATAAAACCCAAACCACCTATAAATGAAATTGCAAGTACTAATTTAATCAAAAAAACTATATTTCCACACAAGCCCCTCTACTTCTCTACAGTGTACACTGGTCATTGTTTTGCTACAAAAGCACTCTCAATCTAAACCTTAAAAAAACACAAAATAAAGAAGATTAACTTGTCTAATTCATTGTACCCACGCTCGCAATCCGTTCTGCAGTTCTGGAATTTGGTGATGGAATTTTAAGGCCGCCAGGCTACGTCTAACATATCCAATGTCAGGTTTAAACATCGCTATCAACTCCGAATAATTGTTGGGTCCAAAGTTGATAGAATCTGAGGCATCGACATGCCACCTGATACAACAATCTCTGCAATAAAAAGGGGGGAGGGGGGAGATGTGTGTTACAAAATGTCTCTTTTCGTTCAAATAAACTGCCAAATGATATGTTCCTTACGGTATGTTTGGTTCGTGGAATTCACAAGGGAAAAGAAAGAGGTTTCTCTCCTATTCCTAGCCTAAATGGAAGGAAATGGGCTTCTTCCTCTTCTTAGCGTATTTTTTCTTCTCATTTTCTTTCCCCCCTCTTTTCTTTTCTTCTCCTCCCCAACTAACATAAAATTATTTTCTATATCATTTTCTTTTTTTCCCTCTCGAATTCCTTGAACCAAACACACTAGTGAAATTGCAATGTAACACACAACCCACAACACCCACATTTGAAGTGTTAAGATAATGAAGGATTTGTAGTGTTGGGAACATAAGAAGGTTACCCCTTACACATCCTAACACTTAACCTCCTAATATTGTATTACTTTCCTCTCAAACAAAGTTTTGGGATTTCACACTCCCTAACATTTCCATTACTTAGACCAGATTAGTCCTATCATCAAACTCAAACAAACTCTTCCATAGAACGTGTTACCATCAAAGCAGGTAAACAATATGCTATCCGCTGATTGTTAAATGGGGTGGGTTGGATGTTAAACGAAAAACATAAGCAAAACAGGAGGGTGGTTTAAGCTCCACGATTCGAACAGCAAGAATTATCATGAAGAAAATACGTTACTAGGCAAAGAAGTAAGCCTTACCGATTCCTTCACGGACTGACAAATTTGGCCTTATAACATCTTTTGCATTCACAAGGAACATATCACCAATATAGAGATGATTTGTTGGAACATACACGCAGCATAGCTCCTCATCTCCTGAATAATTCTGATACAAAGGCACAATATTGGGCAAATGCATGTCAGATTCAATTCACTAGAAAGAGCATTAGTTGGTGATTATTTTATCATGTGAACGGATATGGCATCAATGTCATATTCCATGATGTTGACTATTGATTTTACCATATCAATCTTGTCTTGTAATGAATGGGATATGATAACAGCAACCATCTCCAGTAATTGCAGACTCATGTTATCTTCTATTAGTGAAAAAAACCTTACGAAGATGAGGAGAGTTTTGGAATTTTAACTCATTATTCATTCATGACAAATTTGCAATAAGGGCATCCAACATAAAACTTTACTACCATACTTTTTTGCATGACTTAACAGTAATTATTTTCAAAGCTTCAAGTCTAATTTTGACACTGTTACCAGTTTTTGGTTTTAATATTTAGGTTCATATGTTATAGGCTGCATAATGAACTAATAGGTAAGGCAATTATACTTGTATAACCATCATAGTTTGAAAACTACAGTAAAAGAGCTCAGAGCGTATATTTTTTCATGATCTTTTTATTAGTTATTAAAGACACAGAAACAAAAAGCAAAAAAAATGACGAGTACACCCTTATTAGGTACTATAAATATGAGTCCCACACATAAACAAAGTCACTTTAATTTGGTTTTACCAGATGCAATCAAGAATGGGCCAACCTGTAGAACTACAGATGAAGTAATGAACCCAAATGCATATTCACCGATACGTGGATGCCTTATGATAGCAACTTCCTTGAAAGCCTGAGTGTTCTGATCTGGAATAAAAGAAACACAGTAGAGAACTACTGATTATGCACATAGACAGACATTTAATGAAAACTAGAACATAAAATCTAACAGACCTGGAGATATGGCAGAACTAATTTGCTTTGATGCATTATAGATATGACGAACGAATGGCATTCTTTTGATGAACCATTCACCAAGACTTAAAACAGAAGTCCCTAACCAGGATGACATGAATACTCCAACCAAGAAAATGAAAGTGATTGAAGTAACAAACCCCAGACCTGGCAATATAAATATGTAAAAATATATAAAAAGTTCATAACGGCGTCAAACAAGAAAATAGGATGACAAATGAAAAAAAATCATTGCTCAAAGAAATGGATCAGACTCACTAGTCAAATTTAGCAATTTGATTTTAAAGTCTTTTGTATATGGTCTTGCATAAAACTTGTTGCATGTTAAATATGTTAAGACATCGCTTGTATGGATTTCATGATCAGAAATGAGAGATGAATAATTGGGAGTGAGATAGAATCAGGTTTGAAATGAAAGGAACTCGTGTGATTCCTGGAATCACTCAAAACACTTGGTTTATTAAAGGCAGGTGATGCTTCACTCCAATTTCAATAGTTAATAAACCCCAGGAATTCCTTGATTTCAAATTCTAAACTAGGATAATACACCACATTCTCAAGAGTAAAGGAACTCCCAAGAATAAGAAGCCTATACAAACAAGGCCTAAGAGTTTAGTTTATGAGACCAAAACTTGCCACATAATCTCTGACACTTGGTGGGGAAAATACACTTACCAAATATATTGATCCCAAGTTGCACATAGATGGGGGAGAAAAATCCATCGACAAAGTGAATGAACCACCATGTTATATAAAACGTGACTGCTATGGGAAATAGGATGACACTGCAAATGATGATCAGTGACAATCAGCATAGATGCTATAGGGAGATTTGCAGAGCAACACATGTAAACAGAGAGGACGTTCTGTAGTATTAACAAATGGTCAAATGCATGTCACCAGAGCAGCATCTCAGGGAAACATGTGCGATATGCATGCTGAAAAGCTTAGAACACCCAAATTTCAACAGGAAATTAAGGCGACCATCTCCAGTAAGCTTAGAATCAAGTCTCAATAACTAGACCATTTGTTCAAAGTAATTGAAATGTCCCTTCAAGTACAATTACAATTTTTTAAGTTTCTAAAAGGAGCATCAGTTATATTTCCAGGTAGGCAGGTATCTTCTAACATAAAAATGAAGTACCTGTTCACACTGATTAAACATACCTTTTGAAGTTTAACCATAAAAATTTATCTGATCAATGTTAATTGTGTGCAAGCCTTTAAGAGAAATCATGAAGCGTTTAGTTCATGTGTCGTACTTGCCAGTGTGTAGATTATATCTCTCCTAGTGGCATGTTTACTTGGCAACTTACAAGCTATTCCCTCCGTCCCAAAATGTTTTAGACTTTACGCAAAACTAAGTGAAATTTCAAGTTTTTTAAATTAATTTATTTAAAATTTGGCATAAAAATTAAAAATAAAACTTACATATTTAAAAATTACGTCAAAAGTTCTACAAAACATGAGGTGGCAAGAGTATTTTATTTTATCAAATAATCAATCAAAACGCACAGATAACAAAAGTTTCCGTAATTTTTGAATAGTGAAGAGTGTAATTCTTTTTGGGAGAGTATAAGTTAAAAAATGTCCCACAACAAGACAATCATAATAGTAAAAAAATTGCTAGGTGTAGAACTTAATCAGCTCATTCAACCTGATTAGGGAAGACCTGCTAGATGCATGCATAGTATCCACTTTAAAGTATCAAATTAATAAGTATCAATGACAAATAAAAGAACAGTGCAAACAATTGCATAGAGAGCCTAATGGTCAGGTTAGAAATGTTCTGACCATCCAGTCATGAATTTCTTTGAAGCCCAGCTCCTAAAAACTTTGTAGAATGTCTGCAACAATAACAGAATACACAACTATTGTTAGAATTAAACTCCTTCATACTAATTATAGAGGGAATAGTTAAAAATTAAATATGACCTTTAAGAAGAGGAATATAGCGCATATAGCACTTGGAAGCATGTATTTGAAGGTTAAAACTAAAATCAACACCAAACATGGAAAGAGATCCTGGCCGCCTAGCCATCTGGATCAAAATTTTGAACTCAAAACAATAACTATTGTTCGTCATCAGGACACACACACACACATCTCCCTCACTATCATTGCTCGATGAGTTAACATTCGTATAAACATTTTTTAAACAAAAAACAAAAAAGAAGTCTAGTCTAATATTTTTTCCAAACAAAGAAACCAATTGATTTCTCCAAGCACCGACACCCAAATAGCTACTCTTGGAACCAATGTTGTGAAAACGGCTAAGAGTGATGGACTATAGCCTAGATCTAGGCAGTTTTTAGGGGGGTGCCGGGGCAAGAAGTTTTCGAGGGGCTCCTTTGGAATTTCTATGATGTTTCAATTCAAAATTTCTTAATCTGCCCAATCGCAAAGAGTATACAAATGGACACTAGAAAATACACCGAATCGCACCCATCTTCCAAACCCCCTTGGCTAGCATCCAGCAAGACGATACAAGCTGAAACAAGTAAGCTAAAAGAGTATACTCTCCTCTAGAAATCATCATGACCAGTGCCCAGCTTTGACTTTATAAAAGATAAAGACAAAACCAGCAAACAAATGAACAAATATAAATTGCTTGTTCAGATTTCATAACAGACAGCACCATACTCGGTAGATTTCTCTTTGGAACAATAATAAACTTCTCCTATTGGAAATCGTAGAACCCATCATCAGATACAGCTCTTACAGATGAGATACAACCAAAACCCTATCCCTAGCTCAGAATCTGGGAAAAAAACATTTCATCTTAAAATAGATAAATTTTCCAAACAAGCCACACAAGCAAGATCAAAAGGGGAAAGGGCAGGAGCTCTTTCTGGTCAATTTTACACAGGAACCAAAAAAAAATCAAATTTATCACACAAAAAAGAAGAGAGAAACCCAAATGTTTTCAAACAAATTCTGTGCTCTACCTCGCGGCCGGCATGGAGGTGGTGAGCAGAGGCGGATGACGACGAAGGCTTGGAATCACGGTCGTCAACGGCGGCGGAGGAAGCGACGGGGATGAGTAGCTCCCGATCTCTTTCTCTACTGGCGTTCCCCATCATACCCACCATCCCCGATTTCTCATCCCCCATCAAGCAAACCCCAATTTCAGACTCCTCTTTCTCTCGATAGTCTAACACTCCTCACCTTCCTTCCACTCTTTCTCTTCCTCCCTAATCTTTCCCACTGTACGCGACTCTTTTGAAGAATGGTAAATAGTTGAAAAAATTCAGAAAAAGAAAAACTGCAAAAAAGAAACCCAAAAACAATTTGAAAAATCAATACGAATAATAATCGGAAAACTTTGAAAGCAGTTGAATTAAATATTGAGTTTTTCTCTCATGCTTTTGTAATTCAACAAGGATTGATATCCTTTTATAATGAGTTCCATGTCGATTTTTATTGCCGTATAAAATTATTGAATATGCTTAACTTTATGATTAGTCGATACTCGAACGAAGGGAATATATAGATATTGTATTTGCCATAAAAATACATATTTAATGATTAAAAAATTTATATACTTGTAAAATATACAATATTCAGTATTAGACAATTAAAATAAATGAAATTGAAAAAAATTGTCTTTAAAATAATGAGACTTGAACAAATGTATGTGAAGCAGATGATTAATACTAATAAATTAATAAAAAGAATATAAAATAATTACCATTAGATTATTTAGCTAAGTTAATAGAAAAGGAGTAAATTATATAGGGGTCATTTTGCAATTTTTTGAAAATTAAAATTAAGCATATTGACTAATCTTATGTGGCAATAAATATCGGCACGGAACTCATTGAATGGAGGAGCATCTATACCCCTTGAATTACAAAGGCATGAGAGAAAAATTTTTAAATATGCTTTTATTAAAATACGGAGTAAGTTATACTCTATTGTTTCACCCTTTTTTATTTTTATTATTTCTGCATGTCTCATTATTTTTATTTCAAACTATATTTAATAACATTTGTGTTACTCAGTCATTCTTACTTTCTAATTTTTTTTACTTTGTATTTCTTAATACTACTAAGTACAACAAAAAGAGTAATATTTTTTTAATAATATGGATTAAAAATAACACTTATAAGATATGTGATACCTATTTTATTATATTGATTTGATTTTTATTGTCTGTAACTAATAGAACAATACTTATAGAAAAAACAATTATTGCGATCCTTTTGAATATAATCATTGAACAATATCACCTTGAGTCTTGCTCTTGTTGTTGGTTGCCTCAATAAAATTTGTACCTCAATTCTTAAGTAATTTTCTCATTTCCTTCATCAAGCTGCAACATTAGTTTTTCCCTACCTTACCAACAAACATGCTTTTTTAAAACTATACAGATTTTCAAACCAAATGCATGCAGTCTATGGTTTTTTGTTACTTGGTGAAAAAACAGAACAAGTATTTTATTCTGTTTATTGAAAAAAACAAAAATGGAAAAAGGATGAACAAACTTAATGGGCCATAGGAATTTAAATACTTATTTAGCATTAAAGATGTGACATCTCAAATAAGGAAGGAGATAACAACACCTTTGGGTGTCACATTCACAAGAAACTAAAAGGCAAAACCTGCAAGTGCATCCTCAATGACACCATAAAAAACATGCTTCTCTAAGTCACCAACTATACTATTCATTTCATCTGAACTAAAGCCTTTACTCCACCCCAAATCCCACCCTCCATTCACCACCTCCTTGCCCAAAAGATCTCTTTCAATCAATGAATACAAAGTTTCGAAAGAAACGGTTTCCCTGCCATGATCTTCATCATTTCTCAAATGTCCAATCCCCTCGCAGATCACACTTGGCATGGCCGATTCACACGGAAGACTCTCATCGCTGCCGAAAGTGCTGATATGATCATCTGAAAAAAATATGAAGAGATATTGTTAGATACTCCCTTCGCGATCTTTACATTTGACTTTGAGTAGATTCCATAAATGGTCCCTTATAATATGTGGATTTTAATATTTAGTCCTCAATTCTAAGTTTATTTCATTCATGGTTCCCATTTTTTAAAAACTATTCCATAATTAGTCCTTTGGAGACTATATGTGGAAAAAAAAATATTTGGTCATATTTGGCCAAAAAGACTATATATGGAATAGTTTTCAAAAATTGAAGACCATGAATGTAATATCTTAGAATGGAAGACTAAATATGGAAAACCACATGTTATAAGGGACCATTTATGAAATTTACTCTTTGACTTTTCGTACACACCAATGTAACACTTTGCCCCCATCATTTCACATGAAAGTGAAGTTTGTATGGTGGGATGTATGAGAATAAGATTTTATGTCACTACAAAAATTGTCATGATTTTTCAGGAGGCGTGTCATGTCTCCAGTGTTTCACATGATATAAGCTTTACAAAATATACAAAACCAAAACAAACTTTCTTCTTTAACCGCCTTACCGGTGATGGGATTCTCATTAACATCACAAACTTCCTGAATTTGAAGATCCTCGATTGCTTCAACTATGTTGCCAGTTTTATGAGCCTCCTTGTTGGATGTAAGATTTATATGCCCATCCTTCTCCTCGTTATCCTTAAACTGCTTTGGTACCAGCTGAAAGTATGGACAAACAAAAAGGTCAATATCATAAGGAAAATGCACAAAAATACTTCAAACATTTGGAGATTTTACGTCAATCCTCCTAAGCATGAATGTAGATAGAAAAGATCTAAACAAGTAACTGACATTTTGAGAAAAAAGAATTCAGAATTCACAGTAGATTGAGATGATTTCTTACTGGTTTGTCTGTTTTCACATTCTTCCTGCTTCTGGAGTTACGAGATGCAGTAGCAGTGACAGTCTTTGAAGCAAGATTTGATGCTCTACTTTTTTTCTGTGTATTCTGTTTCTCTGATGCATGTGGTGGCACTATCTCTGCTTTTCTGAGTTTAGTTTGGTCGCGGGATTTAGCTCCATCATTAGCTTTCACATTCTTCATACCTTCTTTTTTCTGCAAATTATGATCAACTTTCTGATTCTTGTCAATCTTCTTCTCAACAATTTCTTTATTATTCTGTTGCCTAGACTTCCCGGGACCAGAAGCCTCCGTCTTAACAGAAGACAGTCTTCCGTGAACCTTGGTTGGATTTTCATTTGGAATTGCAGTTGTTCCTCCTTGATCCTTGGCTCCCTTTTCTTGAATTGGCTTCTTTATTTTACTATTTTCTGCCCTTACATTTCTATAGTGTGTAGTATCAAGAACTCTGTCACTTACATTGGGCGAAAGTTCTTCTTTTCTGGTTTTCCTGACAATTTCTTTAGTGTAAGAGCCTTCGTAACAGGGAGATGTACTTGTGTTCATCCTTTCTGGCTGAAGAAGCTTTTCAGGAGAATGGCGAGGCTTCATGATCACAATAAGAGGGGAACCGGAAACATCTTGCTGGCAAGTTTCATGCTTTGGCCCATCAACAAACTTGCTGCTCTTCAACAGCCCTTTGAATTGCATGGTTTCGATGATCTCTTCCAGAGTTTTGCATTTTGGATCAACCTTCTTGGCGACAGGAGGTTTCTTCGCCTTTGGCAAATCCATTTCAAACATGGGTCTCCTTTGATTGAAAACCATGTCCTTCTCTAAATCCCTCTGCAAAGTCGATTGAAGGGGGTTCGGAGAAAATTCTTCAAGACCCATAAGCTTGGCAATCAAATTTGGACGCTTTGGCTTATGCTCCTTAACTTTCGGCATAGAACCGCTAAAAGAGGGCATTTCTTGGGACTGAAACACTGAAGACTGGCTTGAGCTAGAAGATGGGAGATCAGCGTCGAAAGCCGTTTTACTTCTATGAAAACTAGCCCTTCCAATGGAAGATTGGCTTGAGCTAGTGGAGGGCACATCTGGAAACAAGTCCAATTCTCTGTTTTCAAAAGACACCCTTTGGATAGGATGACTGGTGGGTGGCAACAAGTTCTGTCTACCAAAGCTCTCCCTTATCACCTCCCGGAGCTCATCGTAACAGTCCCTTGGAGCCCTCTCAACTCTACCAGACTTCTCTTTTGACGTTTTCTTCAACTTTGCCATAAATTGTGACGCCTCTTGCAATTTCCCTAGCATCACTAGACTCTCCTGCAAATCAAGAGCACCTTTCAACAAGTCTTTGGCAATATCTTTGGACTTCCTGTCAAAGCTAATCCCTTCCGGCCAAGACTCAATTACTCGGTTCAAATCCTGAGCTCCTCTAGCCACTTCAGCAAGATGGACATTTGACGCCGAATTTAACACTTCTTGAGACCCCTTGCTGACCACTTCTTTCCTTTCTTCCTTGTTCTGGGGTCTTTGTTTTACACGCTTATCCTCCATTTTTGTAGAGAAATCAATCTTGGATCCTCTTATCATCTTTCGTTCAACAACTCCTTTGGGATCATCACAGCTGAGGAATGATCTGTACACAACCGATATCAAACTGTCTTGAACCATGCTCTATGAGCACAAAAAAAGAACAGAAGCAATCAAGCTCTTATTCAGCTCAAGCAAGACCAAGCAAAAACAAAATTCACTAGCATGGCAGAATTTATTTTTATGTAGATAGATTGGTATTTCTCCATTACACTTTCAACAGACTGATGTGTGTGGACAGAGAAACTATAAGTCTATAGGATTCTGATGAATTGCAGAAAGAAACTGAAATAATAAAAATAATTATTGCTCCCAAAGTAATTCCAGCAAAGGTAATAATCCTGAAGGAAAGCTAGCTAGACAGATATCATGCTGAAACCCAAAGCCAGTGGATCTATATGACTATTTCTGTTCCTCAGCTAAAAAGGAAAGATTCTTTAGTTCACCAGATTCTGTTCTCTTTATTAAGCATTACCCAAAATTCAATTGAATGAAAAAGCTTAAACAACCTTAAACCAGAAAAAGAAAAGAAAACCAAACAACAAGAATCATTAAAATACAACTTCGTACCAGAAACCAGAAATTTCCCAAACAAATAAATGAAAGAACTGATAAAGACCCATTGCCGCATTTCTGCTGCACCTTCCCACAGGTCTTTGGTTGAGAAATACAAAAACTTCAGATCCCCATAAAAAGCCCATTTATAAAACTAAAAAAGAGAATTCGCTCAAACAGCATGCAATTCTTGACTTTCTTTTGTTTTCTACCCACTACAATATCTCAGTAGATAAAGAATCAAGCAACCAAGTTTTGTCCTTTTATGTAGGCTTTTCTTAGCTCAATTAATGTCAACAGTTACGAAAGAAACAAGAGAACTGTTGAAGAAATGTGTGTCCAGAGGTTGATAAACAGGAAAATCTTTTGTCTTTGTGTGAGATTGGAGGGTTGAAGAGGAAAGGTTCGGATCACAAGAACCCAAAACATAAATAAAAATACAGATTCAAACCCACAGCTTAAATTAGAGGAAGAAAGAGAAGTACCATACCAGTGGAAATGCCCGTGACAGTATTAAAGATTGGAGCTTTTGAGTGTTGGGTTCTCTTCTTCAAGAATATATGGCCGAGGGGGTTCTTTGATAGGAAGAAGATTCAAAATGTGTCGGGTCCAAAAGCGGCAATATATATCGGGGGGAAAATGTTTTTTGTTGCACGAAGAGAGCGGCCGGCCTATTAATGCATCGTATATTTATTTGTGGGCGTATGAAACACTGATTGATTAATCATTTCCAAAAGAGAGAGAGAGAGAGACATTGATTAATCAATAAGGTGTTGTTGGGTAAGTTTAAATTTGGGCCGACATTAATTAGGAAGAACACTAAAAAATACGGAGTACTCCGTAATTAGGACGAAAATCATATCTCAATAAAATCCAATATTTTGTATGTCACTTATAGATAGAATTTGGGTGTGTAAAATAGAGTTTATTGTATCATGATCTCTTGTAATTTGATAAATGTGTACTGTTATTCTCTATGATTTCAAAACTCACGGTATTGTCCCATGTGGTGATTCTGATATTACTACGTTAATACCTTATAAACTAAAGTATTCTTTAAATATTATATGAATAGCTCCACCGTACCCTATGGTTTTGAAAATTGGCACAAATCTTCCATCTTTTCTTTATTTTTTTTTGTTTTCTACGACTTTTTTCATAAATGTTTTTAAATTTCTTTTTTAAATTTTTTTATAAAGTTTAATAATCATTGTTTTTGTATTTGCAATAAAAATCAATTAAATAACAAGAAGTAGCGTAAACTTCATTTATTTTGAATTAAACGTATTCATTTTTGTCCAAAAGAGGTCTTTATTAGTTCATTTCATGATACAAAAATTAATAAAATATTCTCTTTTTTCACTAAAGCTCTTTTCTCACTTTCTATTCATTAATTTTATACCGTTTCTTTTATTGTAATCAAAATAAAAATAAAAATTAAAACAAAAGAAAAAAGATTAGAAAAGAAAATAAAGAAAAAAAGTATATGAAAAATACTTTTATATAATAGGAAATATTAAGTCATGAAAGAAATTTGTTTGCGCATTGGTCCGAAAACTTTTATTTATAAAAGATAAAAACATTTTTAGACAAAAAACAAAAATATTTAATTTGACAAATGAAGTATATGTTAACTTTTTTATTTCATTTTTTTATTTCAAACACAAGTTTTTTTTTTATTTTTTAAATTTTTTTTAAAATTGTAGGTTTGAAAAAAATCATTATTTCACACACAAACATTTTTCTTCTCTTTATAACAAAAGATCGAAAAATAACAAAGAAAAAAAGAGGGGGCGTTGGCATCCATTTCCAAAACCATAGGGGCATCGGGGTTATTCACCTAATATTTGAATGATAATTTTGTCTAGAGAGCATTGACATAGCAATATTAGAACCAAGAGGGGTAACAATGCACATTTACCAAACTACGGGGGGCGTTGGTGCAATAAACTCTTGCAATATACCTCCTCTGTCACAAACTAAGTTGCATATTTATTATCTATAAGATCAAGCTTCATTCACTCTTTTTTTCTTATTTTTGCTACTCATTTGATAAAATGGTCTAGTCATGTCACTTCTCGTTTTGTACTTCACAGATCTTTTGATGTAGTTTTTAATAAATTTATTTTTTCTAATTCCGCTCTAATTTTCTTATAAATTACATTGAAAATAACTTCAGTCAAATAGCATAAACTAAAACGAACGATTTAAACTGAAACTGAAATGAACGATTCAAATAGCATAAACTGAAGTGAAATTTCCTCAGGAGATTTGTTTGGATTATCCTCGATTTTCTGGTAATGACTCTCAAATCCCACATTATCTAAAATATAATGTGGGGTACCCTCAATTTTCTGGTAAAAACTCTCATCAAATCCCAAATTATTTGAAATATAGACTACGAGAATTCTTAAAATTAGTGATAATGTACTCCTTGGATACATTTCGTCTATTTGACCGTTAGGATTAAAAGTTTTGGTACATTGAAAAATACTAAATTTTACTTTTATAATAATTATTTTATTAAATTTAAGTAAAATCTTTCAGTTCCTCAAAGTAAATAAACTTCCAATCCCACTGCCTAAATGAGTGGAATGTATCCTCGAGATATTATATCACAAATTTAAAAGACCCCGAAGTATATTTTGAATAATATAGCGCCTCAGAGTTCTTACTAGAATATTGAAAATACCTGAGAATATATATTTCAGATAATGTGAGACTTGAAAGTAATTACTAGAATATCGAAGGTACCTTAGAGTAATTTTCTGAAATTTCCTCCTCAGACAATTCAATAACAAAAATACTAATGGTATATCGATGGTGTACCACAAGAATTTGAAATCACACACTTTATAGTATAAGAAAAAAAAATAAAATTTTATGGCTTCAAATGCTTGGAGTACATCATTTAGTGTACCCGTAACATTTCTCTATGAGCAATGCTAGGGGTACGCCAACATGGGGTACCCCATTTATACATCAGACTAACATAGACACACATAGATACAAAATGTCTGTACAGACATTATGCGTCTGTGTTAGCTTGATGTACAAATGGTGTACCCCATGTTGGTATACCCCTTGGTTAATTCTTTCTCTATTAGGATTGTTGGATGGAAAATGCTTGGAGTACACCAAATGGTGTACCCCCAATATACCACACCCCCTCCATAACCACAAAAATTTACATGTAAAATTCCAAAAATAAATAAATAAATAAATAAGAACTAAATAAAAATGACTGGTAAAGAGGCATATGATGTACATTTGACTGGGGTACACCAAACCCTAGCATCTCCCTTGGAATGGTGTGCCCCAAGTGTTCCTAAAATTATCATTTTGCATCTTTTGAGTTCTATGCAGGGTGAATTCTTAGCCAATAAAATAATTTTCTCAGTCGGCATGTTCTTAATTCAAGGATGCTCAATAACTGTTGTTTGCATGTATTCTTGGTTAGTCATTTGATAAAATAAAATATTTTTGTCACCTCTTATTTTGTATAAATTTTGATCGAGTTTCTAAATATGTAAATTTTACTTTTTATTTTACGAGTTCATGGTATTTTTTTTCAAATTATTACCTTTGTACTTGTTACTAGGCCTGTCAATGGGTCGGGTATAGACCCGGACACGTATAATACCCGTAATTTTTAGTGGGTTTAGGAGTATAAAAAATACCGTTTGCCCGTACCCGAACTTGTACCCGTTATTTTAAAAAAGGGTCGGGTATAGGACGAGTAGTCTCGGCCCATTTAAAACTCGTACCGGTTAAATAAATACTACGTAGATAATATTAAATATTACAAAACTCTACCCCTCTTCTTCACTGGTTGTGTGACTTCCAAATCTATTTTTATTTATTTCACCACATTAGAGGCATGTACACGTTGGTTTATGCCATGCAGTAGCATAAAATAAATAGTTTGAAATTAGTTGTAATGTTATAAAGAACATTCCTGCAACAAGAATGAATGTGACAAGAAGACCAATTATGAATCTAAAATTTTTGTTGTAGATTTTTGGTGAAAAAGGCCAATTTTTGTTGCAGTAACGTATTAGTCTTATTTTTATTTGGATGTGGGAAGAAATTGAAAGAAGTTGGAAAAACTAGAAGGAAATAAATTAATTGGAAAAAATTGAAAGAAACTAGAAGAAGTTAAACTCAAAAAAGTTGTAAAAACTAGGAGTTGGAAGAAACTGGAAAAAGTTTGAAATTTTTTGAAAGAGTTTATAAAAAATAAAAAAATGTAAAATAATTATTTTATTTTATAAATTTCATATCTTATTTAAAAAATGTATACTCTGCTTTTTAAACTTTTAATCTCTTTTTATTTTCTTCTATACCATTATTTTTTTTATCACAAGTTGTATTTATTATTTTTTGTGACTCACGCTTCTTTTTTACTTTTCCAAATCAAGATCAATCATATAATTTTTCATTTTTTGTTGTATGTCACTAATATGTAACAAAAATAAAAAGACAAATGAAGCAATACCTTTTATTAACCTTAGTTCAAAGAAAAATTGGAATTAATAATATAGCGGTATCTCGACCAAACAAAATAATATTACATCACATTTTATACATCAAAATAATTACAAAAATGATCCGAGACTAGCAATGTTAGTTTTGTATTAGACATTACTGGTTTAATATGATTTATATTTTTTATCAAATTATCCAAAAAATTATCTAAATAAGCCAAATACACTCACAAGGGTTTGAGTTATTTTTATTTCCAAAAATTTCCAATTCTTTTTTATTAGGAAACAATTACTACTCTAAGATGATAGGGAAAAAGAATAAGGGGCATGATAAAAGGCATCAATTCATTCCCAAAAAAGCTATCAGTATTTTTTTTCACATGTCTCAAGAATATTGCATTATTTTTACTTTTAAAATATTTTTTATCATTTTATAAAATTTAAATAGTGAATGTTTATGCAACAAAGATAGTTTTTAATATACATCCGATATATGCACATTTAAAAAATAAACTATATTAATTTTATACAACTTTTTCACGTATTAAGTTGATACATGAACATTTATCTTTTTCACATGCTTAGAACATGCACATTATAAAAATTATTAGTGTATGCACATTTAAAAGTTATGTAATGTTTAATGAAAGAGAATAGAGTGCACATTTGTTTTGGTCAAAATTTTAACACATTGACTAGAACACATTCCAACGAAACATAATTAACAAAAATTTCAAATCACAAAGCAAATTGTAATTTAATTATTTAAAGATTTTAAAAATTTACGTGACTCTATAATGGTAGCTAAAATTTCAAGACATAATTTCTTAATAAATTGTGACATTAAATCAATTTTTTATTTTATTGAGATAATAGTAATAATAGTACTAATAATATGAAAATAAACCAAAATACTTTTTTAAGTGATTGTTGAAAGAAAGTGGGAGCATCTTTATGTCCAAATGAAAGTTAGTTGACTATTGCATGCTTTCCCGGGCTTTTTGCTTATGTTGAAACTTCAACCATTCATGCCTTTTAAAGTCCAACACAAACAAACATGCACCTTACGTTCCATACTTGTTGATCAATTACAGCAAACATTCTCAATAAGCACAAACAAGAAACACATTACCTGAAGGAAAAAAACACAACTTTTCTTCCATTTCTTCATCATCCATTCCTTGTACCTGCAATTTCTCCTTCACGCGAAAAAAAAGAACGAAAAAAATCCACATTTTTTTGTACGGATTATTTTACCAACCTTTCTGGCTCCGAACCCAGCTTGATTGTTTTTTTTTTTTTTGCCTTAATGCCGGTAGGTATGAGGCGTGAGAGGTAACAAATTAAAATGGTCACAGAGGAACGCGTGATTCAGAAATCATGGTCTTTCAACTTCAGGAAGATGTTTGAGCTCCCAGGGAGGAAAGCACAGAGCATGGTTTTAGAGGTGAATGACAACAATGGCAGAGAAGGTTCAGACGAGAGGCTAAACAAGAGCGAAAGTGGAAGATTGCGGACCCCACCATCATCAGACAACCAGAATATAGGGAGTGTTTTTCGACAGGGCGAGAAAGGGCCTGTTTCGCGGTTGGGCAAGTCAGGACACCAGAAGGATAGAGATATGGAACAGATGAAAGAAAGGTTTGCTAAGCTGCTTTTGGGAGAGGACATGTCTGGAGGAGGAAAGGGTGTTTCTTCTGCTTTGGCTTTGTCCAATGCCATCACAAATCTTGCTGGTATATACTAATAAATGTTTCATTTTTAATAAAATCATGTGTTTTTCCTTTTGTTAAAACAAAAATTTAATTACTTAAATCCAATTGTTTTTTTATAGCTTCTGTTTTTGGAGAGCAGTCCAAGTTGGAGCCAATGTCTGCAGATAGGAAGGCAAGATGGAGAAAGGAGATAAGCTGGCTTTTGTGTGTGACAGATTACATTGTTGAAATGGTTCCTTCTCAACAAAAAGCAAAGGATGGATCAACCATGGAGGTAATATGGAAATGACATGGCAAATTATATGGAAATTGGAAATTATGGAATTTGTGAGGACAAATTCGGAAACTACATCAAAAATTTCCCTTTCTTCATTTAAAGCAAAGATAAAACTGAGCTGATATATATGTTGCATGTGAATTTAACAGATAATGTTGACCCAACAAAGAAAAGATCTTCTCATGAACATACCTGCCTTAAAGAAGCTTGATGCCATGCTCATTGTAAGATCATTGCATTAATTCCAAGATGTCAAAATAATGCTCATATAGTGCATTGTTATTAACTTTTTGTATATATAAAGAGAGAGAGAGAGTTAACCATTTGGGCATGTAGGACTGCTTGGACAAATTTTCAGACCAGACTGAATTCTGGTATGTCTCAAAAGATGCAGAAGAATCAGAGAAAGGCGTACAGAAGAACGACAAATGGTGGCTTCCAACGGTTAAGGTCCCACCAAGTGGTCTCTCTGATTCAGCAAGAAAATGCCTTCAGTACCAGAAAGATTGTGTGAACCAAGTCCTGAAAGCATCCATGGCCATAAATGCTCAGATCTTATCAGAGATGGAAATCCCAGAATCCTACATTGAGTCTCTCCCAAAGGTGAGAAACAAACACCCATATTCGTAGCTGCATTACATCTCAAGATTCTCAACATAAATCCACTTAAATTTCTGCAGAATGGTAGAGCAAGTCTTGGAGATTCGATATACAAGAGCATAACCGTTGAGTTTTTTGATCCAGACCAGTTCTTGTCAACAATGGACCTGTCATCTGAACACAAAGTTGTTGACTTAAAGAACAGAATAGAGGCATCTATAGTAATATGGAAGAGGAAAATGCACCAGAAGGATGGAAAGTCATCTTGGGGTTCAGGTGTTAGTTTGGAGAAGAGGGAGCTTTTTGAAGAAAGGGCAGAAACAATCTTGCTCCTACTCAAACACCGTTTTCCCGGGCTGCCTCAATCTTCCCTTGACATCACCAAAATCCAATACAACCGAGTATGAAGAAGCTACGAAACACATGGAAAATGCACAAATGATCCCTTCTATCTGTTTTTAAATGGGACTTTCATTTTTTGTACTTGACATAACACATTTGTGGGATCATTTGTGCATTTTTTCCTGATGAAACCCTCGATTTTTTTTAATAACAAAATCATCTCAAATTGGTATAACTCTTTGTTTAAAACTTGATTCAGGATGTAGGACATTCTGTTCTGGAGTGTTACTCCAGGGTGCTAGAGAGCTTAGCCAACACTGTAATGTCTCGAATAGAAGACGTCCTTTATGCAGACTCTCTCTCACAAGATCCATCCCTTGTGGCAGTTAAACGGAAACCACCACCACCTGATTCTGGCTCGCCTCCACCGCCAGGGGGTGGGGAACCCAACCCCCCTGAAGAGACAGCCACAGGATCACCAAGCTCAATGACATTATCAGATTTCATGGGATGGAACATAGATACCAGAGAGACAGGACTACTGAAGAAGACAAACTCAATGGGTAATGCAGACAAGGATGAAAGCCAGAGAAGCTCCATTGTCAAGCCAACAACAACTAGCATTACCCCAAAGAAGTTCTCTTACCTGGAAAAGATAGAAAGTGGCTTAAGGAGTCCAACGGCACGCCACTAACAACATTAGAGATGAATCAGATGAGAAGAGAAGCACAAATACAGTACATATATTCTAGAATTAAAGACTGTAGTCGTGGAATGGTTTTCAAGCTCTTGATTGCAAATCCATTGCAGCTAGGGAGGTTCAAGACAGCTCATTGTTGTTCTTGGCCAAATTCAGTGATGAGTTTTTGATAACTTTTGAAACTACATTCAACTACATGTTTCAAACGTCAAAGCACTACAATGTGCAACTAAAGGTTTAGAAAACTAGATTGTGCTTTGAGCCATCGAGTAGTTTTTTCTTTGGGCTAGCTTAAGCTGAGATGACTTGAATTTTTAGTTTTGTACATTGTGAGATGACTTGACAAGCCATGTAAGATGGTGGTTCATGACTTGTATTTTTATATTTGTACATTGTGAGACAATTTTAACAAGCTTTTTAAGTTAGTGGTACTTCCATTGGAGAAATTTTAGAAGATCCCGCGGGGTCAAAAGTCCTTTACTGCGGGTGGCAATTTAGGGTGCTTTATATGGGAGTTTAGGATTCTATCCCCGCGGGATCAAAAAATATACGAGAGTATACCAAAATTATCCCTAAAGAGGATATTAGGCATGTTGAAAGCAATGGAGCACAAGCCGATTACAAACACATTTAGAGAATACAAATATAAGGCATCCACTTTTGTTTTACCCTATTTTCCAAGATTCAGAAAAAGAATGTTTTCACTTTGTGGCTTTGTGCATAACCCTTAACTGCTCAATACTTCAGTGTAGCTGCTAGTGTTGTACTAGTGGCAGCTTTTGGATTCAGATCAACCAATACATTTGATACTTCATCTTTTTTGAAATTTCAATTCAAAAAACTGAAGAAGTCAGCAAACTTCTTATAATCAGAGTGAGGTGTTTCATCACCCTTCTTGATTCAAAAGTGCGGTAACTGGAGTAATTTTTTCTTTGAAAGACTTAGCTTCTTGAAGCGGCCGCACTTCAATTTTATTACTAGACCTCTTAAATTCAAGTAACATTCCCATGTAACATAACCTTTTCTTCAAGAAACCTATTCATATTTAATCAACCCCATTAGTGCTGAGGATGGTGAATATTTAGCATAAAGTTGACAGGGATTGGTGTTGGAAACTTGGAAAGACTAAAGTAGCCTGCAAAGTATTAATAGATATTGCATCTGTTGCACATCAACTGCTGCATCCAGAAAATAACACCATATACTAATGGGTAATTAACTTGCAGGTTTGAAAAGAGCAGAAAGATCCATTCCATCTGAGAAGGGAAAACAGGTTTCATTCAAAATTTGTCTTGTATGAGAATATTTATTGAATCACATAGACAGCCAAAACTCAAGACTACTTGACAGAACACTATGGTAAGTATCTAGTTCAGGCTGATTTGGTAACGGCAGCATGTATTGCATCGACAAGATGAGGAACTTTCTGAGAACTGAGCCCGGCCATGCTAATTCTCCTATAAAATGAACAGAAAAAAAAAGATTTACAAGATAGCCTCATGGAAAACATTACCAACAATTCAAGTTGTGTATGTAGATATATTTTCATTATAAAGATGATTCCGAGATGGACAACTGCATAATTTTATCATCGATTACGTGAATTGATGATTACACTTCCATTAGAAGTATTCTCAGATCTTACCCATCCGACGTCATGTAGATGTGATACTCTCTTGTCATAAATGCAACTTGATCAGCATTTAATCCTGTGAAAGTAAACATTCCAATTTGTTTGATAATATGACTCCAGTCACCTGGTGTGCCTGCAAAAAAAAAAAGTTCAGAGATAGACTTTGTACCCTAAAAATTAGATAAGTGATTGGATTACCTTAATGCAAAACTTTTATTCTAAGCTATAAGCATTAACAGAAGCATAAAAAATTCAAAACGGCAATCTTGATGATAGTAGGTACCTTTAGATTGTAGAGCTTCAAACAGTTGCTGACGCATACTGATGATTCGATCAGCCATTGCTTTCAGTTCAAGGGTCCATTCCTCAAACAATTGTCTGAAACGTAGGATTATATCTCCTTCAGTCCCTTTATGTGAAACAACAACTCCAATGTAATCCCACAAGAGAGCCGGGAGGGTAAGATGTACCCAGACCCTACCTCAACCTTACCTCCATGAGATAGACCCTCAGCTCAAAGGGATAAATTGAAAATAGATTGGCAAGTAAGCAGTCCCTTTATGTGAAAAGAATAATATATATTCACACACGATGAATGGTCACAGAAAGTTTATGAAGTACCTGTCTTTGAGTATGGTAGCAACAATAGATGCACCATGAATGGGTGGGCTTGAGTACATAGGCCTGATGACTAGCTTTAATTGGCTTTCAACCCTGGCAGCAACATCTCCATTTGTGCAAACCTGCAAATAGAATCATGCAAGTGAGCTGAAATAGAAGTTCGTAAATGAACTAATCAGCATAGCTTTCACATATTATCAATCTTGTTTTCCATATTAATGTCCCAAGTGCCCAAAAAGCTCCCTGGCTCACACCAACATCATATAAATCACAAAATCCCACTAAGACTGACATAAGCTACTCAAAGGTAATGCAGTAATGCTTTAGACTAAGTTTGGCAGGGCGTAAGCTAGCTATTATTTTCATGGTATTAGAAGCTTTTCAAATAAGCTATGTTTGGTTGAAGCCTTGATTAACCGTATTTGATAAGCTTGACATTATTTCATAAGTTTCTTTTGATAGCTTTTGAAATAAGCTTCATGAGAACAGTTAGTTTTGCCAAACTTAGATCAACTAGCTTTACAGCTATAATTCCTATAAAGTACAAACTATTGATTCCTAGCTTTTGTTTTACCTAACATAACCTTAAGCCAACATTTCCAGTGAAACCAAACCAACTGCAGATAGCAAAATATGCTTACAATGCTTAGGGCACCAACGCGTTCCCCATACAATCCCATATTCTTTGCATAACTCTGAGCCACAAGGCATTCACCACCATCTGCAACGAAAAGGCGAACAGCTTGTGCATCTGTATCAAGACTGCCACTAGCAAACCCCTACAAAGTAAAGGGATCATTTCTTTAAAATCAATACTATACAAGCTGAGGATTCCCAATAAAAGATTTTGTATCTCCCAATGCCAATCACCAGTACTTACCTGATAAGCACTGTCAAAGAAAGGTAGCAACTTTTTGGATCGCATTAGCTGCCTGATGTTCCCCCACTGCTCAGCAGTTGGGTCTACACCAGTTGGGTTATGAGCACAAGCATGGAGAAGGACTATTGCTCCCTCTGGCGCATCACTAAGATCATCTAACAATCCTGTATAGATGGGAAAAATAGAATTAGTGATTTCGACATGTTGATTCTATGTATTACACCAAGCAACATACAAATAGTCTTTTGCTATGGATGAAAGGTGCAAATACTGACACCATGAATATTTACTTGAATGATATAAATGAATGAAAAAAAATTGTATCAAGAGCCGAGCAATTAAAGAGTACGTTTCTAGTTTAACATTTTAAACTAGAAAGCTTAAGCTATGTTTTTGTTTATTCCTAGAAAATGTTTTAAAAGAAGAATACATAGTATATGTTTGCTGCATTTCAAATTAGTGCATGCCCAATTGCTAAAAAAATGATCAGGAATCTCAAACATCATTGGTATCTAACTGAAGTCTGAATCCAACTTAATTGAAACCTTAAGATAATTTGAAATCTGGCAGAACTTCTAGAACAAAAAAAAAAACAGAATTTGCTAGGCATTTTACCTGTAATTCTGTTTAAATGAGCATAAGAGCCAAGCAATGTGTTCATCAGTTAATTACATTATTGAGATTGTAGATTAAAAATAAACTTTTTAAGTGTATGGATAACTACATAGATTGTGGATTGTGATAGCACTTTTTAGCTTATTACAACCAACAATCCATATGCACCTCAATAATTGATTGCTGTTTAGACTATATCCTATCCCAATTGGCAGATCATAATCAAAATAACAAAAATGATAAGTTAACCAGAGTGCAGGGCATGTAGAAAGGGACAATACCCTGGAAATCCAATCCCCGTGTTTCAGGGTTATAGTAGCGGTAGGTTTTTACCGACAATCCCGCTAATGTGAAAACCTTTGGATGATTTCCCCATGTTGGTACAGGAATATATATAGTATGCTGCAAATAAAGTACCCAAGTGAGTATTACTATTCAATACTGACTAAATTTAGGCATATTAAAAAACCAACATATAGGCACCTGAGAGTAATGCTTAGCCAGAAACTCTGCACCGACTCTCAATGAACCAGTTCCAGACAAACATTGGACAGTGGTCACTCTATTCTCTAGAATGGCATTGCTGTGTCCAGCAAACACAGATTAACCAAAGGTAGAAGAAAGACAAAAAAGATAACAACAGGTCTGAGTATGCTACTAGCCTACCACCACAAAATCTGTTTCAAATGCTGCAACTGTAAAGGGTATGTATGATCAAGGAAAATTCTATGGAACAGGGGGGAAAAGCTTAGAAAGTTGTTTTCTAACGTCTAGATTTATCGTGTTGAATGCAAAGGAGAATGAAAAATGACTAAATCTCAAAACTAGTTTCCATATATTTAGATTCCTTAGTCTTTATAATATGCAATGCAACGCAATATATTAAAAAATGGGTTTAATCAAATATCTAAAGTAAAATTGTTGGGTTTGAGCCAATGTTTCATTTTTCACAACATTTTCTTTCCTTCCAATTCTCGTTTCAGTTTTCCTGCCTATTTTCTTAACCTGCACTTGTAGCATAATAACCTTAGCAAAATATATCACCTCCTAATTCCACTTAGATCCCACCTAATCCATGAATAGGTGGCCTATCAAGTGTCTAGTGTTTTTATAACATTGTATAGATTCACCAGACATTAGATAAAAGGTACATGTAACCTATCTTTTCCATTATCTCCGATGGAGCCATAGATTCACTATTTTTGGCTTTTGGGTGTGATGGAATAAAGCAAAATGGATCTAAACTCTATGTGCTTCTCTCAACACTGAAGTAGCAGTTGGGTCATTTGCAAACAACCGCTCTATGTTTTAAATAAACATAGGGGTCAGGCTGCGTACATCCGACCCCTTTGCCCCGCAATGAGCGAGAGCCTTTGAGGTACTGGGATAATGTTGTTGTTGTTATTGTTGTTGTACATGTGACCTAGCTAAGTCTAGTGTCAAATTTTAAAAAGGGGAAACATTGAAACATATTGCATTTTATGTGCCTGTTTAGCTGAATAGAATGAAACCATTGAAACATGATCTCATTGATTGACAAAAAAATTCTTTAAATGTAAAAAGTCTTCATACCTATCAGCTCCAAATATCAGCTTTGCACTCAGTTTGTTAAAATCTGCCAATCCAGTTATGGGTAGATACTCTTTCACACGAGACCTGTACCTTAATTAATTAGCTACCAACCATAACACTGTTCAACATTTCATGTAACGAACAACCAAACAGAAGATAATACATTTTAAAAACTCACCGATCGCTTACAAGCATTTCCTCAGCCCGCCTCACCACATCAAGAACAAGGGGCTTCCCTTCCTGCCTTATCAAAGAAAAAGATATCAATTTTTCCACAAAAAGCATCATCCATAACCAAGAAACATTATGTTAATACTTCACTACCATTTTCAAACTTCTACAAGATACATGATTAATTAATTTATCGCCTTAGCAAGCACTACCAGACCCGTCTAGGCACTAGACTTCCGTTTTGTTCTGAATTCACCCACCAAAACCCGCCAGGGCCCTAGTCTACAGCCTGTCCGCCTCCAAGAGCACAAGTTTTTGAACAATGAAAACAGTGACATAGATTCCAGCATGAGCAGAACAAAGCCACATTCTGTTCAGTGTAGCTATAGTGGTTTAAAGTAATAAAATCTCATTTCTTCATATTTCATTCAGTGGAAGAACAAGTTATCTACTTGAATGGGATCGCGGGAAGGGCGTGAAATTTCTTCTACCATGGTATATTAAAAGGATATATAACACAGAAACAGTAAAGACAGACCTCAGTACGATAAGCACCGACCCCCAAATTCAGCTTTACTGGGCTAGGATCATTGTTGTAAGCCACAGTGACCTAATTCATCAAACAAAAACAAGAGAAATAATCAAAAGATTGAAAATTAATCAACGAATCAGTGATCAACCGTTAAAAAACATACACAAACAAGAAGTCCAGTTAGAAGCACAAATTGATTGCACCCTAAAGCTTCAAACCCACAAAATCATTCTTTCTTATCTTTAATGGATCATCTTTTAGAGTATTGTTTCAATCAAAATTAGAACGATAGAAAATCCACAGATCGTGAGAGGGAAAAGAAAATTGTTGGCATCGAATCCAAGATTTTCAAAGATAAAATATTTATGACATACCCCGAGGATGGGATCTTCAGGAGCACGAACAACATGGGCAAAGACGGAATCAGAGGGAGCTGACATTTTGCCGAGTGAATTTTCCAGTCCGGTTCAGACAACAGACGAAAACTCAAATAAATTAGAGGGACAGAAGAACTCGGGAAAGTAGAGAATGAAAGTGTCTGGAAGATTATAAATGGACTGTGGAACAGTGGATGGATTCTCTGAACCAGGGGGCGGGCGTTAATGGGTTCTCCATTTTCTCCTTTGTTCTTTTAAAATGCTTTTTGGTCCCACGTTCTTTTCTTGTTCTTCAATACTTTGTGGGGAGACTCTCAATGGTACTCTGTAAATGGAAAATTTAAAAAGAAAAAAAAAGAACACTTGTAAAGGTTAATTTAAAGGTTAATTTTTTTTGAAATTTGATTTATTATTAGAAATTTAAAATTTTAAAATAAGAAGGTTATAATATTAAAAAATAGTGTAATTAAATAATAGTCCAATTTTAGAAAAAAATAAAAACTGAAAAAATGTGAATGAATTAGTTTATATACTTTAATCCAACAGGACTCGGATAGGTAGTTTTATTAGGGTGTGGTGCAATATGAGGGGGCAGGGAAAGCAGGAGAATTTTGGTGGGGTAAAAGCGATAAGGTTTACTAATTTTACTCCATTAATTTTATCGTAACAAGTAAAAATATATCGTAATAGTGTACTCCGTAATAATTATTGCCCAATTACCCATTGCATTATACGGAGTACTCCATAATCCACATTACATAGAGTAATACTCCCCCGTTCAAAAAAAATTCCATGTTTAACTATTTATAAAATTAATGTATTCACTTTTTTCCCTATTTTCGTTACTCATTTGATAAAATAATACAATCATGTCACATCTTGTTTTGTGGAGCATTTCATCTAGTTTCTTAACATGTAGAATTTAATTTTTTTAATTCAGCTCTAATTTTTAATAAATCACATTGAAAATAACTTTAGTAAAAAATCGTAAACCAAAACAGACCATTTGAATTCAATCATACCAGACGCAGCCTATATAAAATTATAAACACCACCTCTTTCTTTCTGCGGCTAAATGATCAAAACGTAATGAACAATATATATATAGTTCAACTCCCATAAACATGTTCATCAAGAAACCCCGTTACGAGTTTGATTATATTCTTAATGTGGTTTCTCCGGTGGCAAAGAATGGAACGAAATCGTGAAACCATAGCTCATATTTTTCTCATCAACCTCAGCAGCAACAATCAATGAAACCCGGCCTCAATCATCAGTTTTATATTTGGAAATCGATTACGCAATTGCCAAGCATCTCTGCAGCATTGAGTTTCTGAAGAACTTCTGATTCTGATGCTGAAGCAAATATGGTCATTATTAAGCCAGATATGTGGGGAAACTTTAAAGATCATAATAGAGTAATCAAGTTTTGATGTGTCCAGATGAAATGATTTTTGACATTTAAAAAAAAATACCTCTAGGCAGATTAGGAGAGTTTTTGGATGCCTGAATTGTGCTGGTCCGGCGGGTAACACATAACCAGGTTCTTTTTGTTTCTTCAGACCCAAGTTCGGAGACAATGGGAATGTGCCAGTGACCTTTTTCTGACTCCTGTCAAGTGTCAACACACAAGTGCTATAACGTTACTTTGACCATCTTGGTCAAGGAAGGCAAAATGTATTCAAAAGGGAGAGATTTAGAGTTTATAAAAAAGTTCATGCCGAAGTGTTTAAAATGAATGCGACATAGTAAATGCTTTTGACAAACAGATTCCACAATCAAACGGCATCAATTGCAAGCCCTAAGTTAGTAGAGTTGAAAGAACCAATAGTTGGTATTACCCCAAGAAACTTGACACTTTTAATTGCTACCCCAATGTGTGATTTTTGCATAGCTGGATGTTGCTCGCTAGACGCTAGTTGTGAAATATACAATTACTACATTATTATTCCGCGACTTGGCTTGTGTACAATCACCCACAAATTAGAGATTTGACTCACATAATTGATAATTTTATTAATGATTATGCAAGTATAAATAAGCAAAATCTTATAAGAGACTCTCACCATAATCATAATAGAAAAGAAGAATCGTTATTTAGGGATATTAACTAAAATATGGAGTATAATAAGACTAATATGGGACTTATAATTCTTCAAAAATAAAATAAAATAAAATAAGAAACTTAAACCTTTAGGAAGATTAACTAAAGAATCCTACTCCAGTACCTAGAGTTGGACTGAAAATGAAATTACACATGTTATGCATTAGTTGCAAAAGAATGAATAAACTGGATTAGAAGGCAAACCTGGATTACAACAGAGTATTTGGGAGGCATGCAGATTAGTGGACTTGTTCTCGAGTAACCAAAATGCACCTTTCATTAAACAATTTAAAAAAAACCTTCATCACAATCAGTATAAAATTTCCAAGCACGGGTGTCGACCCGCGTTAGTCATCAAGGCTCTGTTTGGATCATAGTTATTAATGGCGAGTGGCGAGGGGCGGGCGAGAGGACCTTTTTTATGGCGAGAGGCGTGGCGAGAGGCGGGCGGTCAAATGGCGAACATGCATACATACATACAAATACACACGCACACACACACACATATATGTATGTATGTATAAACACATAATATTGATACTATATATGTATGTATGTATGTATGTATATGTATATGTATATGTATATATATGTATATATATATATATATATATTATGGAGTAATATATAGCAATAAATATTATGCATTGTATACCCTAAAGCCTTAAGGCAGTGATTGAGGCGAGAAAGGCGAGCTAGGCGAACGCCTGAGGCAGTGATTGAGGCGAGAAAGGCGACCGCCTTAGGGATCTCGCCTCGCCTGGCTTCATTGAGGCGCTGAGAGCTCGCCTGGTCGCCTGAGGCGCCATAGGCGAGCGCCTTTAATAACTATGGTTTGGATGGACGGGTTTGAAGGTTGGAGGAGAAAGGCTATGGAAGGCTTAGCCTACATCTGGATATATTTGAGATTTGAAATGGAAAATACAAGAAAGATTAACATAAAATGTGACTGTATAACAGATCAATAGCCTTTTAATTTGTTTTATTTTTTAAAGCATTCTGTTTATCAAGATATAGATATAGACTAAGCTCTCCCCTCCAAACTCCCCCACGACGCCCACTCCAAACAGACTCTAGGTCTCACCTGATGTCTCTCTTTCCACTTCGGGAAAAAGTCATTTCCAAGTAATTGAAACAAATGATCTCTCATTTCATCGTTTGTCACAATTAAGCACTTGAACTTTATAGCTGCATATAGCCAGTACCTGAAGAACAACTTATCACAAGATGGCATATGTACATTATAGTGCCACAAAACATTACTTGTGTCCCAAAAGAGTTCTTTTTGACAAACCAAGCTATTTTTTCGTCGACCCTAAGTCCCATCCCACCCCGAAAAAACTTGAATGAGTTAGATAAATTGGAAGATATAGCTTATGTCAAAGGTCCATAGTTCTCACCAATCATCATTTGAACCAGTAGGTGTTTCATAGAGTGCACCAGCAGCTCTCCACTTCTCTATAAGTGCTCTGTCAAATGGTTTTTGCATCTTATCTCCAGAAACTCTCCTATTATGCAAGACAATAAGAGGCCACCTTTTAGAAGGAAGCATCTGGCGAATTCCATTTGCAATGACATTGATCTGAAGAAGAATATCGTTTGGAGAAACGGAAAATGACAACTAGTCAACAATACTCCATCTCGTGTGAAATTAAAAAGCATGTTTATCAATAGTGTGATCAAACAATTACCTTGGATGGGTTGAACTCTCTTTGGTCCAAAAGTCCCACATTTGCTCCATCAACAACTGCTTCAAAAGGTCCGTACTGATTGAGCCATTTCTGTGATCAGCTGCCAATTTGTTATTTACTCTCACAAAGCCAACATTTATTTTTTTTAGAACAATAAATAATGTACAATAGAACATAAATAACACATGCTTGAAATATCTGGAAATTTGACTTCTTTTCTCTTTGTGCAGCTAAAGATGCAACTGATCGGGCAAAATTCTGGGTTTCTTCGGGATCAAGATCAATGGTGGCTAATCGTTCACCACAACATTTACAGAAACCATCAGACCCCACAGATGTTTGTGACACAACCCATTCACCCTTTCCCAACCAGCCCTGTCCATGCCACCCTCCACCTCCATTTTCAATTTCTCTCCTAATTAACTTTTGATCCCATTTGCCATTCCCCACTCTTGAAGCAGAATTGCTGAGAAACCATTTCTCAATCAGATGTGCAGTGGAAGGAGAAACCTGACGAACATTAGTCCTAAGTTTATGCAACACATAGTAGATTTTATCACTATTTTCAGCATCAACACTTGCTTTCAGCAGTGCTTCTAGTTCAGGCTCCTCTGGGAAAACCCCATTCTCAAGCATATGAGCTTCCACCATGAATGCTTTCTCAACATCACCCCTATTGCAGAAACAATGAAGAGCGGGGCCATATGACCGTAGTCTCGGGGTAGCCCCAGATTCCTTCATTTGCTTCACCAGACCAAATGCCATATCCCCATCACCCACAGACATTGCCAGTCTAGCAGCAGATGTTAACATAGCCTCATTCATCAAAACATTTTCGGATCGCAATGACTGAAATATTTCAAAACCCTTTTCAAGTGCAAACCTCTTGACTTCTTGGCTTACTTGAATCATATGCACTTCCTTATGAACCCTCTCGTCTTTGGCTTCCGAAAAACGTCTGGAAGTATTCAGCATCGCCTGACTCAATTCATCTAAAGTAGCATCAGGATTGGGTACTGCTACTTCAGATGGAAACCCATTTCCCCTGAATCGATTCTTCGTAGTTTTATCTAACACTGATACCAAACCATTATCTTCTCCATCACGTTTTCTATCTTCCATTATAGAATGTTCATTCGTATCTTCAAACCCACCAAAGCAAACCTCCTTGGTATCTGGGGAAATCAAACTCCTACATCCACTCCCACTTTTTTCAGGCTGCAGAATGCCAGCAGCAGCAGAAGAGCAAAGATAAAGCAGCACAGAATAATGGTACTGATCCATTTTCACTCCTTCCTTCCTAGCCAACTCATACATCCTAATTGCACATAAAACATCCCCTCTTTTCGAGCACATTCCCAAACCTACCTTAAACTTATTATCCAGCGAAAGGACCTTACTTTTTCTAAATACTCTTCCGCTATTGCCCGTTGCCTTCTCCTTACACCTCTCGCCATTTTTCCCAGGCCCATTATTGGATTTAACACCAGGAACCCCAGAGCTCGATTCCCTTCTCTTTATTGGATCTAACCCAGTCCTTTCTCGTGAGGTGACCCTGTTGGTTTTATGATATAAAAAGGAAAACCCAGAGCCATTTTCGCTGTGATTTGAGCTACGCCTTGTGATTTTGGAGATTTCTTGGTCTTTTCCCAAAGAAGCAAGCGGTTGGGGTTTCGTTGGGGGTATGGTTGAATGGAAAAACAGGGAGCAGATCTTCAAATGGTTTAGAGGCGATGGGTACTTAGGGTAGCAGAAGGGAGAGACGTGAAGCTTAGCTTGTTGCGAAATTTTGAACGTGAAGAAAGCCATGTGTGGCCGCCATAAAACCTACAGAGCGCTCTGTCGCCAATCTATTGACTCTCTTCCCTGTGACGGAGTCACGTATCAGTCAAAATATCCGAACCTAAGATAAAGAATTTAAGAGTTTGTAGGATTTTTTTAGAAAAATGTCTCATTTGTCCCCTACCCCCTCTTCTATTACATAAATGGGCAAAAAATTTAATAATAAATAAATAATTAAAAATGAAATAAAAATATGTAGTGGTGAAGGGGGTGAGGGACAAATGGGGTACACCCTTTGGTGTACCCCTAGCATTGCTCTTTTTTTATAGTTAAAATCTAAATGTATTTAATTTTGATTTTTAAAAGTCTTAAAAAATTTTGAGATATTCAATCTAGATTTTCTTTAAAAATCTTGAAGTATTCAATAGAGATTTTGAAAAGTCTTACAAATTTTTTAGGTATTCATTGATCCATGAATTTTAATAGTCCATGGATTTTGATAGATTCTCACCTAAAATATGCTTACCTAAAATCCATGTTTCCAATGGGAGATTCAATACAAAGACAAACTTTTTGAAGAGAGGATCTGCAATACATGGACATCTTCAATCCAAAATAACTTCAGATTTTAACAATATTTGGAGCTTCAATTACACAGACAGATTTTAGATCAATACTCGTGTATTAAAGATTTTAATTGAAGTTGTTTAACCATTTGCTTCTAAACCCTTTGCGTGTCTTTTTTAAATCTTTACAGCTTTTGGGTGTAAAATCTTTTGCTTGATTTCTTATCCAAAATCCAAAATCGATGCACGGATAGATTCCGCAGCCCAATCCAAACCATTTGCTTGGATTCTTATGCAGCTTCGTAGTTGAAAAAGCTTCATCCGCAGCCCAATCTGTTTCAATTTTTCTTCTGCCCTCGCACTTTGTTTTTGCAGAAAGATGAATTATAAGAAGATGAATAATCTGGAAGATCCTCTTTTCAAAAGTTCGCCTACAATCGGAGGATGAAGTTCTACAACTAGTTTCGTTCTACATGGAGCGCAATCGCAAAGTTTGGAGATCTACCTTTTAGTTTCTTTGGGATGATTTTGAAGGTTTTGTTTACTTCTGATACTTTTGCCATCTCGGAGATTCGAGTTTGTGGTTCCTTGGTTGGAACCGTGGTGGATGGAGACAGGGCAAGCGAGTTTAGAAATCTACCCGAGTTTAGAAATCCACCTAAATCAATAAAAAAAGTCATGTCAAATCTGTAAAAATCTATAAAATCTTTAATAAAAAAAAAGTCAGTCCAACTCTACATGAAGCTTATAATCTTCTAAATCTATAGACTTTTTAAAATTCAAAAAAATCTCTAAGAATCTCAATTGAATACACCCCCTAAATATCACTACAACAAAATGAGTTTTTCCTAATTAACATCATATGTTGTTATTTCTCAATGTAGCATTTTTAGTTATTATCCATTAGTCATTATACAAGTAAATGTTCACCATCACTGGATATTATTTCTCTTTCTAGACTTGAGCTTATGGTTGAGCTGGTTTCTTGACATGGTATCAGAGTCTTGTTGACTAAAAGGTCAGGGTTCAAAACTCATCGCCACCTAGTTTTAAAAATTAAGGTTTCATGTGCAAGGCTGAAAAAATACTAGGGGTGTGCACAATTCGGTAAACCGACCGAACCGTACCGAAACCGAAAATTCGGTACGTACCGAAACCAAACCGAATAATTTGGTTCGGTATTCGGTTTTTCATTTTTCTAAAATTCGGTTTTCGGTTCGGTTCGATTTGGTAATTCGGTAATTCGGTTTTTACCCAATACCAAATTATTACTTCATTTTATTATTTTAAATATTTTGAAGTTTGAATTCTATCCTTGAGTCCTAGCAACTTATATACTGGTCTACCTTATTTTATCCTTCCTTTTATTTACAATTTTAATTTTTAAAAAATACTTCATATCTAGCTAAATTTACTCATGCTTACTATTTGACTCTTTCTTCTTTAATTTTTTTTCTCATTTATTCTAAATGGTCAATACATTGACCTCACTTCGTAGGGCAATAAATTACTGGTGGCTAAAGGTAAGATCTTTTAAACATTTTGATAGAATACTTGTTATATTTTGAATTTTTTATTTCTTTTTTTATATTTCATTTTTTTACAAGATCAAAATCATGTGTTTCGATAATCTTTTAATAATATGAAAAACTAAGTAATTTATGATTAACTATAGCTAAAAATATAAAGTATTTCTAATTTCTTTAAATGTTGAACGAGATTGCTTGTGGTACAAATTGAAAATAAAAAGTGAAGTATAGATGAAAATAAAATGAAATTTTCGGTTTTTTCGGTATTACCAAATACCAAACCGAAATAATTTCGGTATTTACCGTACCGAACCGATTTAATACGGTTCGGTACGGTACAAATATAATATTACCGAAATTTTGGTTTACCGAAATTTCGGTTCGGTTCGGTTCGGTTTTACCGAATGAACACCCCTAAAAAACACTACGTGTGCACGTGAGAGAGCGTGTTAAAATACAAGAAATATTTCTTAGCCTACAACCACAAGCTTGAACTTTTAATTGAGTTTTCTTTGACAGCAATCGAGAAAACACTTTAACAAAATTCTAGATTTATCCTTTATTGTGAGCAAATCCAAGAAATTCCTTAAATCATGCATGCACGTTTTCAGTTTAGGTGGTCCTCCGTTCGCCAGTGTCTTTCCCCACCCTAGTTAGGTACCCCATCCTCATCAATTCCCCTCAACAAGATTAAGGAGTGGCAACGAAGGAGCTTCATCATCATCTTTCCCTAAAGACTAGTCTAAGATTCTAAAATGTATTTAATCACACCTCGTGAAGAAGGAAATTTTTTTACTACCCAAAGGACCAGAGATGAGCTCTTTGCCAGGATGATGGCCAACTCAAAGGGGTTCGGGAAGCAAATGGAAGAATGTTCGGGCTTGGAGGAGCCTGATGAAGAGGGGAATCAGGCTCGGGGAAAAGAAAGTGAGCTAGAGATTAAATGTCATATTGAACATTTTCGTTTCAGCTGTTACTGCCAAAAGACATGCTTCATCCCTCAGTATTTGTCCACTTTTGACTTTTTTGGTCAAAATTGTAAACTTTGACCTCAAATTAAATAAAAATGATATTAGATATTTATACAAAAAGAGTTTTATTAGATTTATTATATCAAGTATTTTCAAAATATTATTTTATTTAATTAAAATACAATATATATTTTATTTATTTATAGGTCAAAGGTTGAAACCAGTTGACTGAAAAAAGTCAAAACTGGACAATTATTCAAGGACGGAAGTAGTATTTCTTATCTCGGGATCACTTGAAAGGAGCTTTATTTTCTATTTATATAGTAATTTTTTGAATAATTTAAAAACTTAACATCTTGGCCCGTTTTAGATTCTATACAATCTATTTTAGAGTGAAAGGAGATGAAGAAAAATGGATTGTGCACAAAAAATAAAAATTGATGAAAGGAAAAGTAGATTGTGATTTTGCTTGTAACATATGTCACTTTGTCAATCGTAACCACCGTATAGACGTATCGGAGAGTAAGTAACGCGACATGATAATAAAAATAAGAAAAAAGCTAGGGATACTCCAACTCTATACCTCAAGTTACACACTATGCATATAACTGACACACAAACAATCATTGTTTGCACATGCATATACAATACATATCTGTATGTACTACTTTCGTCCCAGTGTATTTGTCCATTTTGACTTTGTCGAGTCAAACATGACAAACTTTAAACTTTAATTACTCTCAATCTGTATTGAATATTAATATAATGAAATATAATTTAAAAAATTCTCAATACGATAAATCTAATAAAGTTATTTTTGTGTTAAAATATATTATGATTTTAATGTAATTAAAACTCAAATTTATCTAGTTTGACTCGAAATAATCAAACTCGGGAAATATAATTGCACAAATGGAGTGTTTGTGATACACATGATTAGGGGTCGGCACGGATCGAGACGGTCCGGATTTTAGGTTGTCCCACGTCTTGTCCCGTTATATATAAACGATCCGAAATGGTTCGGATTACAATCTTATCCGGTTTGTCTCACAAAATTCGGGATCAGAATAATATAGGATGAATTTGGGTCGTCTCACTTTGTCCTAAAATTGGTATTATATATTAGTAGAGTAGATGAAACGGGACAAACGGGACGGATCGGTATAAACTTAAGCTGTCCCGCTCATGTTCCATTTGATATTGGGATAGAACGGATTCGGGATTAAAAAAAATTGTTCTAATTAATCGAAACAATTACAAAATGGATCCGGAATTTTTCGAAACTAACCGATTTGACGCCCTAAGCCTGATATCCAACTTGGGATCCAAATACTCCGTAGGTGAGAGTTCCGGAGTTAAATACCTCAAACAACTACACTTACACCACAAATTGTACCTCATTTGTACACCGTAGTTATACACAAACATTTTGATGGTTTACACTGACACAAGTGTTAGTGCGTTAACAAAAGTTTACACGCACAAAGTGTTAGTACATTAACAAAAATTAGTTTTACACCAACACAAAGTGTTGGTGCAAACTTGCGGGGTACAAAGTGGGGTACAAAAACATGATATATACGGAGTATAGCTTTATCCCAAACAAAAAGACAAAGACATGCATTCATAAGACATTGTCGTCGTCTTAAACAGGGGAAGCCAGAAGAGAACAAACACGTACAGTATCCAGCGCATTCTAGCACTCACCGCCACAAGCCACCCCAATCCCGCCGCTCTTCCGTCATATTCACTCCCAATAAACACCGTAATCCCAGCTGCTCTTCCTGGAGCTTCCTGTAGATTCCGTTCACTCGCCTTGGAATTGCCCTTCTCAAGCTTCTACTAAACGTCGCCGTTTTCTCTCCGCCGATTGATGATCGGATCTTGATTCATACCCCATAGAGCCACAGGTAATCAAAATCCAAACCTTCTCTAATTCCACAATTTTATTTTTTAGTTTTCCAATTTGTTTATTCCAACTCTCGATTACGATCAGTTTTGAGCTAAGAAATAGAGGACATCTTTGTTTATTGCTTTAATTCCGACTTAAATAAATTCTTTTTTCACTGAAATAACTTTAATTCTTAGTGCAACATAAAGAAGAATCCACTCCAGTTTTACCTAGCTGTGCAGTGAACATGAATTGCTGAAAAAAACACATCTTTTATCTTGATTATAGGGTCTGTTTGGAACACCATTTTAAAGTATTCTTAGCGTTTTGAATAGTTTTTAATTGGTGCATAGTACCTTTGAAATGCCAGAGCTAAAAGCTCTTGATTACCTTTTCAAAACGCTAAAACTAAACGTTGAATCTGTTTCTTGGGACGCATTTGAGGAAAGACAATACGATGTTTTGGGGGGGGGGGTTACTGAAATTGTAAACATTCCTGGTTCAGTCACAGTAACACAGGTTGAACTTTAGAATGCATTAGGATATACTGATACAGGGATGTCCATACTCTGTGATGTGAAGATTAGAACCAATTTTGATCTGATTCAATGTGAACTAGCTACCATTACTTTACTCTCTACTTGGTACTAATTTTTTTTCAAACACACCCTCTCAAAGTACTATATTCGTCGCATAAAAAGAGTCATATTTCACAAGTTTACAACATTTTAATTTTGGCATGGAATAACCATTGGAAATCATCAAAATATAGCTATATTTTTAAATGATCGGTTGGTTTAACTAATATAGAGTACTCAACTTTTTGAGATATTTATACTCCATTTGTCTTGAAATAAGGTTCCACTTTATTATTCACACGATCAAACTATATATTGTTCCTTATATATTTTTCATTGATCATTTGATAAAATAAAACAAACAAGTCACATCTTGTTTTGTAGAGCTTTTAGTATACTTCCTCCATCCTAAATTTAACTTCTCATTTGACTTTTCATGGTCTCCAATGCAACATTTTGACCATTAATATCTATATTTAGATATAGTTATATATTATTAAAGTAAAATATTTCAAAACTATGTTTCAAAATTAATCTATTTACATTACATTTATATGAAAATTCAATGTATTTTTTCCGTAACATGCAATCAAAGTTCAAGAAGTTTGACTACGAAAGTCAAGCTGGGAAGTTAATTTTAGGATGGAGGGAGTAATTTTAAATGTATAAATTTAATTTTTTGAGCCTACACCAATTTTTAAATAAAATGAATTGAAAATAACTTCACTAAAACAATGACATTGTGAACCATAAGTGGAACCTTATTTGGGATGATGGGAGTATAAAAAAACATAAATATGATGAAAATCAACTTTCAAATAGGACTCTCTTTTTGAGATAAAAATAAGTATAGAAACACGACTCTTTTTATGGGACTTAGAGAGTATATATTTGGAATTATGGAGGTTACATAGACACACATACACATGCTTCACTGCTATATACATATATGTACGGAAAATGCTGTATAAATACAATTACACAATCAATATGATAAACCAAGTTCAAAAAATTAATGTATGCAACCAAAAAATTACTGAGTAGCTGTATTTAGCTGTGTCAGAATTTCAAGAATGGCTCTGGATGAGGCTTCGTTTGGAATATATTAACCTATTTATTGTGCTTCTGTTTTGCACGACTAAAGTTCTTAGGATCTGTTTGGATGGTGGCTTTTGAAGGGGAAGACTATGGAGAGCTTAGTCTATAAAATTTGGATGAATATCACCATATGTGATTCTACACAATTTTGTTCACCTTTTAATCATTTTAAAGAGCATTTTATATATAAAAATTAGACTAAGCCCTCCAAAATGGCAAAATCCACCATGCAGTAAAGGCTCTTAACCTTAAAGTAAGGTTTGTACTTGATAATATTTTGGTTCTACAGAGACAGTTTGGTCGAGGTTTTGTTGGGAGAGAAAGGGACAAACAGTCGTGTCATGTTTGGGCATTCTCGTGTTTCGTCATCAATTTATAAGAGAATGACATCAAGGGATTACACGGATGCTGATAACGTTGAAGCTGATAAGGATGATGATTTAGGTGATTATTTTCACTCATCTGTTCTTAATGCACTCTCTTGAGTATTGGAACCAATTTAAATCTCCGATAATGAACGTTATTTTGGGCATCATGAAACTGCTCCTTGCATATCAGGGAGTTCACTAATAATACCATACAGTGATGGTACACAATTAAGCCAATAGTTTAAGATCTTGGCCCTGCAAGATGCTTTGTGAAAATTTGGGAATTGCACACATGGCATTAATAGTAATTGTGAATTCATTTTGACATTTAAAATCATTATAATTATTTAAACACATCCTCATACTGCATACAGATGCACATGCACGTCAACTGCACTAAGGCATATTGTTTTTGTTGCTTTTATACATCCTAAAATTTTTTGTATTTGTTTCAAGGCTTCATTGAAGATGGTGCTCAACAAGAGATATCAAATCCCTCTTGGAAATGTTCATTCCCGCATGTGCTTGTGGCAACAATAGTTTCATTCTTGTTTGGCTATCATCTTGGGTTTGTTTTAAAATTTCTTCTTCTTCTTCTTCTTCTTCTTCTTCTTCTCTCTCTCTCTCTCTCTCTCTACACACACACACACAGGGACACACATTCATGATCATGTTCAGTGCCTGACTAATTTTTTGTCGATCTTAAAAAATAATACAGTTTCTTTTTGTTTGTTTATTTTCCAGTGTAGTTAATGAGCCACTTGAAAGTATTTCTATTGATCTTGGATTCAACGGGAATACACTCGCAGAAGGTTAAACCCCCCTCCACTCCCACCCCACCAAGTACAGACTTGCTGTTACAATTATGAATTCAAGTTTAAAGTTTGCTATGAGTATAGGTCTGGTGGTCAGTACTTGCCTGGCTGGTGCTTTCTTTGGATCTCTGTTCAGTGGTTGGATTGCTGATGGGGTTGGGCGACGTAGGGCTTTTCAGTTGTGTTCTTTACCCATGCTTATTGGTGCTTTACTATGGTAACCATCAAACCTTGCTTTTATAGGCCCATAACTGATGCTAGTAGTTGGTAGTATATGCTATCTGGTCAAAACTGACACATGAATTTTCAGTGCAACAACTAAAACCTTAGCAGGTATGCTCCTAGGGAGGCTTTTGGTTGGAATAGGATTAGGTATCGGTCCGCCTGTTGCTTCTTTGTACATAGCAGAGGTAAAGAAACTAAACTTATGCATGATGAAAGATGGATTCAGTAGTTCTTTTTTCTTTCAATCTAACTATGTGGTGGGTTTGCAGGTATCTCCTTCTCATGTAAGGGGTACTTTTGGGAGTTCCATCCAAATAGCAACGTGTCTTGGACTGATGGCGGCTTTTGTTGTAGGGGTCCCAGTTAAGAGCATAATGGGCTGGTAGGAGAAGTATTCTAGATAGATGAATTTGAATAGTGGAAGCTTAGAAGTTTGTGTATAATTACGTAATTATCATTTTACATAGTTTAGTACAATATTTTTCAACACATACGCTTTGTATGCACAGGTGGCGTATATGCTTTTGGGTGTCTTTAATTCCTGCTGCAGTGCTTGCATTTGGGATGATTTTTTGTGCAGAATCCCCGCACTGGCTTTATAAGGTATTTTTAAAATGCAAAATTAACTTTGTAAAGAAAGTGTTTGTGTTTATACAGTTCCTATTATTGGTGATATGTTGCTAGTTGTACTGCTCTGAGTACGTATATAGTGTATATTCTTCAGGGCTAAAAATTAGTAACATTTTGACATATTTTCTCATATAATGCAGTCCAATGCATTTAAATCTGAGTAGTGAAAAATAAGGAAAGAATGAGTGGGATGGAGGGAAAATTTTTACTTACATATGTCGTCGAATACAAATAACATATAATGAGCACTGTATTTGTTTCTGAAAAATAATACTCCATAATAACCACCAAATTGCATTGATAAGCTGATATGGTATGTGAACTATAAAGAAAATATCACTTCATGCTATCTCTTGATTCCTGGTAAGTTAAGAAATTTATATCCCCAGAAAAAGGATGAAAGGAGAAGAGTTGGTCCAACTTTCAATTGGTTCCTTTTTGTGAGTAAATTCACCTGTAGCGGGCTCATGTTTTTATTATAGAAACAGCTCTTGTGTCTTCTCTATATCAAAGAGACAAAGAAGGTTATAAATGTGTCCTTTTCTATGCAATTGTTTTCGGTTGAAAAAGTTTTTTGCTTTGCCGCGATTCACCAATTCCAAAATGCATGGTCTTCAAAATGATTTTTTACACATTCTTCTCCTTTCTTGTAGACATTTTTTTCAATTTATCACCCAAGTGTTTCAGAATTAATCCTGTGCCTCCTTTTCATAGCAAGGTAGGCTCACTGAAGCTGAAACTGAGTTTGAAAGGCTACTGGGAACTTCCCACGTTAGAACTGCAATGTTGGAGCTGTCCAAGTTGGATAGAGGGGATGAGCATGAAACTATCCAACTCTCGGAACTGATTTATGGCCGGCATTCCAGAGGTCCTCTTCTAATTTTAAAAGAACACTTGCTCTCTGAATTCTTTATTGCATATTTTATTTTCTTCTGTCTCTACATCGTATTCTACTCTGCCAAAGGCTTTGCTATTCACTCACTTCTTTTGCAGTTGTTTTTATTGGATCAACCCTATTTGCTTTACAACAGCTATCTGGAATAAATGCTGTGTTTTATTTCTCTTCAACTGTATTTAGACATGCTGGAGTATCCTCAAACCTGGCAAATATTTTCATAGGAATTGCAAACTTAATAGGTAAATTTTCCTCTTGACTAGCTCCAAATAAATAAAACAAGTGTCCACACACACCCCCTTTTTCTGTGTTGCTCCCTTCCTTGATCTTCGTAGTTTTTTTTGCTTGTAGGCTCAATTTTCGCATTGATTTTGATGGACAGATTAGGAAGGAGAGGTCTCCTTCTATGGAGCTTTTTGGGCATGGTATACTTCATTTAGTTTTCATAAACTTAGCCTTGGGGTTATTCTTGCTGTAGTATGGTTTTTAACCATTGGACCATGTTCAATCTACTCAGGCTGTATCAATGGGACTTCAAGTTTTTGCTTCAACTATTGCCTCAAGCTATGCTGGTTTTATCCTTTCTGTTGGTGGAATGCTATCGTGAGCATTTCCTTTGAGTTCCTAATGTCACCATTTACTGCATGTTAATGAAGCAAAAACAAAAAAAAATTAAGAGCCAATTTGGTAGTCGAAAGTCGTTTGTTCTGCATAATAGTACACTTTTGACTTATTTGGCTGAAATGGTTTTTACCGGACGCTTATCCTTTTCATAAAGCCCTATAATATCAGCCAAATAACCATAACCAAGTAGGCTTTGCCAAACTAGTCAATGTAGAAAACAGATCTAGCTCCTTGGTAGGATATTTACATATACAGAATTTAACCATTAAACTGTTGTGTCTGACTGATTATAACTTCCTTGTACAGTTTTGTCCTGGCATTTGCCCTTGGTGCTGGTCCAGTACCCGGTCTCCTCCTGCCCGAAATACTCCCCGGACGAATTAGGGCAAAAGCCATGGCATTTTGCATGTCAGTTCATTGGGTAAGTACAGTGTCGTTGTTTCGCTTCTCTACCTTTTCCCAATAAATATTGAAATCCACACATGACTAGACTTTACTGAGGAGTTTTCCCGGTCCTCTCTTGTTGGTTAGGTGTTCAACTTCCTCGTGGGCTTGCTGTTTCTGCGCTTGCTTGAGAAACTTGGACCTCAGTTATTGTACAGTATGTTTGGGACCTTCTGTGTGATGGCCGTCGGTTTTGTGAAGAGGAATGTGATGGAAACCAAAGGCAAATCACTCCAAGAGATTGAGATTGCTCTTCTCCCCCAAGAATAGATTGAGACAGCCTTCAAGCTGCTGCCCCTGCTTCCAGGGGAAGATGTTTTACCTCACTTGCAAAAGATTATGGCTTGGAAATCAAAACACAGTATGTTGTGTGCACCTTGATTCCAATTATCATAAGCAATCAATATTATCTCATGTACTTATAACATTACTAGTACTTGTATTTAAATGTAATACTTCCTCTGTCCTTAGGTAAAATTCCCGGTTACTATTACAGAAACCTTTTGTTTACTCATAAGCATTTACATTTGATAAAATAATACAGTTCCACGATTTCTTGTTTTATAGAACTTTGATCATTCGATAAAATTACATAGTAGTGTTTGGATTTTGATGCTTAAATTGCTTAAAGTAAACAATGATGGGAAATTTTTAGTTTTCTAAAACATTGTGGTATTTTTGTCCTGCTGTACATTTCACAATTACCCTACCACTATGTTTGGCTCAAGAATTTTGGAAGGAAAAGAAAAGAAAATGATTTTCTCTCATTTTCTTCACCAAAATAAAAGAAATTTGGTTTTCCCTCCACATGGTACATTTTGCTTCCTCATTTTCTTTTCCTTCCACTTTTCCTTTCTTTTCCCCTCTAACCAAACAAGAAAAACGGTTTTCCACTACATTTTTTTTTCTTTTCCTTTTCAAATTCCTTGAACCAAACATAGTGTACATGTTGTTAGACACATTAAAATCTCCATAACGTGTTCATCTCTTTATAAAATGAAAAAAAAGGAAGGGTACAATGTTTTTAAGTTCTTGACATACACAGACAGATACAACTCACCAGGTCTTGAAAAGAGCCTGAGCAACCAACCAAGTGAACAACAATCTTGCTTAGCTTGGTTACAAAAAAGCAAAAACAAAACAAACTCACTTAGGAAAACTGGAGGGAGAAGCCGTTTTCAGTTTTTGAAAATTTAACCGGGCCGAAATCATCCAAATCGGAGTCAGAGTTGCAATCCCTGTAATCACCAAGGGTATCCTCGGCTTCTTGATCATCACTGTTCTTGGTAGGAACTCTGAGCTCAGATACCGGTACAGGCAAAGGTTCTTCATTAAGATACTTGTCATGCAGAAGCTCCATAGCCGTAGCTCTACTAGCCGGATCATAACAGAGGAGCTTTTTCACCAATGCAATCTCATCAGGGGAGCGGTTCGGCAGGCATTTCTCCAGGCCAACCGGTTTCTCCACTGTGTTGAAGGAGATTATTTTGTAATCTGGTAGGTGCACGCAGCCGGGCCAAACCTCCTCAGAAAAGTCTCCCAGAATGGTGAAAATTCTTCCCAGCTGGTCAATGTCTGAAGTGCCTGGAAACAGTGGTTCTGAGCTAAGAAGCTCGGCGAAAATACAGCCCAAAGACCATAAGTCAATCTCAGGGCCATAGTTTATGGACCCATACAGCAGTTCTGGTGCCCTGAACCACCGCGTCCCAACACATGAGGTGAGGGGGGCTAATGTATCACCACCACCTTCCCCTTCAACTTCATATGTGTAGGAACTACTACTCTTTAGAGGATCATCTCCAAAATCACTATTGCTACATGTTGCTAAACAGGACGTGTTCCCATCCGCGATACTACTTTCTTTATCAAAATCATCCACTCGGTACCTAAGATCGTCTGTTTCTGCAAGTACAGGAACGAATTCAGATGGTTTGAGCTGAGCTGGTGGGTTCCCATAAGGATGAACATCATCACCATCATCATCAACAGCAACAAGCCCAGGTGCCAGAAGTATCCTAGCCTATATTAAACAGATATGTTTATCAATAGAGCTCTGCTTTAGAACCAATCTTCAAACCAAATACCCATCAAGATAATGCTTTTCAAATCAAAGCTACAGAAAGTAACTTATTAACTTATGAACAGCCAAGAAGAATCAAAACAATTCAGGTTAACATGGAAAAACATGAAAATTCAGCAATCCAAAAAGGGACATAGAGAAACAGATGTAATCAATAAGTTACAAACTCAGAAAACGGAGGGGAATCAATCACCTGTCCAAAATCGGCTAGTTTTAAAACCCCATCTGCAGATATCAACAAATTTGAAGGCTTCAAGTCCCTATGGACGATGGAATTCCGATGGCAAGCATCGACGGCGGAGAGAATCTGAACCATCCAGCGCTTGATCTCGCCTACGGCCAGGCCGTTCTCCCAATTCTTCTTGGCTGCTCTGATCACATCCCCCAAGTCGGCGGGGAGGTACTCAAGGACGAGTACGGCGTCCTCGTCGTCGCCCCAGAAGAACTCGTGCAGGACGACGACGTTCGGGCAGTTGCGGAGGGTCTGCAGGGCTTCGATTTCGCGTAGGGAAGACTGGTTGTCGTGGATCTCTTTCAGAGCGACGATGACGGAGTCGGACCGGCGGCGGGCTCTGTAGACGTCGGAATACGCGCCCGACCCGACCCGTTCGAAGATCTCGTATTTGGATGTGATTTGTTTGCGTGTGTAGATGCTCCAGCTCTTGCAGGGCGGAGATTCCATTGGAGTTTCCTTTTTCTGTTTTCCGTTTTGTCTTTTGTTTGGTTGTAGGCGGCGGCGAAAAGGATATCAGACGATTTTCCGGCAAAGATGATGCACTCCTGGTTCGATTCTCAAACGCCGGATTCACTACGATGCTCGAGCTAATTATTGCAAAGGTCATTGGTGATTGGCGATTTCCAAAAAGATTTGATTTTTTTTACAATTAAACTGTTCAATACTTCAAAAATAAATTATGGAAAAAAAATATATTTAATTATAGCGTAAATTTAATAAAATTAAATTCATTTTAAAATATAATTTTATATATGAAACTAAGAAACTTTATGACTTTTAATTATGTAAATAATATTGCTATATCCACTTCCGTATTTGCTAAATCTACAACATTCGTAACAAATACTCCCTCCGTCCCAGAATATTTGTCCACTTTCATTTTTGCACACCATCCAATGCACTCCTTTAATCCATTTTATCTTGTAATTTGTATATTAAACAATAATAGAAATTATATATTAATAATCTATATGTTAAGACAAATCAAACAAGATCACACATGACTATATTTAGGCTTACACGTTGAGAGAATTTGATGAGTCAAAGTGCTTAGATGAACAGTTTCAAAAGTCAAAAGTGGACGAATATAGCGGGACGGAGGTAGTAGTTAATTTTACTCTTAAAAATACAAAAGAGAACATTTAGATGCAACCCACCATTTAAGGACAAAATTATCCATTTGATATAAAAAAGAGTGGATTTGCCAAAAAAAGGATGAATTTAGCAACACCCTTATGTAAAACTATACTCCGTATTTAATTTGCGATCAAGGTGTTATACCATTTTACCAAAAAATCAAATTGTTCTAATCTTTTTTAGATGAGGGGAGTATAAGCATCTACATTAGAGCATGTATTCTCTTCCTCTCGTTTTCCCTTTTCTCTCGACATTTTCCTTTTAATTTTTTTGTCGGTGGGTGTAGCTCAGCTGGTCGAGTAAGAAGTGTCAAAGAGGTTAAAGAGATAAACTCGAACTCGATTCTCGACGACTGCAATGGGTGGTAACTATGATAAACATATAACTTTTTTAAGTACCAGTTGCATGCTCTACACATTGCTAACTAGTCTCTAAATATAACCCAATTTACCTTCTCTCAAGTGACCATCCGACCGATTCTAAGGGGGTCCTATTAGATGAGCTTTTTATAAAAAGAAAAGGAGGATGAGTGTCATTCTAAGAATCAATCAGACAGTCACTTGAGAGAGATAAATTGAAATCACAAACTAACTCACAAAGAGTAAAGAGACATTTGGTGCTTGCGGAAAGCCGGTGCTTATTATAGTTGTTTCCTAACGCATTTGGCATGAATCAAAACCAGGATTACCCTTTTTGGTACTCTTGCTCAACTAAATGAGTCACGTCAAACTCAAATGAAATGAGTCAAACTAACCCAACACGCTACTTAAGACTTAAGTATGAATACCCGGACGAATGGAGGTTATTAGGTTTAGGAAGTTAGGGAGAGCCACTTCCACAATCTAGGGCCTATACTCTTCACCTAATGTGATCGATTTTGATCTGATTTTAATAAATTCTAATCTGGTCTCATTTGATTTGAATAAAACTAAATGTAGTTATATTTAAAACTATTTCTAATCAGATCTAATTTGATCTAGACTGATTCCAACAAAACTAAGTAATAAAAATAAGTTGAAGAGAACAAACCCCTCGCCACATTCTCCCACAATCGTAACCATGGGGCATGATCTAGGAAAGCATGGGGACAGTTGGTTTACCTTGGCTGCTATATATATATATATATTCTAAGAAAGCTTCATCTTCTCTAGAGTTCTAGTTATTACCATTGAATTGTTCATTATTATAAATCTTCGGGTGGATTAAAATCCATCACAAAACATGTGAAAAAGTTTGTTGATAAGATCAACACAAAACTCAGTTACAAGTTCCCACATTGGGTTTGAGGTAAATTACCACCTTCCTCACCAAGTGGAGATACATTTGGTATGTTTGGTTTAGTCTTATATAGAACTTTTTGCGTGATTTATCTCCGAACTCTTCAAAAATTACATAGATTCTCTCTAAACTTTAAAAATTGCACCAATGGTCCCTAAAGAATGTAAAATATTGCATAAATGATTCCTCTCCTGCGTGATTTGGGAGTGCATTGATCCCAAGTACAGAGAGACCATTGATGCAACATTTTTAAAAGTCCATAGACAATTGGTGTAATTTCTAAAGTTCAGGGAGAATCCGCACATTTTTTTAAAGAGTTCAAGGGTAAATAACGCAAAAAAATTCATCTAATGTGATACTCGGCCCTTTTATGTTTGTAGACAGGGAAAATGGAGAGTAAAACAACACATTTTGAAGGGCATTAAGACATACATACTACTACTAGTTAACCAGTAATTCACAGAACTTGAGAGAGAGAGAATGGATGATTCTCTCTGAGTTTGCCTCTGCTTGGTTTCTACAGACCAGACAGAAGCTACATTCAAAATTACAAAACATGGCATACACATTGGCATTCCCAGCTGGCGGTGAAACGAGTGGTTGACAAACTATGACAACGCACCGGAGACGTTCTCCTATGCAACGCAGCCTCCACAGACTATACCCCTCCTGTTGAAGTAGAAAATACATGTCCGATGTCATGTCAGAGTTTCAAAACCATTTTTCGTTCTACTACTCAAAGGACACTTACACTATTGAGCAACTGGTGCTTTTGCGCGCTTTCTTCCTTGCCGTTTCATTCCTCCTGGGAGGTTGAAGCACAACCTTAATTGCAATGTCAAATACTGCCTTGACATTCTGCACGGTTGATTCGAACGCATTATATTAAAAAAACACCAGAATTCAGTAACATAACAAGAAGAAATGAAATGTTAACAGCAGTAACTAACCTGCTGGGTTTTAGAGCTGCACTCTATATATGCTGCTGCACCTATTTGCTTCCTTAATTCCTCACCCTGCAAATTTTTTTTCCCGTTACAAGTGAAATTTCGTGATTGTGACTGTTCTTGATTTCCAAAGGTAGAAGATGATTGGGATGTGGAGAAACATACTTGAGATGATGTTATCACGTTCGAGCCCATATAATCAGCCATATATCGATTGTCATCGCGAAGATCTGCAGCACAAGGAAATGAAAGACACAATGTGATTGATTTCTTTCACATAATGCACCTTAATTCTGGTTCAGTAAGGGCCTGTTTGGATGAGGGGTTTGTCAAAGACTAAGCCCCCATAAAACCCTTGATATAAACAAACAGACCCTAAGTATGTGGAGCTCACCTAGTTTTGTTCCTACAAGAACAACGGGAACATTGGGAGCAAACCGACGAAGTTCGGGCATCCACTGGAAAGTTGAAAAAATGCCAATAATCATTAACATTGAGCCAACACATATAAAACATACTGCATTTGATGATATTTGATACTATCAAGTATATTAACAGCAAACAAAACCAATCATAATCATGATGGAAGCAAAAAAGGAAAGGAAACAATCAAGAATCAAGAATATGAAACAAAAAGAGGCACCTTTTTAAGAACATTTTCATAGCTTGCTCTGCTAATTAAGGAGAAAGCCAAAACAAATATGTCTGCACCTCTGTAACTCAATGGCCTCAGCCTGCTGTAGTCTTCCTGGCCTTTATAAAATCAAACATAACCTCATCAGTTTGGAAGGAATCAAACTATGAAAAAGAAAGAAAGGAATCAAACAGGTGGGTGTACCAGCAGTATCCCATAATCCCAGGTTAACAATGTTACCATCAACAGCAACATTTGCACTGAAATTGTCAAACACCGTTGGGATATAATCCTGAACAAAGAAGAAGAAGAAGAAGAAAAGAGGGTAAAGAAACCCCAAAAAAGTTAAAGCCAAAGAGAAGATATATAAAACACCCAAAATGAATACCCAATGTCAAATAAAGAGAGAATCTTTTTAAATAAATACCCAATGTCATATAAAGCTAATGTTTTTCAATAACTGAGTTTTCTTGGTAACATCTCTTTTACAGGGAGTGATTTTCAAGAAACTCAATAGTCCAATTTCACACAAAAGATCCCACCTTTACAGCTTCTTCATTAGCACCAGCAGAAGAGAAAATGGAGATTTATCAAGATAATGAGAAAAAGATAGAGATAGAGATATGTAATACATACAGTTGGGAACTTGTTACTGGTGTAGCAAATGAGCATGCATGTCTTCCCCACAGCTCCATCTCCAACAGTCACACATTTGATGAACTTTGAAGCACTCATTTCCCCTAATTAGAAAATGGGAACACCTTCAAACTGTAGAAAATGGGAGAGCTCAAGAAAGGCACAAGAGGAAAATGACAGTTTCAATTGATAGAATCAAACAAGAGGAAGATGTTACTTAGTATGAGTGGTTTTTTTTTATAGAGGGAGAATCAAAGTGGCCCTTTTGTAATAGTTTCAAGAAACAAAAACAATAAAGAAACAACACAGTGAAAAGGCATGGTGGGTGGGAGGGGGAGGTGTGAGTCAAACGTCAAAGGGTCCAGTGTAACTTTATTTTACAGGCATGCCACTAGGTGAATTTGAAAACGAGTTTTTTTTATTTTGAATTTCCAGAAAGCTAACATGGGGTCGTGGGACCCATGTGTTCTCAAACGGCTCCAAACGTCTTTCGTTAGTTGCATAGGCAGCTGTGTTCCATTTATTATGGCGTTTGTACACTTCGGGAGTTGTTTGAGCTTCTTGGTCTATTTTAAGATGGTTTTATCCCCTAACCTACCACTTAAACCACAACCCTAGTCCTACCCCCTCCACCAATGCCCTAACTTTCCTTCCACATATATGGTTATTATGTAATACGAGTACATAATAGTCAAACATTTAGAGGGAATCTTATGACGGTATTGAAGTGTGATTAGGTTGTAAGTTTAGGAAATGGGTTAAGGGATTAGAATCGTCAATTTTTTGATCAGACTATCGAAGATGCTCCAAAAACATAGTGTTACTGCCGAGAATATCAATGAAATCGTGCCCTATTATTATATTCATAATCATATTATCTTAATCAATGTTTTTAAGATAAAAAAGTATTGTCATTTTTCATTCATGAAAATCTACTTTCACAATTTTTAATTAGAATATATAGTTACCATAAATGTTTAATTTTAAAAACTCATTGTAATTAGGTTGCACCTCAATTTATTTATGCGGTATCTACTATAAAATAATATATTTGTAATTATATTTTATGGTTGGAGCCGGGGGTCTCTTGGAAACAGTCTCTCTACTTCCGAGTAGGGGGAAGGTCTGCGACATACACTCTTCCCAGACCCTACTGTTGTGAGATTCAACTGGGTTGTTGTTGTTGTAATTATATTTTATATATTACAAGATTTTATTTTAAATATCATATTTGTCAAATAATATGATCAAATATTTTTTTCTTTCATGATTGACATTGTATTGCATTGTAAATCTTATTTTGGGAATAAAAACATTGAACTCGTATTTGGGTACGTTTTTATATTTTACTCATAGTTTAGTCTTTTTCTCTAAACTATTTTGTTTTTAAAAAAATTATAAATTTGAAAAATATTTTCCTCTTATCAATTTAGAAGAGTGTGAATCGTAAAAATGGTGACATGGAAAAGATAAAATAACTTATGAACTATAGTTACAAATATAATAGTTCTAATAATAATAATAATGACTACGGTAATAATAATCATCATCACATTCAAAATACATCATTTTTAGAGTAATTGTTTGGGAAGTAGAAAAACTTTGAATAAAATGAGAATCATTGAAAAAACTTGAAGAAAATAGAAGAACTAGAAGAAACTAAAAAAACTGAAAGAAATAATAAAGAACTAGAAGTTAAGAGTTTGAGCTTTAAAGAACAGCATCTTAATCTTGATATGCAAAAAACATTATATTTTGATATATATGTAATATAAATAATTTTATTCTGAAATATTAAAATTGATAGAATCAAACAAGAGGAAAATGACAAGAGGAAAATGATAGTTTCAATTATGCGGTATCTACTATAAAATAATATATTTGTAATTATATTTTATATATTACAAGATTTTATTTTAAATATCAAATTTGTCAAATAATATGATCAAATATTTTTTTCTTTCATGATTGACATTGTATTGCATTGTAACTCTTATTTTGGAAATAAAAACATTGAACTCATATTTGGGTACATTTTTATATGTTACTCATAGTTTAGTCTTTTTCTCTAAACTATTTTGTTTTTAAAAAAATTTTAAATTTGAAAAATATTTTCCTCATATCAATTTAGAAGAGTGTAAATCGTAAAAATGGTGACATGGAAACATAAAATAACATATGAACTATAGTTACAAATATAATAGTTGTAATAATAATAATACTAAAGAAGATTATACTGATAATAATAATGACTACGGTAATAATAATCATCATCACATTCAAAATACATCATTTTTAGAGTAATTGTTTGGGAAGTAGAAAAACTTTGAAGAAAATGAGAATAATTGAAAAAACTTGAAGAAACTGGAAGAACTAGAAGAAACTAAAAGAAACTGGAAGAAACAATAAGGAACTAAAAGTTAAGAGTTTGAGCTTTAAAGAATAGCCTCTTAATCTTGATATGCAAAAAACATTATATTTTGATATATACTCCATATGTAATATCAATAATTTTATTCTGAAATATTAAAATTGTATAAAAAGTCAAATAAAAAGATAATTTCCGAACGGAGAAAGTATTATGTTACTAAGTAGTGGCAGATCCATGGTGATTGTATTATTATTCTCCTCACATTAGTTATGATTCAAAGAATATGATTCTTCTATCCTGTGTCACTGCTTTAATTTTGAATAGCAAAATAAATATTACTCATCTCTCACGTATTATCATGATTTTCCTCTCTCGCATTGATTAAAAAATATCGAAATGATTCTTCTCTCCCCACATAAGTCAAAAAATAAAATCTTAGATTACCAATCCTATAATTCAAAAAATAAAAAGAAAAATAATTAAAAATCCAATAATTCTATTCATTCGCATTAATTAAAGAAATTAATAGGAAAAAACATTAGTGATTCTATGATTTTGAGTAGAAATTTACAAAAATATTTTATAGTTTTTTTTTGTGTTTTTTTCTTTTTATTTGAGTACAAAATTACTCCTTTTTTATCAATTGTTAACTATAATTTAATTAAAAATATTATATCATAATTCATAATAGATGACTAAGAATATTATATTTTTCCATTTAAATCAAAAATAGTCTAAGGACTATAAACTATAAATTTTATATAATAAAGTCAAATCATAAAATCAATATAACCGAACTATGAAATTACGCATTGTATTTTTTCTATTGTAATATAATTATAGTTTAGTCATCTCTTATTCTATATATCTTTTGATGTAAATTTTAAGATATGTTGTGTGTTTTAAATTTTACATCAATATTTCAATGAATCAAATCAAAACTAACTTCGTTTTAACACATCATAAACAAAAACTTGTATCAAATTGATTTTTATAATTCCTTTTTATAATAATATTATTTCTAAATTATATATTTTTTCTCTTTATTTATAACAAATTTTTAGAATAAAATATAAAATACTCTCTTCACCAATAAATAAATTTTATAACTATTTGTTATACCTTTACTTGAAATTAGTTTTTTGATTAAATTTATTAAATATTGACACCTAATAAATAAATTGCTTTCTTCACCAATAATCTAATATGCCACTACTACTACAAAAAAGACTTTTTAAATCAGTTATTTTGACCCTTTTAAGTCGGTTTTGAATCGATGCAAAAGCCAGCGATGCAAATGCTCAAGTTACTTTTTGCATCGGTTGTAAAACCGATGCAAAAGTCTCTTCCAAAAAATGGCTCCAATTCTGGGAAGGGGTTTTTAAAAGAACTCTAAGAGAAGCCCTATGTGACCAATTTAATTAGGCCTTGCAGATATGATGTTCGGTGGTTAGGCTTAAAACGCACGTACCTGATCCAAAAACCAAACTTGAGTATCCACTTGTTTGGGGGTACCACCCAACATGACGGTGAGCAAATCACTGTTCAATTTTGAGCGTGACCTATAAGATTCATAGGATAGGTCACCGATTTTTGTATTTTGCCTTAGACTAAAATATAGTTTAAAAGCTCGGTAATCAAAATAAATTAGCCTTAGACTAAGAATATTATTTAATAGCATTGTTATAATTTGGTCTTAGACTAAGAATAGTTTAAGAGCACTGTTGATACCATGAATATTGAATATTATATGCATGATATCAAATGATTTAATTATGAGTTAAGATTTTTTTTATTTGGATTTTCGATGCATTAGATATTCTTACTCGGCTTAACCGTTGAGCGTGTAGTATATTTTATTTGCTACACGCAGGTAAATAATATAAAGAACGATGATGTGGATCTTGGAGGTAGTTTGGAATGCGATGATGGATGGATGTGTGATTTCCCTATTCAAATCAATATTTGAAATATTTATATTTTGATCTTGTGTTGAAATAATTTATTAAGCTTCCGCAAGATTATTATGAACTCCGACTTTGTTGAATTGACATTTATGATGAAATAAAGTTTTTAAATGTTTGAAACGTTTTAAATTTTTGTGTTACGAAGTTAATACTTTAGTCTGAAAGGGGTTGCAGACCTAAACGGATTAAGGTGTTACAATATCTGGCCTGATGAAAGTGAGGTACTGAAGACATCAGCAACGGTACAATAGAGAGTATCGCCATGAAGGAGGTCAACGTTAGTGGCACTCAATTTGGTAGACGTATCTACTGAGGTCGTGTTTGGCTTGCAAGAAGCTATAAAAACATGTTGAAGAATATCACGACTATAGTAGGCCTCGGGCAAAAACAAGTTATGATCATCACGTGTAGCAATAAATCAGACATCGCATACTCAGAGGAGAGAGTATGGATAGTTTCTTACAAGAACCCTGAACCAAAGTTGGTCAAGAGAATATCATCCACATTTAATAACAAGTATATTGTGTGTCCTCTATGACTGTAAATAAATAAAGAGTTATCACATACACTTTGGTGAAACCATGCAGTGTAATATAATGGTGAACCGATCATACCATTCACGAGGTGCCATCTTGAGGCTAGGAGAGACTAACAAAGCCAAAAGCATAAGCCGGAAACAAAAAGTCAGCAAATCTAGGTAGCTGGTGCATGTATAGTCTCTCGAAAGACAACGAGGTTAAGGATAGTCTGAACATTAGCTTACTTAACCACTGGAATAAAAATGTCTTCACAATCAACCCCGGCTCTTTGAGATTTCCCATTAGCCATTAATCATGATTTGTACCTGTCAAGTGTTTCATCTGGTTGAACTTTGTGGCAAAAAAATTCACATGCATCGTATAATCGGGAGATCATTAGGTCTAGGTACCAAATCCGACATATCTTTCTTCTGTAACACCCTAAATTCATCTTTAATTGCAAGTAACCTATTAAGGCCCAATTGAGCTTGAATATATGTAGGTTAAGCCGTCTGACTAGTTTTGTAATCTCGACTTCAAATTGGCTCGAGTGATCATGGGATAGGCAGAGGTGGTGGGTACTGGTGGGGGGGGGGGNGGAGATGGTGGCTGTTGAGGGTTGGTGGTGGTTTCATTGTACGTTATCTGAGAAAAGGGTAGAACAAGTTTTGGCTAAAGTGGAGGGGTTAGTTGTGGAATGGATTATGGCAGTGGTAGTGGAGCTATCAAGTGATAGTATTGTAGTGGGAGTAATAGGGTTATGTGGTTTATGATAGAATGGTTGAAAGTGTGGGTCATCACCTAAGAACATATAATCTGAAGATAAAGTATGATCGGTTATTATATTGAAATGAGTTTTAATCAAAGATGACATGTGTAGAAAGAAGCACTTTACTAGTAGATGAATCATAACAACGATATCCACGAAACTCGTTGACATAGCCTAGAAAAATATATTGAACGGACTGGGTATGTAGCTATATGGTTGGGTAGTAGAAGTACGTGTTGGGATAACATGCCCACCCAAAAACGCGAAGGCTGTCATATGTCAGTTGTCATTGATATAAAGCTAAAATAGGGGTGAAAAAGACTTTCAATTGTCATTTATAAATATTTTAAAATGATTTATCTATTATCTAAGTCCATTTAATTTTCAAGAAAGAATATTTGACTTATAATCAATGTATACATTAAAAAAAATTATAGTTAATAAACACTCGTAAACATCACTAAAGTCTCATTTGGCATTAGTGTTAGAGATTAACATTAATATTTTTTGAATTAATCTACATCATTAAAATTTTATCTAAAACGCTAAAACTAATTGGTGGTTTCCAAACAAGGTCCAAAATTTTCAAATTAAACTCGGACCTCAAAGAGATTTCTTAAATTCAGCTTATTTCCAGATTCTAAGTCCACTTAGAAATAAAAACCTACTTGATCTTCTCCGCTGGCACCGATCCATTTTTCCTGAAATTAGAGATTTACAGTACCTTCAAGTGTCAATCGATGGCTCCCGCTATCGCTGTTAACCAAGTCATTCCGGACGGAAATTTATCTTACTTTGATGATCAAGACAAGCTCCAGACTGTGGCCATACATTCGCTCGCGAAGGGTAAAAAGGTCATTCTATTCGCAGTTCCTGGAGCCTTCACTCCCACTTGCAGGTCATCAATACTCCTTTATTCGATTTCTACTTTCTTAGGCAATTCGTCATAGCCGATCATGCAGTATTTGTTTTTTAAATTTGGAGGTTGCTTATGAATTGGCGGTGCTTATGACATTGAATTTTATAGTCACTCCGTCCATTTGTTCCTTGTCAGATCTGTTCAAGATGTTTGAACGATGTTATTTTCAAATCATATAATTTCAATATTGACTCAAAATTATATATATATATATATATATATATATATATATATATATATATATATATATATATATATATATATCAAAAGATCTACAAAAAAAAGGTGTAATGACTACTACATAGTATATTATTTTATCAAATGATAGATGAAAATATGTAAAGAAAGAAGAAATAGTTTGACCGAGTGAAAATAGTAATGGTAAATAATCAAATGGGATGGAAGGAGTATTGGATATGAGAAAGTGTGTAATTTTGCAAAAAACTTGATTGCTATGAGGTATTGATTTTGATGTGATGCAGCATGCAGCATGTGCCTGGGTTTATTGAGAAAGCTGAGGAATTGATCTCAAAGGGTGTTGATGAAATTCTCTGCCTCAGTGGTAGGTTTCATATCATATCAATTGTATCTTACTTCTGAGGTTCATCTTTGAATTCACCACTGTTTCAAAAAGTTTTAATTTTCCTTTGAAATAAACCAAAAAATTCCTCCAAACAATACATTTTTAATGAGAAAATACTAAGTGGAAAGTAACATAATAAAATATTTTATCGATATCATCATTCATTACATTTAAGATTTGAAATTTATTGTAGTTTTGTTTTTAGGAATGTGTTTGAGGAGAGCATTTTTAGCCAGATTGACTGGTTCCCGACTTCCCGTGCATATTTTCTTGTGGAGTTCTCAAGACAACTGAATGAAATTGGTTTAAAAAGAACAATTCAAATTGATAAACAACTGAAACCCAGATCATTATAAGCATTTGTGGAATCAATCTGAAAAGTGCTTTATCTGAACTATAAAGGGGTTGTTGAAATCTAAAATGCAAATTTGTGTGGAATGCAAATATTATTTTTTAAATGAGTAGTTCAGCCTAATGCAATCCTCAAAAAGGTTGAATCTGTTTCGCATTAGGCCATTAGTGATGCCAATTCTTATGCTTTGTGATGTTTGTGAATTGAACTTGGCCTAGATGACTAATGACTTTATCGCTCTTTTGGATGACATGGGCTGATTCTTTGTTAATTGGTTTCCTTCTTAGCTCTGCACACATCCCTTGTTCACTCCTTGCCCCACCCTCCAAAAAATCCATTTTTTCTGCAAAGTGGTTTCCTTTTTCTCCTTAAAATATCATCAAAGTTTATTACAAGCTGTGCTAGCTCACTTTATTTGGAATACTCTTGATTTATATCCGTGCATTGCATGGATTAGGTATTGTTCCAGTTATTTGTAACTTAAACTATATACTTGCTTCATAAATAGTTTAAAAATGAATTTGTAATACTTTTGCAGTATGAAATATAACTAAGGACATACGTAGTACTTCATAGATATATAAGTGACATAAGATTCATGAACATTTTAAAGTATTACTGGGTGAGAAATTATAAGATGAATATTTATTTATTTTATTATTTTATAAATTACTTATGCCATTAATGATGGCACTTATAATTCATGCTTATTTATACACCTTAAGCTCAAAGTTGTGTCTTATCCAAAACTGTTTCTGTCAAAATCTTGTGTTTATTTTTAGTTTTCTTAGAGAATTGGAAATATTAATTCCATTGATGACAGAGTAAAGAGCCTCTCAATGGAAGCACTTGATCACTAATTGGCATTGCTTAATACCTGGATTAGGCTGGCAGTTCTTGGAATATTTCTAAAGTTGGTATAATTTATTGAGAACTTAAGGAATATATGAATTACTTATCGGCATCATAAACTACCACTGTCCGGATTTAGTTGCCCACTTTCTGAAACACCATATTAAGTATTTTAATAAAATGATTTGGACTTGGGCAAGGGATAGAACACCAGGGTACGCACCGGGTACTTTTATACTTAGAGGTATGTTGGTTGCTTCATGAATTTTTTTTTCCAATTTTATTAACTAAACATAGACATAGGGGGTATCTAACAACAACAACAATAATTCTTGGCTACTTAATGTATTAGCGCGAGTTTCAACCATTCCACATTGTCTCTCTTATGTAACGAACTCATAATTTTTTACCTCGTGACATGTAGTGAATGATCCCTTTGTGATGAAAGCTTGGGCAAAAACTTACCCGGACAACAAACACGTCAAGTTCTTAGCTGATGGATCTGCCACATACACCCGTGCCCTTGGCCTTGAGCTTGACCTCTCAGAGAAGGGGCTTGGCATTCGATCTAAAAGGTTTGCACTTTTGGTTGATGATCTTACCGTAAAAGTTGCTAATATTGAATCAGGCGGGGAATTCAAAGTCTCTGGTGCTGATGAAATCCTTAAGGCTCTCTAGATAAGTGTTTTTGCTCAAGTGTCTTTCATAGATGAAGCACTGCCTTTTTTTATAAGTATTTACCATTATGAAAAAACATATGACCGATGTTTCCATGAACCTGTCTTTTTTGAAATAAAATGACTTGTGATCCTTTAAATTCTACCGTTGGATATATGAAAGGAAAATTTGATTAAAACCACCTGATAAATACTTCCTTTTGTAAAGTTCACCCTAATAAAATATATTTTCAAATGAACCACTTTTAATGTTCTTTTTCCATCAATTGAGCCACCAAACATCACTCACACTTCAAGAGATATGTGCCTCCAATTTTACCATCCTCTTAGTTTGTTTAACCTATCCCTGCGGCGTAGTAGCGGGCGGTCCCTTTTCTGTTAAGCATGTCTATATTTTTTGAAATTCTTGATTCCATTTTTAATCTTTAGGTTATGTGTAGTTCATGTTTTAAAAGATTTCGAGCTCAATCCTTGGGTTATCTGTTATTTATATTTTGAAAGAATTGGAGTAATGGAGTAATTATCCATAGGAAAAGGGCTGGAGAAGGGAGAACAACCATAGGTAAATAATTGGGAGGGTAAATTTGGAAGCACACCAGACATTAAAGGTGGTTCATTTAATAATATTTTTTTATTAGGATGATTTTCACAAACTGAAGGAGTATTTGATAGGTGGTTTTTACCAAGGCTTTCTATATGAAAAGATATGCATCCGTAGGGTAAAGTACTTCAGCAGTACTAATATGATAGATACTACTACGTGTTAGAGGATTCGTTCAGTTTGACAAACTTGATAATCAACTAAGTGAAAAATTGCATTGTGTATTAATATAAAAATGATTTAATTAGTTTTATTTTACAGAAGATTTTGAAAAATTATTACCTTGAATTCATATACAATGTAGCTTTTTTTATTTAATTAATTATTAAAGTTCACCTAGTGACCTGACGAATACTATGGCATGCATTTTTGTTATTTAGTACTGGTAACTAGTTTCACACTCATTCATTGCGCGGCTCGTACTTACGTTATGAAATTATATCGGTGTCATTATTGAAGCATATAAATAGAATATTATAAAATATAAAATTTTTATTATTCTAAAACATGAATATTAAATGAATTACAAATTTTGGAAAAAACTTTTTCATGAACTACATTATTGGTAGAATTAGTGGAACCATTATCTGCGTAATATATCAGAATTTTCAAGGCATTATGAATTTACTCTTGAAATTGCAACATATGGTTATCCATGACTAAATACCAATTTTATTAACAATAATTTCATGTGCTTTAGAGATTGGTCCTAATTCGTGTTAATTGTCATTATATATATGAAATAATAATAGTAATTGTTTTCTTTAAATCTTGAATAGAACTCTTGCTTCAGATGCCGTGAATGATAATTTTGGAATAATAATTTCTTCATTCATGTGTCTTTCACATAATATGTTTTCTTGTACTGAGTGATTAACCAATTGAGTTACTATTAATCGAGTACTATTACATAAACCTGTTAAATGATTCATGGTGTTAGCAACATAATAGGAGGCCTACCTTCAAAATGGAAAAACAGACGACTTTTCATGGAGAAGAACTTATTTATACACCCAAAAGAAAAAGGAAACTGAAAATGATACAAAAAGTGTTACATAATTTCTTTATATCTCCATATCTTCATATATAATCTCCTTATATATAACGAAAAATAAAAATATTAATGTGTTATTTTATTACTTTCCATTATATAATTTCATGTACATTTGTTCTTTCTAAATTAAAATTTTAATTTTAATATTCGACTGTGACTAAAAAACATTTGTATTTAATTATAGTATCAATTTTATATAATTGAATTCATTTTAATGGTAATATTATTTATTTTTTAATGTACAAATATGAAAACCTATGGTGGAAGAATACACACAAAAGGCACATAAAACGCCAGAAAAAGTGCGTTGCACTAAGGTAATCCTCACAAATAAGGAAGTTCAAAATATTCATTATAAAAAGTTCGTTTATTTATGTAGAATAAAAATATGCTTTCCATTCATAATAAAAATTGCGTGGACAGAAAAATTATTGGTCAACATTTCCTGTTCATTTAAATAAAGGATGCTTTTTTTATGGTAAATTTTATGTATGGAAAATATAATACAGTATTGCATACTCCCTCCGTCTCATTCTCTTTGTCCACTTGCCTTTTGGCACACCATCCAATGCGCTTCTTTAATCCATTTTATCTTGTAATTTGTATATTAAAAAATTATAGAAATTATATATTAATAATCTATATATTAAGACAAATCAAACAAGATCACACATGACTATATTTAGGCTTACACATTGAGAGAAATTGATAAGTCAAAGTGCTTAGATGAACAGTTCCAAAAATCAAAAGTGGACAAAGAGAGTGAGACGGAGGTAGTATGTTTTTTTAATGCTATATTCATACATATTGTATGTCAATTATAACAATTGATAATAATAGTAATAATAATAATAATAATAAGAATAATAATAATAATAATAATAATAATAACAACAACAATAATAATACGGAGTAATAAATATAGTCCGTTGACATCCTATGTTGCTGCAGCTGAATTCAGTTTCTATTGGTGCATTCATTAGGAGCATATTTCTGTCTTTTTATTTTCCAATATTTTGCAAAATCCGAATAGTCTATAAATTCATAATTTTAATTCTTGATTCTATTCCAGGCTATTTGCCTGCCCGCTCATTATAACCACTATTTTTCCAACACAATTTAGATAAAAAAGATTGTATAGAAACTTGAAAGTTCGTGGGAGTGCAGCGAAAATCATCAATTAAACACTATGAAAACAAGTCAATCATGTAAGTTGCTCGAAAAGTTGTTGTAACACCATCATAGTTACAGATGACAGACAGTGTGCAATAACACCTTTTCCGTCTTAAGCAGACACAGAGAAGCAGATGATGTAGAGAGTGTTAAATTGTCTACTAGGCAGAATGTTGTAACTATAAAAAGCATAAAAGCGACACCAAATATGTTACGTTTTACGCAGTTCAGAGAAACTCTGTTAATCTACAAGCTAAGGTTCACGTCCGTGTAATAGCCATCCATTAAATCACTAGATGCAAGTTACACAAGTACAGAAAAACATGATGAGACACACTTCTAGGGATTGTTAGTACAAGTTTCTAATCTAGGACTTATAATTCGTACCTTGTATAAATCTGCTTCGGCTATCACATCTCCATCGAGATCACAAGGACAAATGCGTTGTCAGCCCTCTTCGTAAGCTCAGGATCATTATCTAGATGTAACAATCTGTTTGCCGTTGAAGATCTCTTTCTTCTTGTAGATCGTAACTTTCTTCACGCAAGGAAAGCTCCGAGACGCGACATGCACACTCTACATCAGCGTATATTCTGTGTTTTCCCTCACAACTGCTCCAAGGAATTTCTAGAGATCTGTTGGGTTTGTATAGGCATCTCCAAATCCAATTAATCCCAGTAGGAATAAGTTAGTAGAAGCTGCCTTGAATACAACTCCTTTAATCTTAGCTTGATTCGCAAGTAGCATAAAGCCTTGAGATTTCTTAACATGTACGGCTAGCCATTAATAGATGATTCCTAGGAAGTATTTTCAACTCCAATAGGACTATAATTCCGAAAATTGTAGACCGTAACTTAAATTTCCGTGCACGGACTTTTGATCCCGTACAGTGTGTTGTAGCATTTTCTATGTCACCATTTAAAAAATAGCAACTCTAAAAAAACAAAATAAAAAACCTCTCTAACAAATAGAAGTTTCTATCTAGTAAAACTTCTAACACATATGGGATTCAATTCTATTTTGCTAAAAATTTGCTTTGCTTTGTATAGTTAGCTACGTAACTTAGTTATTAGCTTGCATCTCATAATAGGAATTCTGTAATATTGTGTCTCAATCAATACAATCAATTTTCATAATTCCTCTAATATACTCCTTCCGTTCCCCAGTTTTTGTTTACTTTTGACTTTTGGAACTGTTCATCTAAACACTTTGACTCATCAAATTCTCTCAATGTGTAAGCCTAAATATAGTCACGTGTGATCTTGTTTGATTAGTCTTAACATATATATTATTAATACTCCCTCCGTCCAAAATTAAACTTTACATTACGCGTTACGATGTTTGACTGAAGTTATTTTCAAATCATTTTAAATGAAAAATGGTGTAGAATTAAAAAATAAAAATTATATATTAAAAAACTATATCAAAAGATCTACAAAACTAGAGGTGACATGACCATATTATTTTATCAAATGGGTGACGAAAATAGGCCAACAAAGTGAATAAAGTTTGACCCTGTGAATAGTGAACGTAGAGTTTATTTGTGGACGGAGGGAGTATATAATTTCTATAATTTTTTAATATACAAATTACAAGATAAAATGGATTAAAGTAGTGCATTGGATGGTGTGTAAAAATGAAAGTGGATAAATACTCTGGGACGGAGGGAGTAAATGCTAAGGACATATATGAGTCTTTATTTTTTACAGTTCACATGGTACGTACGTACTCTTACTTATGTGGAAGATGATTATGAAATTGGAATCATCCATATAATAATTCCTATATATATATATCTTAGTTGCAGTTGCAAAACATCATAGAAAACATCCGAAATGCAACAAAGATAATTAGGAGTTGTGTGATTTTATACGCGGATCGATTGATCGTAATTAGGAGTTGCAAAACATCATGAAACAACAACAACAACAATAATCTCAAATGCTTGACGTACATTTAATTCATCTTACATTCCCGACACACTTCGAATTATCGGATCTTTTTAAGTGTATGCATATCATCATGAGCACTCAGCCTTATAACTTTAGCAGATTGACTGCTCATGATGATATATCATATTAAGTACTCCAATCCGGCCGTATTATGTTCCGTTAAGTAACAGATCCGATAATTTGAAGTGTGTCGGGTGTGACAGACGCCCATAAACAATCAACCAAATTATTATTGTACGCTCACGCCCGGAAACCGCCTCCGAGAGCTAGCCGGGAGCTATCATGGCCGGAAACCGCCGCCAAAAGCCGCCGGAGCCCAATAGTCCGCCGCGATATTGTCACTCCCAACTTGTAGCGTGCATGATATTGGGACAAGACACAACCCCTTACTCCTCAAATCCTTCTTTGCTTCTTCATGAGAATCCTTTGACTATATTTAATTAATTAAAGAATTATTAATATATATGTTCAGATAAACTATCATTTTAAAAAGGGATATATAATACAATAATGTGAGTATAAGAACTTTAATTAATTAAAAGATTTGCACGCCTAAGAAAATAATGCACCTGTTGGTGATGATGACCAGAAGTCCCTTTCCTTTTCATGCAGTTGTCGTTTAAAAGCTACAAGACACTAGCATTTAATTATTATATGCACACAATTTAAATTTAAAAAAGGAGATTAAAGTTCCCTTTTTTAGGAAACCAACAAGTAGATTAAAGTTCCTCCTTTCAAAAAAAAAAGAAGATTAAAGTTCCTCAAGTTGCCTAAAAAGAATGAAGAATTTTTTTAAAGGGCTTTATGTTGTTTTCCCAAAATAAAGCAATTATGCTTCAATATAATATGTTGATATATACTAGACCATCAAATCAATTCAAAAATACATACAGCCAAAAATTGATTATGTGTGGTCGAGAAGTAAATGAGATTTGTCCATAATACATGCAAGACTTTCGTACATACCATTAACGTCAGTCTTTATTTATGTTGGATGCATCATATCCTGATTTACCCATGTGGCACTAACCCGTGTTAAATTACTTAAAATATAATCACGAAAGTGACAGATATGATTTTAAACAAAAAAGAAGCAATTTCTAAAAAAAAAGAAAGATTAAATAGCCATAAATAAAAAAGGGTAGGGTTACTTTTGAGAAAGTCTGATCTAATTACATGGCTAACATTTCAATTTAGGCTAATCTAGATGCTCCAACCTCTGCCCCTCGTAAAAAGACATTCAAATTTGGCTTTTGCGGAGTTTATGGAAAAAATATATTTTCAAAATGAAAAGTGTTACTGCCTGTCCCAAATTAAGTTACATATTTACTATTCACAAGGCTAAATTTCATTCACTTTCTTTCCTCATTTTCTTTATTCATTTTATAAAATAATTTAGTCATGTCACTTCTTGTTTTGTAGAGCTTTTGATATAGTTTTTTAATATTCCGCTCCAATTATCGATTAAATTGTATGGAAAATAATTCTAGTCAAAGATCGTAAACCGAAACAAACGATTTAAGTTGGGAGGAGTAATAAAATTTGTTGAAAATGAGAAAAATGACGTAAAGACAGTTTATTTTGTGATATTGAAAAAGTAGGGATTTAGGAAATTTAATTTTGATATCGAATAACGAAAAATATGATTATATTTTTTTGGGTGAGGCAGAACAAATTGTGTGTGTGACCTATATATATATAAAAATGTTGGGAACAATAATTTTGACATGAATACCTGACCGGGATCTTCGGGGAATAAACAATTCCTCTCCGCTTGTACCAACTGAAATTCAAAACAAATAAACAAATTATCGACAAAGAAAATTAAATGCAACATTATCTACTCTAGGGGTTCACAAGTCACAACTTTGAAAGGACCAAAAAATAAAAAAACTTTGATTAGATTAGATTGGGTACTAATTGTGTGCAAGTAACCTATTTTTTTAATTCTATTTTCGGTACTTCCTAAATCCTGATAGTCCCCTCCTTTTAAAACATTTTTCGTTTTCATTCATGTCTTCAATAAAATGGATACGGGTATAATACATCTATTCGTACGTTCGTGTGTAATACGAGTCACTTTTTTAAAATACGTCTTATTATATGCTTGATTTTTCTAAAATATAATACAGAAACATGTCATTATCTGACTTATAAGTTAAAAATTATTTATAAGCACATATAAACATTTGCTTCATGTAGTTGACAGATAGAGTATTAATTACAATAAATTGAATTGAAAAAATTGGTGATTTTAGCCTTTAGTATTTTCGTTAATTTTGAGTTATTATATTTGCTTATGACCAGACGAAATTAAACTTTAATAAATGTTGATAACAAGTCTAGCTAGAGATCGAACTTGACTACATGCTAACAATATTATAAGTTTCACTTCTTTTTAGGTAATGTGACAACCATTTTGGGACAGAAAGAAGTGTGTGTCTTACCGATGGGTGTGGATGATGCCTCATGTTATTTCCTAATCCATTATTATTCCTCCCCAAGTAGGGCATGCTAAGGGCCTGCACTATTCAAAGCGTACAAGTTAAGGAAACAAATCAAAGACATAATAAATTATTTATTTATTTTTGTTTAATAAGGAAAAATTGAAAGAATGTTTGAAAATGGGATGGGGGGCTCTCTTTCTTTCTTTGTGAGTGCGTGCAAATGTGGCCATCATTTTTGGATGCATGGGAGTTTGGGACTTCGTAAAAATAATAATCAATTCAATTGTATAGGCTAATAAGGAAGAAGCATCACCTCAATCTGACTTTGAAGGAATCTAATGTACCCAATAGCTTCTAACAACACACTAGCTGTGTCAGTCTGCACAAAATTTATATGAAAAAATTTTAAAAAAATTAATCTATATATATACTCGGTATGTTAGAAGAGGTAAATTGAAATATAATTTCATGTTGACCGTAAAAAAAAATGCAAGAATTTATCTCTTCAATAATATAATCATCCTTTTTTCCAATAACCAAACCCAAATTTTCATCGCGTGACACTATCATCTCGACCAGTTTAGTTGCAGCTAAGAGTGGCACTACCCGGGGTTTCTTCTTCATGAAGGTTCAATTCATGTCCTTTTTGGGTGTGTTGTTCCTTGTTTTGACATGTGATAAGGCAAGACATGCCGGAAAATTTCATTTAAATTTCGTATCATTGTTTGACTGTGTAAAAATAAACCAGTCTTTCAAATACTTTAAATATTTAATATTGTATTAGAAAATTCATCTGATTTTAAGTAGGATTCTTGCTTTTATTCAAGTTTACATTTTTAAAAAAAAATTATGATTAATATCAATCATTCATCACATAATTACAATTTTCTTAGTTTGCGAGCAATTCCACCTCTGAGATTCTAGCTATATTTGTAATGTTATTGTGTGACCCGATTTGCGAGCAGTTTGAAAATACAATGTAAATAGTAAAAATAAATACTTCTTCCGTCGTCCCGCTACACATTTCATGTGTTCACTTTTTGGAAGGGAAGACGTAGATGTTTGATCAAAGTGAAATAGCAACAATTGAAACGAGTAAGTTTGGGATATGTCCAAAAATGGATGTGTAAAAGATAGTTGGGATATGTTAGTTTAGATTTTATAAAAGTAAGGGTATTTATGTCTATTTAAGCCAAATACAAAAGTTTTTTGAAACAACAAATAAGAAGTGTAATTGGAAATCGATATTTTGTCAGAAAATTACTCGCGGGTGACACGAGTTTTGTCGAAATAACTTTCAGGTCCCTCTATTTTTAAAAAGACAACCGAGGTTCTTATATTTTGTTGAAATGACTGGGAGGGGACATTTCATCCAATACATCATCCGTAAGTGTTAATAAATGTATCTTTTTCCTATTTTTCCAATACCGTTTTTTCTTATTTTGCCATTACCTTGTTTTTTCTTTTTTTAAAATTTTTTTATTTCATTTTTTTAAATATAATACAAATAATTTTGAATTTTTATACGATTTTATAGAAGAAATTCTAAAATAATACTTTAAAAAATAGTAACAAAATGAAAGAAAAACAAAGAAATAAAAAAAGGAGCGACCTAAGATTTATTACCTTAAAACATTTAGAAAAGAATAGGAAAAAAATAAATTTATTAACGTTTATAGATAAATATTGGATGAAATGTCCCCTTCTAATCATTACAACAAAATGTAAGGACCTCTGCTGTCTTCTTGAAAATAGAGGGACTTGAGAGTTATTTCAACAAAACTCGCATCACCCGTGAGTAATTTTCTGATATTTTGTAAGACATATAGAGAACCTATTTGGAAATAGCATTAGCGATTTGAAAAGGTTATCTACATGCAGCATTTAGCATTAACGTTTTCAAAGTAATTACCTTCCCAAATGGAGAAACTAATTGGTGAAGAGCAGTAATTCTATCTCCCAATTTTTCCTTCCTCACCTGTTGATAATAGAAGAACGTATATAATTAATTAACACACGTTTATAATTAGTAGTACGTATATTCCCATTCATTATTATATTCATTAATTAATTATAATCCAATCCAATAATATAATTAATGTTGGCATAATATATGTATAATTGTGTGCAGTGGATGAAAAGGGCAGGAAAGTGAGAGAGATAATAAGGACACAAGAGAATAACATGCAAAAGAATCATAATGCTTCCAAGACTGGACAATCAAGAAAGACAATAGTAATATGACAAGATCTCTTTTATATATATATATATATATATATATATACACACACACACACACAGTAAAATAATGCATGCTCTCTAAATAGCCTCTGGCCGTTCATTGATTAGAATAATTAGTTATTGAGATAATTTTTAGTGTCCCTGCCTAATTAATTTGCAGCAAATTAAATGAATTTTAAAACATGAGAGAGTTTTTATTGGATTTGAGAATTTGCTGCATTTGAGTATTAGCTAGAGTGAAAGGACAAAATAAAACTCTTTTTGTACCGAAAGGAGACTGATGAATATATACGGTTGGGTCGGCGCGGTCGGAGGATTATTGCCGGTTCAAAACGCAAAGATAGATATTGATCCAATCATGTGGTGTCGGTTCAAAGATATAATAATAATAATAATAATAAGATTTGGCGGGGGTAATTAAACAGTGATTGATTGGTTAAATTAAATAATGAATGAAAGAGTAGTAATTAACTAACTAATTAATTAATTAATAATTAATTGTGTACCATGCATTTACCTTGAAGGTGGATTGCGTTGAAGAAGAAGGTTGGATTCTGGGCTTCTTTGTAGCTGGCCCACCACCAGTTGTAGCAGCTGTGCTCACACACTACAAAACATACTCATATTAATTTTTAAAAATACACTTCCATCATCATTATATATTTATTATTAGTCAATTCTTTTTTCTTTTTTTTTTTTGCTTGATTTTCCCCCAACAACAAGAGAAAAAAAAACAGCAAAGCCATGGTCTATTAAGGAACTTGACAAATAATGAATGTTTGAGCTAAGCTATTTGTAGATATGATGTTGTTGACAATTCTTGGGTTCAAACTATTTTAATCATTTATTTTAACAAATGCCCATTTCAACTCTCTAACTATCATATATACTCAATAAAAAAGACCTGAGTCCATTTAGATATAACGTTAATGATTTCAAAAAAACTATCTAATTAAAGTGTTTAGTTTTAATATTTTTCAAAGTTAATCTATGTACTTAAAAGTTTATCAAAAATACTAAACGTTATTTGGAAATGTTAATTTTTAAGCATGACCGTACTTAATGTCTTTAGATCGAAAATATTCTTCGGTCCCGATTATATTGAGTTTGATCAGGTTTGACTTTTTGTAGTCAATCAAGATAAACTTAAACCTATAATTACATAACAATTACTATATAATAACCGAGCATATATTACTGACATTAAAATATTTTACATGATAAATCTAATAATTTATTTTTGTATTAATATCTAATACATACTAGATGTTTATGTATAATTGAATACTACTAGATGTAAAAAGATAATGCATAAAAACAATCTGTGCATGAAAATTTTCATGTTTATGGACTAAGTTTCATTTAAAGAAAACAATTCAATATACCATGTACCAAAAAGAAAATACCATTATATATAAATTAATTCTTGCAAATTCCATTTCATTCTGGAAAAAAAAAGTTCAAAAACAAAATCATATAGTATACCTCAGATGAGTGATCTTGGGGAGAATGTCTGGCATCAGACTTGTTGGAAAAATCCAACATGTTACTACTTAAGGATGTCACACAAGATTTTGCCGGGAACTCCGAGTTCCCCTGCCGCTGTTGACCACCGTAGACCACCACATAACTGCTCGTCGTCGTCGTCGGGTTGTCATGTTTTATGTCCAAAACCTGAAATCCGGCGGCTTCCCGGGCGTTCTGGGGCGGCGGGGCTAGGTGCTGCCCCGCCTCCCAACTCTGCATCTGCTTATTGATCATCATTCCTGCACATTTTTCTTCTTCTCCCACCAATCCACCCCTATTGTAATATATATATATATAGTCCAAAAATTATTCTTGAGAAAAAAAACTTCAATTTAATTATTTTTTTGCCCAATTCCAGACCAGATCGACCACCAGCTTAAGCTTTTGGCTGAATTAGTTTGTTGACTTTTTCTGGAGGACTGGGGTTGACTTATGAATAATCAAAGAACATGCACACATATTACTTACAAGATTAGTTGGCTCCATGACTCATGGAGGTGATCTTGGGTGTGATCGGTCCAAGCGGCGGCGGCGGCGGCGGGAGGGGGCGGCGAAGGGAAGTGAGTGGGAAGAGGAGCCAAGAAAGGAGGCGGCGACAGATGCGGCGGTAGCGGCGGATTGTGGTGGTGGTAAGGTATGGGAGGCCTCATGGGATGGATCATGCTCCACCAGTTAGGGCTTCCGCCGCCGCCGCCGCCGCCCATCACCGGTGATGAGCTCTCCAAAACACCTCTATTCATATCTCTATGAATTCAAACAGCTCTCCTTATTAGTTTGACGAGCTATTTGATCTGAGGGCTCTCTATCTATTTCTTAGCTTCTTGGTCACTACTATACACTTTATGCTTGATTTTTTTCTCCCTCTCTCTAACTTTTATGCAATTTCTTGAATCAAAAAAAATAAAAAAAAAAGATTTTGCAAAGTTTGAGAGGTCTTTCAACTCTTGATTAAGTAGAGGAATTTTTTGAGAAGTCTATTTAGAGAGAGAGAGGAGAGAGGAGAGAGAGAGGGGGAACTGAATCATGGTTTTGAGGACCTTTGTCTTTGTAATGTACCCAATCTTTTTCCTACTATCTTTACTGTTGCCTTTAGTTTGTTTTATTACTTATTAGACACAATTTCTCCTCCAATTCACTACAACCTCTATTATCGATCTCTTCCTATAACTTTCTTTTGGGTTTTACTTTTCCTTTGCTTTGCTTTTCTATTGCCTTTTGCTTTGCCATTAAAGTGGCCAGGAAAGGTGCACGGTAGTAATATAATTCATCTCTCTGTGATATAAAAAAAAGCTGGGGAAAAGAGAAAAGGAAAAATAAATATAATCAAACTAAACGAGATTTCTTTCACTTTTGATGTATTTCATTTGCGTGATATGGTTCCCTATACATGAGTTGACACCGTTGATAACACATACTACCTCAACAACACCGGAGTATTTGTCTAGTTTTCACTTTTTTCAGTTAATTATTTTTAATTCTTAACATATAAATAAATTAAAAATATATTATATATTAATGAGATAAAATAATATTTTGAAAATACTTTATAAAACAAATATAATACTCCAAAGTCAAAATTAACTTGGATGCAATTTAAAGGGGTATGGGATGTGTTCGAGTCGGGGCAGGAGGGAGGTTTTCTGGGGTTAAGAGGGGTGGTAGGAACCGTCAATTTTATTAACGGGGTACCGGGGCACCCTCGGGTCATCCCATGACATTGATTCTAGTGTCATGGCCCATGGGAACCAAGGGGTTTAATATTATATACGAGTATTATACTTATGGTTATTACCTATTATAGCTAAAACTACTATTATAGAATATTACCTTATTTATTTAGATATTAATGTGAAGGATTCTAGAATATTTTAACTCCGCCTATATATTCAAAACCTTAAATTCTTCTAGATCATTCAAGCAATCAGACAATAAATTATTTTTTAGAGAATAATTTTGATATCCATTTCGTGTATTGATAAGAATAGCTCCTGATAGATTCCACTGGTATTACATACTCTGCCCACCCCTATCCGTAGTTAGTAGTATACAGGTGGTATATATAATTTATCAGTACGTACGTACGTGTATAATATGTTAGGATTTTTATTAAATATGGTTTACTATGCATATTAAACGTTGGGCATATGGATACTGATACGTACGCGCTTTAAACATTTTCTATTTTAAAATGAGTTTTATTATATGTTTATATTTATTAACATGTGTACCTCAAGTCTACACATATTTATTGAATGATAGTCATCAATTTATATTTAGGTAAATATACAGAATGTAAAAATCTTTTAAATGAAATATTTAAAATATACATTTTCAAATTAGAATCTATATTTACTTAAATAATTTATTTGAAAATATATACTCCCTTCAAGAGGAAAAAACATCCTTATTTTACTTTCATGCATGTAGTTTAGGAAAAGCTAAAATTCACCTTGGGTCATTCAACTTTGTAAGTTGTGCACAACTAGTCCTTGAAGCTAAGTTTCAAAAGTCCACAAATGGTCCTTCAAGTATTCATCAACCTCCAGATGCAGTATTTCAAGTTTCAAAAAAGTCCGTAAGTAGTCTTTCTAGTATTCATCAACCGTCTAAATACAGTACTTTTTACGGTACACGTAAAAAGTTAAACGTAGTACTAGCTCCATGTATATAACTTCCGAGCTGCAATGGATGTTAGATGCAACTAGCTCGTGTGTGTGTGTGTGTGTCTATATATATAAAACTTCCACCGTAGTGCCAGATGCAACTTTTGACTTGTAATGGGTGCCCGCTGCTGGCGCCGTAGTGCCAGATGCAACTTCCGCCAAGCAGCGCAACGCATTGGATCTTTTTCTCCCATTATAAATGTTGGGGAAAATTTACTTTCAAAGGGGTTCAAATTGTATAGTAAAGAACATAAAACTTTGAATGAGATTCGGGGAACCCATTAATTCTCTATACGTAAAAACCAATCACGCACCTATATATAGGAACAAGTGTTGGGTTCTATGCTTGGATAGGGCAGCAAAAATATAAATTTTTTGTCCAAACATAGATCCACCCAAGACCTATTATGATCATTATAAGTTATTGTTCAGGAATTATACCTTTCCTTGAGCAACAAACAACGTTGTGTGTGACTGACAAGATTGGTCCAAGAGCTACTCACAAATAGATCTGACCTCTAGTGCGTACACACGAACTTTGAATGGTGTTCCAATTCTAAAGAAAAATTATGCTAGTAATTTTCTCTAGAATATTTCTAAAATATAAAATATTTAGAGTAAAGAGAGAAAACAAATTTTTTCCCCTTATTGTATATATATAAAAATAAAAACTTTATAGTTTAAATTTGGTTTGGAAAAAAAGAAGAGTTGTGAGTCACTCATTGTGTTTTTAAAAAGTTAGCAAAGCTTTTAGGCAGACAAAAAAGAAAAGAGTGGAGTCTTTTTTAGAACTTGACAAAAAAGTGTAAATTTTTTTTGTAGAATGTAGAAAGTATACATATTTTCAAATTGATTAATTTAGTAATTAACATTTAGTATCAATTTAGTATTGTTTACGTAGATGGTAAAAGTATTACTCATATTATTTTAAATGTTTGTTGGAACAAATTAATATTTATTGATGTACAAAAATTTATATTTAATTAAATAATAATCAATATGTATTTTAAAATATTTTTGAAAATCATATGGATATATGAGTATTGTACACATATTATATATACATAAATACGTTAGTATAATACATTTATTATACTCTCTCTGTCTCTAAATATTCACAATATTTGTTTTTTCAGCAGTGTCGGAAACTTTTGTTTATTTCGACGTTTTCATTGATTATTTGATAAAATAAAATATTCTTGACACCTCTTATTTCGAAGAACTTTTCATGTAGTTTTTTTATATGTAAATTTTATTTTTTATTTCTTTACCAATATGTAAATAAAATGAATTAAAAAAACTTGATATTTTACCTCAGGAATACAAATGTGGCAAATAATTTGGGAGGGAGGGAGTACCACTCACACAAGAAAAAGAATGCTGTCATGTTTGACGGAGGAATGACGTAACCATGCACCGAGATATAATCGACGGAGTCAATTAAAGAATAGAAACGGGGCGATTTAGAAAATAAATAAATAGACGGAAAAAAAGGAAAAAAAGGTAAATAAAATTAGAAGGAAATACATAACTTTCATTATTTGATAATTGATTGGAAAGAAATAGGAAGAAAATGAAATCAAATTGAGAATCAAGTACTAAAATTTAAGTTAAAATGAAATGGAGTGAAATGGGATATACTACGTAATTTTGTTTCTTTGCCTTTTGTTCTTTTCTTGATATTAATTTGAGTATTTGTCTAATTTTGTTTTTTACTGTTAAAATTGATAAACTTTGATACTAAATAAAATAAAGTATTCCATGTATCTCAATTTAAATTGCTTATTTCAGTTTACAATATTTGATTGAAGTTGTTTTTAATTTAATTTATTAGAGAATTGTGGCGGAATTAAAAAATAAACTTTACATATTTAAAAAAATATATAGAAAGCTCAACGAAACAAAAAGTGACATGACAATATTAATTTATCAAATGAGTAACGAAAATAAAGAAATAAAGTGAATGAAGTGTAATCTTATAACTAATAAACATGTAACTTCATTTAAAACAAAGAGAGTAGATATTGATACAAGAATAATTTTATTAGTTTTATTTTATAAAATATTTTTATAATATTATTTTATGTAATTAATATACCATGTATTTTTTATTTTACTGTAAGTCAAAGGTTGCAAGTACTCAATTGCAAAAAGTTAAAATGCATGTAGTGGAATGGTTGATTTAACATTATAAGTGTTGATTTTTTTGTGTGTTAATGTTGAATTTGTTCAGATTTGATTGTTTGATTATTTATTATTGTCTATGAGATTAAAAAACCTTTTTAGGACGAATTGTTTGACAGAAAAAAGATGGAATCTTTGATTTGGTTGCTCTTGTTGAAATAATTTGACTTTGAAGAAAATTTCAGTTATATGCTACTGTTAAATCTAAAATTGAAAAGGCTTTTTTAAAACTATTATTCACAGGAATTCATTTAAATTGGACAAAATTAGGACTGCAGCTTAATTCAGTTTGAATGATATTCTTTTAAAATCCAAAGTACTTTAAATTGCCCTCTTTATGTATTTTAATCAATATTAATTAATAAATGGAGATTTAAGTTAAGGAAAAAAATAAATTGATTATGTAATTCGTGTGTGTGTGTCTATATATATATATATATATATATATATATATATATATATATATATATATATATATATATATATATATATATATATATATATATATATATATATATATATATATTGGTTCAAGTGAGAATGCGATCTTATGAAAGAAATAAGAATGAATCTGGTGCTTTAGATTGTGAGATCTAAGGGTAAGGATTGCATCAAAATTAAGTGCACCAAAATGATTTGAAAATGCATCATGTCGAAATGCACCAGATTCCTTTAAAAATGCATTATCTCAAAATCTGAGTGCAGGATGTAATCTGAGCCGCACGATACATCAGATCCAAAGGCTAGATTTTATTCTTATTTCTTTCACTAAGGTGTATTCTCACCGGAATCGCCCCCCCTATATATATATATATATATATATATATATATATATATATATATATATATATATATATAGGGGGGGCGATTCCGGTGAGAATACACCTTAGTGAAAGAAATAAGAATAAAATCTAGCCTTTGGATCTGATGTNAGATTGTGAGATCTAAGGGTAAGGATTGCATCAAAATTAAGTGCACCAAAATGATTTGAAAATGCATCATGTCGAAATGCACCAGATTCCTTTAAAAATGCATTATCTCAAAATCTGAGTGCAGGATGTAATCTGAGCCGCACGATACATCAGATCCAAAGGCTAGATTTTATTCTTATTTCTTTCACTAAGGTGTATTCTCACCGGAATCGCCCCCCCTATATATATATATATATATATATATATATATATATATATATATATATATATATATATATAACTTAACATGAAAATGATTTCATTTTACATGTATTTTCAAAATTTATTTTATTGTTTTAATATGCAATATAATAGGGGTAAAGCCATTTGTACCCCATGTTTTGTACCCCGCAGGTTTGCACCAATACTTTGTGTTGGTGTAAAACTAGTTTTTGTTAATGCACCAACACTTTGTGTCCGTGTAAATTTTTGTTAACGCACCAACACTTGTGTCGGTGTAAACCATCAAAATGTTTGTGTATAACTGCGGTGTACAAATGGAGTAATTTTTGGTGTAAGTGTAGCATGACCCATATAATAGAGATTAAATAATGATTAAAATGCATCTAATTTGGTTCGATAAAATTAAATTAAACCTAGACCAACCAAGTAAGTACTCCTTATTTATAAATAAAAAAAAGTACTCATTAAGTCCTTATTAAAGAACGACATAAGAATTCCGCGTGGGTCCAATGGATAAAGCCTATTTGAGAGATTTGTTTTACTAGTAAGGTCGGTCATGGCTTTGTGTACCAAAAGGATGAAAAAAAACGATGTGACAGATAAATCATTAATACTACTTCCGTTTCTCAAAAGCTCTTTTGACTTTGGGAGAATATAAGGAAGTGTTAAATCGTAGTTGACTTTCCAATTTTGCCCTTGATGTGATGGGTAAAAATAAGATGTGATAGTTTAGTTGTTAGTGAAAAAGTATGATGTGATAGGTAGGGTATGAAAAAGTAGGGGTAAAAGTGGTTTTTTAATAGAAAAGGGAAGTGTTTTAAGAAAAACAAAAAAAATGAAAGAGGAAGGGTTTTAAGAAACGGAGGGAGTATATAGAAATAATGTAAAGTGTAAAATAAGAATCACTAACGATAAAAAATGTTTTTTACTTCGTAATAGAGAGCAAAATGACACCTTACAACAAAGAAAAAAAGAAAGGAAAAATAATTTTAGAAACAGAGGAAGTATTTATAATTACTTTTTTCTGAATCTACTGACATTTATTTTATTACTCTGTATTACTCTCTTCGTCCTACTTTAAATCGCATATCGTTTGTTTGCAAGATTTGACAACTTATTTTATTTAAAAATTAGTGTAAAGTTTAAAAATAAACATATATTTAAAAACCACATCACAAATTCTACAAAACTAAAGATGAGAGGACTATTTTATTTTATAAATGAGAAACAAATATGAGAAGAAAAAGTTGTTAAAGAGAAAGTCGACAAAGTTGGCACCAAAGTCTATGTTACTCCGTAAAAAATAATTGTAGAATATTCATATGCTTATAATTGTACACTATAACTATAATGAAATTTGCATTTCATTACACAAAAAAACAGCCCAGATGGTAGAGAGATTGTTTTGGAGAGACAAATGTGCAATTCATTATTCAAAAAAAAGAAAAAAAACAGAACATGTCACTATAAAAACTCAGTTGAGTAAAAAGGTCACTTAGAAAAATCAACAGCTAGTAAAATACAATGTGGACAATGTCACATTCCAGTTTCCAACTCCAGTTCTATATATATATATATATATATATATATATATATATATATATATATATATATATATATATATATATATATATATC